TTAATCCAAGAAACCCGAGCTCCGAGAAAATAATCGTCGATTTTCTGGTTAGGATCGAGGCGGAGGACGATCTCGTTGGAACTCCTCCCGGTGAAGAGGTTCGTGAAATCCGAATCCTCCATCGATTCCAGAGAATTCAAGTACAGAGTCACCCTCCGGTAGAGCTCGTTCTCCTGCAAGCCGCCGGTGAATTCCGGCACCTTGAAGTACTGATAAACGTGCAGGCGATCTTCCACGACTCTCCACCATTTTTGGGGGAGGTAAATCAGCCCAGTCTTGAACAGAGCCACGCGAAGCAGATAAAACAGAGCAGCAATGGCTACCGCCAGAAGCATCGACTGGTAAAGAATCTTCATGAATACGATTCTATCCAAAAAACCAAAGCAAGAAAAATCAAGCTAACCGGAGAAGGACGGGATATCCGATTCGGCTCAATAGAAACCGTAGGTGAGTACGGCGGGCTGTGAAGGGCCGGCGGAAGGAGCTCATGCTGCTGATGTCATGCGGCGGCGGCGGAGAGAGGTGGCGATTAGGGTTAGGGGAGACGGGTGGCCGGCCAGGACAAACTACTGCAACGAAATCAACGATGGGCGGAGAAGGAGAAGAGAATTTCTGGCGATAGGTTTGAAAAAAAATCGCAGTGAGTTGGAGTTTTGAAGGCCGAAGAAGAACTCGAGGGAAGACTTTTACAATTTCCTTTCTTCTTTTATTATGTTTTTTGCTCTTCCTTTTCTTCGCCCGGCTTTTGGTAGAGGTGGAAAAGTGCGGGTGCTGGCTGCAGGCAGGCAGTCTGCCCACACGGAAGCCAAGTAGGAACACGGAGGTGTGTTATTGTAATTTTCCTTTTTTCGTTGTCATTCTTTTGGGTTAGTTTTTAATATTCGTTTGATAGTTGATACTCTCATTCGTCCTTTATTCTTATTTCTTTATACCATTATGTTGATTGCACAAATGGTATGCTGTCGTTTAGGTATATATAGAGAAGTGGGAGATTATAACCACTAAATAAATTTAGGTATATATAACATATACCTAAAATAAATTTAGGTATATATAACATATTTGGTAAAAAAAAAATCGCAAGTTTAAATAAAATATAACATTTCAAACAAAATAAAAAAATTACTATATTTAAATATAACATTTAGAGAATAAATCAGAAAGCGGTGAGCTGCCATATGTGGGTGCTGATTTGATTCCTACAATTAAAACAAGGCAATGATGGGAATATAAAAAGGGCCGATTAGAGTAGAGATCCACCTCCTCATCCTGGCTTTAAAAGCACGCTCACAGCCGGCATTAACTGTTTATATCGCCTGGCTGGCTCCTACCATAATTATGGTCCCTCGCGAGCCGCACTTGTTGCGCAGTTTGATTATTGAATAGTGAATACTGATTCATCTTTGTTCCATTCAATTATTGGATGCGTGCTAATGTTTTATCTTTTATTACAGAAGTTTTTGAAATTTTGATTTCGTCACGCCAGCACTCCAGCCTATAACAAGCGGGAATTATAAAAACAAAATAGAACACCATAAGGCAGAACAAATCGTATAGCCAATTTCTCGATCAAGGATATTCAAATGTGCAAATACATGACTACAAGCTGCCTCAACCTTGCTGGGTTTAACTTCATTAAGATAGCAAATGGGACATGCCAAGGGAGCAAGTAGGTGTAATAACAAAATCCGAGTAACATGCCCAACCAATTCAACTTGCAACCCGACCGTAATTTGAGTCGATTAAAAGTTAATGACTAAAATTTTAACCCGCAACCCGATTGATATGTAACCGATAGATCCATGATCCGGTTGTCCAACCCAAACCCGCCCGATTGACCCGAATAATTACTTTTACTACATAGTATATAGTCTTGCCGAATAATTAATTTTTTTCATGAAACTGAAGTGAATTCATTTTTCCATCGGAGTACATCCACATTTAGCAAGTAGTTGAGTATTGACTCACCTAAACTACACTCTAGATCAAAGACCAAGTGTCACCGACGACCAGGTGCAGTATAGTGGAAATAAAGTAATAAAACTATCGAACTTTAAGGCATCTAGATGTATTCTTACTCAGCTTCGCCTTTTGTTTGTTGTCTAGCCAATCGAAGTTTGAAAATAAAAAACTAAATTATTTTATGGTTAATCTATCTAATTACAAGTTACAGGCTCACTTGGGTGTTCGAATCCACCTAGCCACCAACCGAATTGAGATTGATGAGTCTCTAACTTCTTCCACTCCCACCTATAATGTGAAGGATCCTTGACTAGACCTTGAATTTGGATTAAAGCAATCAATACCCTCTTGATTCGGTAGTCTAGAGGGGCTTACCCTTCTCTAGTACAACTGATCAAGGCATTCTACACTAGATCACCTCTGTTAGGAGAGGTTCACACTCAATACAAAGCATGAATTGACTCTCGCACAATCGACCCCCTTTCTTCTAGTCTATGGTGCTCTAATTGACCCAATCAAGTATTCCCTTTCCTTGGTCAATAGTCAAATCAATAATCTTGATTAAAGCAAAATTGAACATCAAAACATGCATAGATTGGATATGAACTTGAGTTTAGAAAGAAAGATGTTAGAAACCCACTTTCTAGGGCTTCTAGGGACTGATATTCTACACATGCGATTATTCGTCACGATAGAGATTTAGGAATTTGGGGATAGAGATTAGAAAATTAGAGATAACTTTTCTTAATATTTTCCTTACTTGATTATGATGTTAACCTAAAGTACATATTTATAAGGAAAATAAGAAAAATCCTAATAATAACCCTGCGAAAAAATCTCTACTAACCATAATAATAATTATTCTACTAAAATAATGAGAGAAACCCACGAAAACTGGGTGATAACTCGATATTTGCACATGTTTTTGTCCACCATTCGTACACTGTTTGAGGCTCGATTCTCGTGTTTTAAGCCGATTTCACGCTAGGTTGTTCTTGTATGATGTATTTCAGGTCTGGGATCGGTTGTGCATGTTTGGAGGCGAGTTTCGGGTCAAAATCACCAAGTGGACAATAGACGGAGCTCGAAGACTAAAATCCCCGGTCAGCCCATCAAATACCCGACCGGGGAAATGCAATAGGAGCAATGCAGTCAAAAGCGTGGTTCTACCTAGAAGCGGTTGGATGACCTAGAAGCGTAAAACCGTAAGATTTTAAGCGTAGATCTTGACTACATTTGTAGGGGAAAATCACGATTCTTCATAGAAGCTTTTTGGTGACTTAAAAAGGTAAAGACGTAAGCTTTTAAGTTTTAAAGCACGATTTTGACTACATTGAATAGGAGGTCGGGGAATTCATCGAGGGATTTTCCCCTGTCTAGACTCCTTATTCCCTGATCGGGGAATCCCACCTAAGACAATCTCCTCCCCTTGAAAAGCGACCTTGCCCTCAAGGTTGGAGTCAACTTTCACCGTCTTTATCCTCCACTTCCTTCGTTTCCAGTTTCGCTCCATCTTGCGAATGAACACTTCTCCAACAACTTCAACTTCCCTTGACTCTTCTCCACCCACGTTATATATGTCACATTCTCCATAGCCGAACATTATGAAAAAAATAAACCATACAAAATAAATAAAAAACAACCAGGTTGACTTTGGAGGCTCCATCATAATATAGAGGAGTTCCATCCAAAAGTCAACCAGGTTGTTTTTTAGACATAAAAACATTACAAACATGGTTCACAAAAATAACAATGCTTACAAACATTACAAAAGAAACGAACAAATACAAAGCATATTAACCGTACAAAATGTCACTAAAAATAAAAAACAAGAATGATAAACAATACAAACCCAATCGATACAAACATTACAAACCAGACCTACAAACATTACAAAATAGGTCAACAAACATCACAGATCCAACATTGTTGCCGGAAAAACCCTTCTCCGTTATTGTTGGTCGCCTGAAAGTCTCATCCGATCGCCGAGAAAGTCTTCTCCGCGAGGCAGAAAATCTCTCTCTCTCTCTTAGCTGTTGGGGGCACAAAAGCTTTTGGGGACTAAAAAATTCCCCGGGAGAATTCCCCAGAAAAGAAAGGAAACGGCTAGCGTTCGGGTGGAGGACAACACTTCATTTTTTTAAATATTAAATAAATTAATTATGTAATTACTATCTTACTCTCCATTAAACTAGATAAATATGAACTATTAAATTTTAATGAGGTTCAATGAATGATGTTAGCTTAATTATATGACTAAGTGACTCACTAGTCACCTGATATTAGCCCCAAACACTACGCCCAAATAACACATTCAAACCAGTCATTTTAGACATTTTGGGTAGGGATGACAACAAAACCCGAACCCACGGGTACCCACCCGACCCAACCCGGTCAGCACGGGTAAAACCCATGTTGATGAGTTTTGGGCCGGGTTCGGGTTTAAACCCGCTACACTATTCATCTGGTCGGGTTTGGGTTTAGGTAAACCCGGCCCATGGGTACCCGCCCACACACATATAATTACTTTTCCGGTATATTTAATATTCTAAATAATATACCTTCCTTAAACAACTAATATTCTTTATGTTTGTGGAGACATGTATAATTTGTTCTTTCTAATTGTTTAGAATGAAGTTGATATGATGAAGTGGAGAGTGAAGAAACTTAGTTGACGAGGAAGAAGTTTTCAATTAATCTTATTGTTTATAGATGTTTATCTTTAATGTTGAGCAATTTGTATTGATCATTTGCAGTTTGCTTGTATGCTCTAGATTGGTATTTTTTGTATGATTAATTTGTATGAAAAAACTTATGTTAAACTTTTATTTTGAAAGAAACTTGTTATTGTAAATTTTTTACCACAAAAACCCACGGGTACTCATGAACCCGCGGATACTCGGCGGATTGGGTTGGATTTGAGTTTTTCAAACCCAACGGATTTTACCCCAGATTTATTTGATTGATAAACCCATGAGTTTGAGTTTGGGTTTGACAAAACCCGCCCGAATCCGACCCATTGCCATCCCTAATTTTGGGGAAAACTCCCACTACCTTATCTCCTCCCAAGTCACTCGTAGAGTCGTAGTATCAGTTGGGAAGAAGCCCATCAGAGTCTAATCCTTTTGATCTCAACTGTTTTCCTCTGCTTTGCACTGCTCTTTGTGGCCAGAAACCAAACACGTGACACTGGGGAGCATGGCCACCACGCCCAGCCTTCTCCGATCCTCTGTTCTTCCCAGCTCGAACCTTCACCGCCATGCTTCCCGCATCCACTGCAGTTTACTTCCTCCCTCTCTGCCCACTCCATCATCGAATACCCAGCTCCCCATTCCCATCGTTAACCCACATAAGCTCATCGCCGGCGCCGTTACCCATCTGCGCTCGGCTTCTCTGCCGCTCGCCGCAGCCGCATTGCCATTCTTTTTAGATACCAAGGTTCCATCCTTTTTGTTGCTTTATGTTTGTCGGGTTTTCGGTTTTTCTCTCGAATTGGCTCTCGATTTTGCTGAATGAGGGTTTCTATTGACAGGATGCGGTGGCGGCGGGAGGGGAATTTGGGTTATTGGAAGGGAGGAGTTTGGCCCTCGTTCACCCAATTGTGATGGGCGGGCTCTTCTTCTACACATTGTGGGCAGGGTATTTGGGTTGGCAATGGAGGCGGGTGAGGACGATTCAGAGCGAAATCAGTGAGCTGAAGAAGCAAGTCAAGCCTGCTGCAGTTACCCCTGACGGGAGCCCTGCTGCACCGCCGGCCGCTCCTTCCCCTGTTGAATCCAAAATTCAGCAGCTCACCGAGGTTAGGAAAGTCAATCTTCTTCTTTTCTTTTGAGGATTTCGATAGCAATTTAACGAAACTTTGGCGGTGGGCAGGAGAGGAAAGAATTGCTGAAAGGAGGGTTCAGGGACAAGCACCATGACGCTGGGTCGATTTTGCTGGCATTTGGAGTGCTTGAATCAGTTGGGGGAGGGCTCAACACCTGGCTCAGGACTGGGAAGCTCTTCCCTGGTCCTCATCTGTTTGCAGGATCAGGTACATTTTAACATTGCTGTAAACTATGAGAATGGGATGATCCCCATTTAAATCCTCGTATTGCGGTCAAAAGCGTGATTCTTCGTAGAAGCGCGTTTTCGTAACCTAAAAGAGTAAAAGTATAAGCTTTGAACTACTAGAAATGAAATTGTTATAAGCATGGCATTTGGATCCTCGGGTCCTCTGCTTGAATCCTACCTACTGCTTGAAATGGTCAACATTAATGGGCTTGTTTGTTGTCTGGTGTTTTTTTGTAACAGCAATAACGGTGTTATGGGCATTGGCAGCAGCTCTAGTCCCGGCAATGCAGAAAGGGAACGAGACAGCCAGAAATCTTCACATTGCCTTGAACGTGGCCAATGTTCTGCTTTTTGTCTGGCAGATCCCTACTGGGCTCGACATTGTTCTCAAGGTCTTCGAGTTCACAAAGTGGCCTTGAGTTGCAGCCAACATTCCTTCTTCACTAGATGATTCATATCATATTGTATACTATGTTGTAAAATTTAATCTCGCTGTTCTATACATTTCCATCGTGTAATCTTCCTTTTGTAAGTCGTTTCTAGATGTCGACTTTATTATCAACCTAGAGGTTTCTGGTTTGAGACTGTAACAGAAGCAAAGGAACAAGAAATCGAGAGATTAGTTTTGGGAATTTTAATTCCTATAATTAATTGAGGGATAATTTGCAATATTCCAAAAGTCCAGGACAGGGTTTATATACAATCCAAATAAAAAAAAAACATCACAGATGTGGAACATTGATTACAATTTGACCATGGCAAATGGCAAAAAACCAACTCCTTCACAGAAAAAAGATCATCAACAAGAAGAGCAGGAAGACAACTTCTTCAGCTCGCTGATCTCCATATCCGCTCCCGAAATCACGTCGATCTTTTCCCCCTGCAGCGCCCCGCCGTTGGCCTTGGCCGGATCGGCGGAGGAATCCAGCGACTTCTTCGACACGGCGGCGTAGATGTGCTCCAGCACCCGGAAGAAGGCCTTGTCCACGTTGTCCCCGCTCAATGCGGAGGCCTCGGAGAAGAAGAGCCCCTGCTCCTCGGCGAACTCGACGGCGTCCTCCGTCGTGACGGCGCGGTGGTCGGCGGCCAGGTCGGCCTTGTTGCCAATGAGCATGATGACGATGGAGCTGTCGGCGTGCGCACGGAGCTCCTCCACCCACCTCGCCACGTGGTCGAACGTCGGCCGCTTCGTGATGTCGTACACCAGCATCGCTCCCAGCGCTCCCCTGTAGTATGCGCTCGTCACAGCCCGGTACCTGCAAAAGACAAAAACGTCGACAATTTTAATTAAAGTTTTTGGATCTTTGGAAGCTCATAAAATCTCGAATTCGAGATCCAATCTCTGTAATCAACAAAAACTAGGGAATGATCTAGCATTAAATGCCATCAAGATTTAATGGTTGGGAGGGACACCAATTAATAACTTCGGTAGTATTTGCCGATTAGATAAGGTTACGATGAAGATGTTGTATTGTGCTGACGGTTTGATTGAAAACAAAAACAAAAAAATCGTTAATGAGGTCAAAATTAACTTGATACAAGAAGTCGGTTTTAGGGGAGGGCGGGTTGTGTCGGTCAATACATGACGGTTAACAATGTACCGTGATTTATTGATCGGTTCTGATTTGATGGTTTATTGATAAACTTACTTTTCATTTTCATTTACTTGGTTTGGATAACATGATACGCTAAACAACACGCTAATTTGGGATTCACCCAAATCAATGATCCTAATTTTCTACTCGATTTCTAACAAAAGTCATAATAAACTATCAAGTCGCGAAGCACAGAATTCAATACTTTATCATTCTACTTCCATAGTTTCCCAAGGTTAGGTAAAGACTATAGCTCGAAAGCAGTGGAGGAGCCACGTTGAGCTTAGGGTGGGCTATAGTCCCCCTCAACTTTCATAAATAGGTAAATTTACATGAAAAATGTGTAATAAATTCTAAAAATAGACTAGTTGTTAAGCCACTAGCTCTTCCTCACCAATGACCATGATTCAAACCACCCAAGTGTGTATCTTTTAGCTCTCCCTCGTTCAAATTTCTGAATCCACCATTGCTCCGAAAGTATTTGTTTCCAAAGATTTAGCACCTAAGCAAGTAAAGAAGGACGATCTGAGACCGTGCTTTATGTGGATTTCTTGTTTGGGCTTGGTGAATCGGAAATGGGCCAGTCTAGAATCAGACAGTCCAATGTGGAGGTTGCACCTAATAGGTGGCTTGTTTGTCAAAGCATCAATTATTGCAGGTTCTGGAGGGTCATATCTCTTTCCTTCATCAGTCATCGTACAAAGACAGACAATTATCTCCCATCCCTTTTTTTCTTTTCTCTATTTTTGTTTCTTTTCCATTTACGAATTCCCTTGTATTACTTGTAGAAGATGAAGACAAAAGTTTGAGCTAAAGCCACAGATCGGGCAAGGTCGGTCCTCCTAGTCCTAGCTAACCTAACAGTACTCTGCTTTTCCTTTCTCTCACCAGCAGAGCAGCAGTAACTCCGAGGCAATTTTGTTTGTTGCCTTTTCTCTCCCAACCGCACCAAAAAACGATTAGCGGTTAACCGCAACGATTAGTTTATGCCATTCGTATCGAATTGCTACTTGTATGCGCGTTAGTGGGTTTGAGAGCTCGATCAACTACTCGTTGATTTTGGAGTTTACGCCCCATTCACTCATAGAGTAACCTTAATTAACCACAGTTAGAGATGGTTGAGTAGTTGACTAAAGAGATATTAATGCATGTTGTGAAGGCCTGACATAACCGTTAATTTGCGGTTAGCTAATCTGTGATCCCTTATTCAGTCACGGTTGTGGTTAACCCGCAAAAAAGGAGCATATTGCTAAACCGCAACCTCATAAGAGCCTTCTTATTCGGTTTAAACCGTAAACCGTGCAATTTTAAGGTGGTTAGCGATTTAATCGCAAAACTGCAATTGTACTCCCACTCTCACTCACAAGGATCAATATTGGATGAATGTAGTATACTTTATTAACAAAATTACCATCACATTTAATCCAACGATACCAGACATCTCAGCTACGAGCACATTCTCACATGTAGCCTCCAGGCACTAGAACGAGTTATTTAACGACGAGCTGGCTGCCTATGCCAAGTTGGAGGATCCGATATTCGGATCCCAAAGATGAGGAAGATATAAACAAAGACTAACGCCAATCCACGCCACACCACTCAATTATTATTTAACGATGCCGCCCATCTAACTACCCCTACTGTCACTATTATTATAATTATGATTACTGCGACCATCGCCCTATTAAATTCCAGTAATCAACACAGATTCTGCTCCAAGCAGAGAAGATATTCATGGATTTCTCTTTTCAAACGATTTTTAATTTCAAGATTCGAACTCAAACTGTGACGATTACGGTCAGTCTCCACTGGCTTTAAATTTTTGGGCTGATGATGAGTAGAGAGAGATGGGAACTAATTAATTGAAAGGGGGGGAAAGAGGAGGAAACCAACCTTTCCTGGCCGGCGGTGTCCCAGATCTGGGCCTTGATGACCTTGCCCTTTATGCTGACGGTGCGGGTCTGGAACTCGACCCCAATTGTGGATTTGGAGTCGAAGCAGAACTCGTTCTTGGTGAATCGGGCCAGCAGCTGAGTCTTCCCCACCGCCGAGTCGCCAATCACCACGACCTTGAACACGTAGTCTATGCTGTCCGCCGGGACGGCGCCGCCGCCGTCTCGCCGCCCGTGGGCCTCCGCCTCCACCCCGGTCATCTCCTGATTCATCTCCGCCTTCCGGCACTGAAAAGAGACGTGGTTGGCGTCGCTTGTGCGTGAGGGAGAATGGGAGAGAGAGAGAGAGGGAAACACGGAACGGAAGCGAAGGTGGCAAGTGTTTATTGGGTCTAAGTGGGAGAGTGAAAAGGGGGAAGAAGGGGAGAAAAAGGGGAGGATTCGACAGGAAATCTGCTACGAAGCCGACAGAGACTTCGCCAATTGCGGGTAGGGAAGAGAAATCACGGGGAAGACGCTGGTGATGATTTGGGCCGGCCAGATGATAAAGGAGAAAAGGGCCAGCCAAACAGTAAAAAACGAGGGACTTTTTTGGGTGTTTGAAGAAGAAAAAGAGAAAACAGCCTCTTATTGCAAAAGTGTAGCACCGGGATGTAAGGATTACATTTCGGCGGGGTGGGCAATTTTGGAGGGTTGGATAGGTTTTTTTGGTTTCAAATTGATTTCGTTCATTAATGAGTTGGTATAATTGTGTCTCGTTATCTATTCGCCTTTTGCTGGCTTACTTGATTTTTGCATTATTCTTTTTGATGGACTCCAAAATATGGGGAGTTTCAAAAGCTTGTAAAAGTGAGATTTCAAAATAACTTATCCCCAACTATTTTGAAATCACTCACTTATTCCTCCCCCCCCCCCACCAACAATTATTTCTTCTAACCATCACCAATGTCGAATAATCACCATCTCCTTCCTATCCCCGTTTGTCCCACTGCTCGGGCCTTTCGACTTCCACTTCCCACCGACCATCCGCGAATTCGCCAGATTCGAAGCAACCGAGAACCCATTCCAAGCTCCCATGGTGAAGAGCTCCATTTCCAAACTCTTGAGTTCTGAGTTTCTGGATGAGAACCCTAATCCCTAAACGAAACCTCGACTAGAAATGAGACTATGAAACTAACGTTGTGAAACATCAAATATGCAGAACTCGGATGGTGAAATTTCATATGACCCATCGAATAGAAGAGAATGAAGAAAGATATTAGTGACGGGTAATCTGAAGTATGATGTTGTTCTTGTGTAGATAACGAGAGAGAGCGAAGAAGTAGAGAAGAGCTTTGCAAGGACACCAGAGGTTGGCGAGGATGCCTAAGACTCGTGTTGTCGCCTGAGGTTTCTAAGGACGCTAGAGAGGCACGATTTTTAGATTTGTCTGTTTTTTAGTTTCGGGTTTTCTGTTACTCAAGAAGAATCCAAAAAGGATCGTCTAGGAAACAGGAAATAAGAAGGTTCTTCTGCAGACCGACTCGACGACGACAGTGCTCCTCATTGAGTCGTCGACGCCAGAGCATCTCCACTACATCAGCATTGCGGAGATTCGACAGTGGTTACAACGTGATTGGGAGGTTCATATCGCCCATGTCTATAGAGAGGCGAACATACTTGTTGATTACTTGGCCGGTATAGGCCACTCTTTTCCTATCAGTAGACATCTGGTTGCTCTTCCCGGTAGTAGCTTGTCTTATTGGTTGTTTCATGACATTATTGGGGTTCAGGCCACTCGTTTGATTATTAAATAAAGGTTGGAGTTCCCTTTTGCGCTCCGTTTTATACACAAGGGGAAAAAAAAAAAGGAAGGAGGAAGAAAATGAGGGCAAATTTGTATATAAATAAACAAGTAATTTGCCCCAAATAGTTCACTTAAATTGCCAGAATTTTTAAGTGAGAGATTTGGGTTCAAATCCCTGATAAATCTATCAAACAAATTGCGGCCTTTGGAGAATTAAAGTCTATATTTATAAATTATAAATATATGAATACCGGAGAAGGAAGAAAATCTTCTTCCCCTCACCCTTCGGAAGATAGATCTATCTTTCATTATTTGATAATTTGTGATGGTAAATATTAGATAAAAAATAATAATTATGATTTTGTAACAAATGACAAGTTACTCTCACTCAAAAAGAAGCATAGGGTTTTGTATATTTAGTTATAATAATGCAAAATTATAGAATATGTGGAATTGAGGAATATTTTAAGTTTATTTATGCTAATTGGATGGTGACGTGATGGGTTGACCGTTAGTCAATGCGTTTGACCATTCAAGATAACAGTCAAATTTCAGATTTGGTCAATTTCGTAACTTTGATACATAGTTGAGACCACGAAGTTATAAATCGAAAAAATTGATCAGAATGTTTAATCTTTAAAAAATTCGGTCCATACAAATACATTAACCCAAAGTTAATATTTCAAAAATTAGTTAGGATAAAATATAGTTTAAGTACTATAATAGGTAACCCCCATATTTCAGGGGCCAATATTACAACTAACTCATTAAATTTCATTTCTCTTTCCTTTTAGGTGCTATCTGATTTGGCTGCTGGTGCTGGACCGAAAACATTTTTTCCAGCAAAATCGCTCCGTGCATTTTCCCGGGAAAGTTCCTACAACCCAAACCGCTGAAGAAGCTTTGCTTCTGAACGAACTTTCTGCTTCACTTCCTCCCACCGTCCCAATTCCCAGGTCTCCGTTCTTTGCTCTTCTCTTGAACTGGAATTTTGACTCGCCACTTGTAGATTCTTATTCTTTAGTTAACATTCATCGTATTCAGCAGCAGGATATTGACTCTTGTTCATCTTTCTTCTTGTTTCCTTTTAATCTACCGACAAAATCTTTTGTGTTTGTCGTTTCAAATTGGGCTTGAGCTATTTTCAGTTATTCTTTCCCCTTTTTGAGGTTGGTTTGTCTTCATCTACGATTTTGAGAAGCATTCCATTCGCGTTTAAGTTATACACAGTTGAGTTGATTATCAATTGGAGGGTTTCTCCAAGTCGTGACTTTGTAATTGACTACTGAACATTCAGCAGGTGATTGATTGCAATGAAACTTGATTCAGGCTAACAGGCTCGGGACGGTTGTCTTGCAGCAACCGCATAATCATCATGGGTTTTACTTCCTAGGTAATGAATTGGACCATTTGGTGTCTGTCTTGTGACGGTCCTGGATGTCATGGATAGTGCCTCAGGTCCTGCTTCAGAACTTCTTTCCCAGATTGTGGAGGGAATGGTTGAGATCATTGGTTCTGCCAAAGAAGTTTTCCTGAAAAAGTGCTGCTTTCAGGAGCTGGCCTTGTACCTGGAGAGGATTGTTCCTGTCCTGAAAGAGTTGAATGCAAAAGATTTAGGTAGCTCTGAGGGCTTAACTAATGCCATTGAGATTCTGAACCGGGAAGTCAAGGCTGCAAAGCGCCTGACTGCGGATTGCGCCACAAGGAACAAGGTTTATCTGCTGATGAATTCGAGAAACATCACCAGGCATTTACAGGACATATCGAGAGAAATCAGCAGGGCTATAGGTCTTCTTCCTATGGCTACTCTGGATCTCTCATCTGGCATTTTTGAGGACATCACTGGCCTTTGTGATGAAATGCAAAGGGCCGAGTTCAAGGCATCTGTAGCAGAAGAAGAGATACTGGAGAGGATTGAGTCGGGTATACAGGAGCGAAAAGTGGACCGTTCTTATGCCAACAGCTTACTTGCTCAAATAGCTGAAACAGTAGGAATTTCGAATGAGCGGTTCGTGTTGAAGAAAGAACTTGAGGAATTCAAGGACGAAATTGAAAATGCAAAACTTAGGAAGGATCAGGCTGAAGCTATACAGATGGATCAGATCATTGCTTTGCTAGAAAGAGCAGACGCTGCCTCGTCTCCTAAAGAGAAAGAAAGAAAATACTTCACCAAGCGGAGGTCTTTGGGTAGCCAACCACTAGAACCACTTCAGTCATTCTATTGTCCAATTACTAGAGATGTTATGGTTGACCCTGTTGAAACTTCTTCAGGCCAGACATTTGAGAGAAGTGCCATCGAGAAGTGGATGGCTGAGGGGAACAATTTGTGTCCTTTAACTATTACCCCCCTAGACACATCAGTTCTTCGTCCAAACAAAACGTTGAGGCAATCAATAGAAGAATGGAAGGATAGAAATACAATGATCACAATTGCTACCATGAAGTCAAAACTCGAATCTGAAGAAGAGGACGAAGTTCTTGGATGTCTGGGACAGTTGGAAGATCTGTGCTTACAGAATGATCAGCATCGAGAATGGATGGTGCTGGAGAACTACATTCCTGTTATTATTCAACTGCTCAGTTCAAAAAATCGTGATGTTCGTCATAATGCTCTTGACATCCTCTGCATTCTGGCAAAAGATAGCGATGACGCAAAGGTATCATGGCTTTTAATATTGTGATTTTCTTATATCTGTTGTCTTTCTCCTCATTTAAGCCTGCACACCCTCTTTTCATTTATCCATTGGCCATCTATATGAGCATCATGATAGGGGAATATTTTGCATGTTCTTGATTTCTTTCTTTGTGAGATCCATGGCTACTGTTACTTTATTCCTCTACCCTAGGTCTGTTACAGAATGGTCTTCACCATTAAGTTAACCAAAGATCCATCCTAATGTATAGGAAAGAGTTGCACATGCTAATAATGCGATCGAGTTGATTGTTCGATCGCTTGGAAGGCGTACTGGGGAAAGGAAGTTGGCAGTGGCATTGCTGTTAGAACTATCAAAATGCAATAAAGTGAAGGACTCCATTGGGAAGGTACAAGGTTGCATTCTCCTATTGGTGACCATGTCAAGAAGTGATGACAGTCAAGCTGCCGCAGATGCAAAACAGCTACTGGACAATCTCTCTTTCTCTGATCATAACATCATACAAATGGCAAAAGCAAACTATTTCAGACATTTTCTGCTAAGACTATCAACTGGTAAGTTAAGTGTATGCAACAGCTTTTTTGTTGCTTATTTCTGAAGTTTGGGTCTTCATAATTCATATACCCCTCTGTGTAACCTGGACAACAAATGTAAGGTATTTGGAAATTCAAGGAGAATGGAACAAACTGCTACACTAATTATGATATGATGTTTATACCCTAATTACATATATAAAAAAATATTATTCATCTTTGGGATAACAGGCAATTCCCCTTTCAAGTGAATGCTCTACCTGAATGGGGCCACTCTAAATTTTACATTTGCCTTCCTTTGGAGTTCATTGACCATGGTAGACCATCTCATACTTCTATTGGACCTTTTACTTTTGGTCACTGCAGGGCCAGATGATGCAAAATTCATGATGGCATCAACTTTGGCCGAAACTGAGTTGACTGATCACAATAAGGCATCTTTGTATGATGGAGGTGTACTCAGTCCCCTTCTTCACTTGGTCTCAAGTGATGATATTCATATGAAAACAGTGGCAGTAAAAGCTATCCGGAATCTCTCAAGCTTACCTGAAAATGGCCGAAAGATGATTGAACAAGGGATAGTACGACCATTGCTCGACATTCTTTTCCGACACGGTTCATCATCGTCCTCAAATTTGCGGGAACAGGTTGCAGTCACGATTATGCACCTTGCAAGATCTACAGTGTCTCAGGAGGAATCCAGCCCAGTTCCAGTTTCTTTGTTGGAAACTGATGAAGATACGTTCATGCTTTTCTCTTTGGTGAACCTCACAGGGCCTGCAGTGCAACAAAGAATTCTCCAAACCTTCCAAGCCTTGTGCCACTCCCCCTCAGCATCATATATCAAAATCAAGTTGATTGAGGTATGCAAGAGGCTATATGTGTCTATTCATGCATATGTGCCATTTTAGTTCATCAAGATAAGAGACCTAACAGTATGTATGCTAGTGTAAGTACCTCTAGTGGTTGCAATCAGCTAACAACTCAGCATGGATTGTTAATAAGTTGTCTCATTGCACAAACTGCTGTTGCTTGTCTGCATCCTACCCAAGTATAACCTAGATTCATTTATGCAATGACAAAAGGCCTAGGCTTTGGGAGTGGGCAGCATGCTGCCTATTCTAGCCAATGCTTCATAAGGTTGCTAAGGTTTTAAGGATTCATATAAAGATGTTGTGGAGCAAAGAGCAAGCAGGATGAAATTGCCCTTTTTTTCTTTGTGATGTTTAGTCTGATGACACTTCTTAGTTCTTTATTGGACATATGAAATATAAAGTCGATTTCTTGTTGGATTTTTCAGTTGATCTCCTCCGTTGTTTGCAATTATAAACTGCTTACTTATTTTGTCTATCCATGTTGAGTTTCTATAAGTGAAGCCATCAACGATGCTACCATATACCTAACACCGAACTTGTTGATTGCAGTCATCCGCCGTGCAAGCGTTAGTTCAACTGTGTGAGCACGAGAACTCAGATGTCCGATCAAATGCTCTGAAGCTGTTCTGTTACCTCGTAAAAGATTGTGAAACAGAAATTATCATGGAACACGTTGGCAAAGAGTATATAGACACCTTGGTGAAAATCATCCAGAAATCAGATGATACCGAAGAAGCTGTTTCTGCATTAGGCATTATCTCTCACCTCCCAGAAGAACCACAGATCATCACAGAATGGCTTCAAGATTCTGGTGCGCTTCGAGTAATCTTCAAATTTCTTCAAGACAAAACTAAGAAGAACGATCCCCACAAAAATCAGCTTGTTGAGAATGCAGTGGGAGCCATGCATCGTTTCACTTTGCCAACTAACCTGGAACGGCAAAAGAAAGCAGCAGAAATTGGGCTTATTCCAGTGCTAGTGAAGTTACTGGACTCGGGAACTACTACCTTGACAAGGAAGTATGCTGCCACTTGTCTAGCTCAATTTTCACAGAGTTCATTTTCCTTGAGCCAGCAATTGACAAGGCACAAGGGAATGCTGTGGTGCTTCTCGGCCCAGCACGATCCCGGATGCATTGTCCATGGGGGGATCTGTACCGTCGAATCGTCATTCTGCCTCGTGGAGGCTGATGCCATACGGCCTCTAGTAAGAGTTCTCGAGGACCCCGACTTTGGAGTGTGTGAAGCCTCTTTAGATGCACTCTTGACACTGATTGAAGCTGAGAGACTACAATGTGGTAGCAAAGTGCTGGCAGAAGCTGATGCAATTCCCTCCATGATAAGATTCCTTAGTTCGTCTACATCATGCCCTAGCTTGCAGGAGAAGGCTTTGTGTGGCTTGGAAAGGATTTTCCGGCTGCCGGAATTCAAACTGAAGTACGGACAGTCTGCTCAAATGCCTTTGGTTGACCTGACACAGAGAGGAAGCCACCACGTGAAGTCTCTCTCTGCCCGGATCCTGGCTCACTTGAATGTGCTCCATGATCAGTCATCTTTCTTTTGAAACACCTATTTAGCAGAACAATACAGCCACAATAGTCCATTTGATTTGATTATTATTTGGTCTGAGATGATGAAAGGGCCAAACGAAAATCTTGTCTCCTGTAGAGGGAATGCAAAGCAAATCCAGATGATCTTGTGGATAGAGGGATTGTAATTAGATTTACATTTCTGCTAATTTATGGAAGACAAAAACATGTTGTAGGGATATTCCCTAACAACTCAATTGTAGAGTTTTTGTTGTATTGTAATGCAGGCAAATAGTTCATATATTTTTTAAATCCACATATTTTGTTTCTTTTAGGGTATGTAAGAGTGGTTGAAAGTGCTTGATAGCCACTTATTTTGTCATAATGGAAAGGTTAGTGTTGCCTATATGTTTAAGCTCAACTCATTAATAAACGAGTCGAGTTCGAGCTCGGCTTATTTATTATTGAGCTGAGTCGAGACGAACTCGATATTTACTTGTTTATTAAAACATTAGATAGTGTTTCTCTCAAGCTTGGATCACCAATGCGATCACGAGTTTGGCTCGAGTTTAACTTATTAATTCTAAATTGTTGAATCATTAAATTAAATTATAAAATAATTTATAAACTAAATACCCTAAATGTACGTCATTGTTAACTCATCTCGTATCTATATATTATGTTTATATCTTATTATTTAGCTCATTATTTCATAATAATTAGTATCTAAGCAACTAATGACCCATTATATATCTTATAAATTATAAACTGAGACATATTTGCTCACATGTTCAAAGTCTTGAACATCGTATGGAGTGAGATATGTAATTTAGCAAACCTATTAATAATCAACAAACCAACTCATAAGATAAAGATGATTTCGCTCATAAGTTGGTAGTCGAGTAGGCTCACTAGTTACAGTGTAAATATATCTCATAAGCTCAAAACAAGCATCCTCACGAATTGAGCTCAACAAGTCACCGAATTAAGATGGCTTGTCAACCTCATGAGCTAAACACAACATAGTTCAAACTCGACTCGTTAATAACCAAGACAAGTTTTGAATGAATTTTTCCAAGTTTAAGGTAGAACTACTCATGAGCATGTACGCTCATTTGCAGCCCTACTCTAACTACTTGTCGTGACAAATTGGAGGGAAACCAAGCTTCTCTGCCGCTAGCATTTTCAGGGCATCGGGCTGAAGAAGAGTGACGATCGGGGAAATCAGCTTATGCCAAGTTCTCTGTCTATTATACCTCCCTCGGCCTTCGGCTAAGATGTCAAGTGAAGTTCTCCGTTACTCACCTTCGTCCTCGCCGCGCCCATTTCATTATATTTCAGTGGAGACGGAGTTCTCTGCCAAGCTGTCCGTGGATTCTGCGCAAAGAATTCTTTGGGATGAACCGGTTGAAGCAAATTCATGCTAATACCCTGAGGAAAGGCATTGACCAGGGAGCCCTGATCGGTGAACTCCTTCAAGTACTCAACATTCTTTACGCCCGGAAGGTGTTCGACCAAATTCCCAAACCACACGTTTTCCTCTACAACAAGCTCATTCAAGCTTACTCTTCCCACAAGCAACCCCACAGATGCCTTCATTTATTCTCTCAAATGTGCCGCACGCGTTGCAGGCCAAATGAACACACTTTCACTTTCCTTTTTGCATCCTGTGCTTCCTTTTCTTCTCACATCGGCGGTCAAGTTGTACATGGCTGCTTCGTGAAATCTGGGTTTGCCTCTGATTTCATTGCCTCCACTGCTTTAGTTGATGCGTATGCAAAGTTGAGATCGATAGGATCTGCACGCCGACTGTTCGATGAAATGCCTGTGAGAGACATTCCCACTTGGAATTCTCTGATTGCAGGGTATGGGAGGTGTGGGGACATGAATGCAGCGCTGGAGATTTTTAAATCGATGCCTCGAAAGAGTGTGGTGTCCTGGACTGCCATGATATCTGGGTACTCTCAGAATGGATTGTACTCCAATGCATTGGAATTCTTTTTGAAGATGGAGGAGGAGGAGGATGTGAAACCAAATGAAGTAACTATTGCCAGTGTACTACCCGCTTGTGCAAATCTAGGAGCTCTAGAAGTTGGGGAGAGAATTGATGCTTATGCTAGGGCAAATGGGTTGTTCAAAAACTCGTATGTCAGCAATGCTTTGTTGGAGATGTACTCAAAGTGTGGTAAAATTAGTATAGCAAGGGATTTGTTTCATGAAATGGGGAAGAGGAGAAATCTCTGTTCCTGGAACTCAATGATCATGGGCTTGGCCGTCCATGGTAGTAGCAATGAAGTTCTTGGGCTTTATGATGAAATGCTGGTAAGAATTCCTGCAAACTGGCTCCAAGTTTTAAGTATCTTCATCCGTACCCAGTACAGTTCTCAGTAATTTGTCATTAACATGGTTTCCATGCTACAGAAAGAAGGAACTGCTGCACCTGATGATGTGACATTTGTCGGACTTCTACTCGCCTGCACTCATGGAGGCAGAGTTGCTAGAGGCAGGCAACTCTTTCAGTCAATGGAGATGGATTTTGGCATCTCCCCCAAATTGGAACATTACGGCTGTATGGTTGATCTCCTCGGCCGTGCTGGAGAGTTGAAAGAAGCTTATGATCTCGTCAAGCGAATGCCTATGAAACCAGATTCTGTAATATGGGGAGCACTTCTAGGTGCTTGCAGTTTTCATAACAAGAACGTCGAGCTGGCAGAAGTATCCGCTGAAGCTCTCTTCGAACTTGAGCCATGGAACCCAGGTAACTACGTTATTCTCTCCAACATTTATGCATCAGCAGGGCGCTGGGATGGGGTAGCGAAGCTCAGAAAGCTTATGAAAGGTGGTCAAATCACAAAAGCAGCAGGGTATAGTTTCATCGAAGTAACAGGCAGAGTTCACAAGTTTTTGGTTGAAGATGCATCACATCCTACAAGTGATGAGATATACAGTATTCTGAAGGCAATTTATTCCGCGATGGAAAAACATAAGGATGCGTGTGATTTTGTTTCTGAACTTGAAGAGTTATGCTCAATGGAATAGTCTTTATTACAAACTCATCAACTGTTTTTTTTTAATATTAATTATTACGCTAACATTTCCCACATTTTTTTTATTAGTCTTCTCATTGTGAATTCTTGTAGATGGTGGCCTACCCGGCTTAACAATTATGTGCATATCAGGATGGAATGTAGGCCTATTGTGCTTCTTTCAACCCTTAGGTTCATCAAAGGCGTGAAACTTATCACGTAACAAGTCAATACTCTTTCAAGTTTATAGACGTCGTTCCAGGTTGAACGTGTTGACTCCACCACGACATACTGAAAGTTGCGTTGTAGTGCATAATGCTTAATGCAAACTTGTGCAGCTTGTTTGAAGTGTGAAAGATCTGACCTTTATAGAATTCGCCTTCGAGTTTTATAATAAAATAATTTTTTATTCTCAATACAGTATTTTACCTGTATCAAATGGTTGAACCACGGTCATACCACAAAATACCTTACGAAAGACGACTCTCGTTTGATTTCCGCTACGATTTTGCAAACCATGTTTAAAATCATATGGAATCAGACCGGTTTTTCTGCCACCTATATTACTGGAAACCAAATCAGATTCGATGCAATATGGATTTCTATTACAACCAAACCAGTTTATATCAGTTTTCAATTTGATCGGAAAAGTGGAATCAAATTCCCAACCTTAATATCTATTATCATATACACAACTGTTCTATATTAAGATATATGTATATTATTCTACAAAAAAAAAAGATATATGTATATTATATGGTACATTTTCATATAATATGGTTTAAATTTATGCACTACTAAATACTATGATGTAGATTCATAATATAAATCTCAAATTTTCCCCAAAATGATCAAATTTGAATTGAGAAAAAAGTTATAATGCTACTTACCACGTACGCTCCCCAATTTTCTTGCCATAAACTGAACGGCTGTGATTCATCCGCGCATGCATCTTTCCTAGAGAATACGTTAGGGGGTTCAGCAATAAGAAGCCGTAGAGTTCTTTTCCTTCAGCATTCTAGGGTTTCACCAAGTTCAAGTTTCTCAGGTATGGCGCCCGATAATTCTCTTCCTTCCTTGCCCGATCGCTCTTCAGAAGAATCGGATATCCTGCTTCATAGCATCTTGTCTTCCGGTTTTCTTTGGCTCTGTTGCTTTCTTCGCTGGTTCGATGTTGTTCGAGATTATGCATATTCTCTGATTTTATTGTTTCCGGGCCTGTAAAGAAATGGCGCGACCGGTCTTCGTTGGCAACTTCGAGTACGAGACGAGGCAGTCCGAGTTGGAGCGCTTGTTCAGCAAGTATGGAAGGGTGGATCGAGTGGACATGAAATCTGGTATCGTAGTTTCGTGTTCTTGGTTTCTTTTGGTATTTGTTATATTCCAGAGCGTCATGTTTACTTATGATCAATCTCTCTGATTGTGGGGTTTCTTTTTGCTGTTCTTCCTTTTCATGTGTTTGCTATTTGAATTCCAGCGCTTAAGTTTGCTTTCAATTATATTCATGATCACCCTTTTTAAGTTCTGCTGAAATTTGTTGTTTGGGATGGTGATGCTTTTGCTTTACAATCTTAGTATCCATGACAAGGAAATGAGAGGAGCAGGCACAAATTTATGGTTTCTTTGATGAACACTGGCATATTGAGTGTTTGTTTTTCCGCAGGAACTAAGGAAATTTGAGCTTCTATCTGGGTTGCCCAACTTTTTCTTGCTTCCCCTGCTCTCCTTCCACTCACAGATGGACTCATCCTGCATTTCATCAGAAATTTACTCATCTTACCGCCCAAAGTTGCCATTTGCACGAGAATGGTTCTTGTTCTTGGCGGCAATCAGTCCATTTTACTGTCCTTTGCACTGCCACATCTGATAATAGAGCGCTCCATGAATGTGTATTGCCATGCCCTTCCATTTCTGAACTAGTGCTGTCTGAATGGTGAAGCATGCCCTAGCAATGACATCTCTGACTTGAACCTCTGGATGTATAACCCTTAGACTTCTTCATTTAGTTCATCATGCAACGCCTCCTTATGTTCCTCAGCTCATCCGTGAAGCAGGTGTTGTATTAACTTTTGAGTTCTTACCAGGACTAAAATCCTGATTTGTATGTAAGCCTGGGTGAATGGACTAATGTCACCATCTTTTTTTTTTTTTTTTCCTTTTGTGCACAACTGGGTTCTTATGCTGGTGATGCTTGCAGGTTTCGCTTTTGTCTACTTTGAGGATGACCGTGATGCTGCGGATGCCATCAGGGGACTTGACAACACTCCATTTGGTTATGACAGGCGTCGGCTGTCGGTGGAGTGGGCTAGGGTAAGATTATTTCTTGTTTCATTTTTTCCCCAACCCTTGATTTCAAGTTGTGTTATCTTCTTATCTAGAGACTTGAATGTTGTGCCAGGGAGAACGTGGCAGGCAGAAGGAAGGATCGAAATACCAGAGACCTACAAAAACACTGTTTGTGATAAACTTTGATCCAATTCGTACAAGAGTTGAAGATATAAAAAAGCACTTTGAACGTTATGGAGAAGTTCTTCATGTCAGAATCCGACGCAACTTTGCATTTGTGCAATTTGAGACACAAGAAGATGCTACCAAAGCCCTTGAAAGTACACATTTGAGGTTAGTAGATATTGTATTGCTATGCTTGTGGAAATAGAAGCTTTTCCCCTCACTACACCGTCCTTCATTGTTTAAATGATCTATTATTATTACATCACTGCAGCAAGATATTGGATAGGGTGGTGTCGGTTGAGTATGCTTTGAGGGATGATGATAGCCCTCCTAGAAGGGGTGGAAGCAGCTACAGATCACCAAGTCCTGCATATCGAAAGCGTCCCAGTCCCGACTATGGCCGACCAGCCAGCCCAGTCTACGATAGATACAATGGCCCAGCATATGATCGTCGTGGTAGTCCTGATTATGATAGGCGCATCAGGAGTCCTTACTATGGCAGGAACAGAAGTCCCGAGTATGACCGATACCGGAGGTATGCTTTCTCTAGCTCTGAAGCTTCATTTGAGAGAGTATGACATCCTTTTAGCCCATTCGGCTCATGGATAGGTACTAAATATGTGCTGGGTTTTTTTCCCCCTTTTTCTTGGGACCAGTCGATCGCCGGTCAGAAGATCGAGGACCTGAAGACCGTTGGGAGAGGAGACACCCTTTGCCAGCATGAGCCCCATTTAGTTACAGTCTCTAGTGATACTCCTTGTAAAGAGATGCCATTTCAAATGCAGGTTCTCTTCTATATGATGTTTTTGTAAACAGGGATTTGTTATGGCTGCACGGTGTCCTTTATGTGCATGGATTGGAACAGACTACTTCTTGGCTAATGTTCTTCTACCTATAGATATCGATTGTGTGAAATTGATGAATGAGTTAGTTTGCCAACTATACGCTTGTCTTTCTTTTCTCTCCACAGAGTGTGGTCATGTTGTTTTGGCTATGCTTATGCATGAAATCATAATCATCACTGCTTACTAGGATCAGTGTTCCATAGGTACACCCAAATTCTTTTGAATTTTTTTTTTATGATGCGACTTCTCATACTTAACAACTCAGGCATTTGGAGAAATACATAAGAAATTAGGGCCGGACAATCGGATAGCGGTTAACCGATTGGTTACAATCAAAATTGGTCGGTTATTTACTAACCGAAAATCGGTTGGTATTTGGAGGGCATGGCGAGATGCTTTTGATGTTGGGGGCAGCTCGGTTAACCGAAAATCGAGATAATTGAAGCCTTAAGGCTTCTTTTTGGTCGGTGATTCGGTTCAACCGATAATCGATCTTTCGGTTTTTGATTATGATCGAGCCGACCGAACTCCACCCTATAAGAAATCTAGAACGCGGAAGATAGAAAAAGAGACTACCTACATTGGATGACAGTCAATGGAGGAGTTAGGTTGAAGTTAGGAGAGGCTATAGTCTCTCTCAGATTTTGAAATATAGATAAAATTACATGTAAAATCTAAAACAAAATTAGTAAGTAGAATAGTCGGTAAATGTTAAACCCCTGCCCAATTACCACGGTTCAAGTAATATTATCATGGTTTGTGGAGGCTTTAGCATCCTAGGTTGAATAGGAGAAATGCTATTACCAACTTTTTATATTGAAAAAATTTGTAAAAAATATAGATATTTAGTTTGTTAGATTGGAAAATAACATTATAAGCAAAATTCATGCAAAAATATTTCAAAAAATAACATCAAATGAGAAAATGTTAATATGCTAGGAAAAATGCTAGCAAAATTTCACTCCCGGTCCATAGTTTGACCGTAAAAAAGAAAGTGACGGCCATATCTAATCCACGCCTAATCAACTCTTCGTCTTTGCACCTCGCAGACTACCGTCCCTTTTACTCCGTCTTTCCGCTTTCCCCGTCTCCATCTGCTCTTCTCCGTCATTTCTTATTTACGCAGCTCACAAGTCACTGCCATCTCCTCTCTCTGCTTCGCAATCCGAAGCGCCACGCTCCTCTCCAGCGCACTGTAGCTGGGACCCCATTCCATTTACGCTCCTTTTCCTCAGCTACACAAATTTCCCTCATCTGGCTATTGGGGTCCTGGATGCTACTGGCTGGCTGATTCATTCGATGAGACAACGGCTCCTCATCTTCTAGAATGGGTTCATTGGATTCGGGCTTTCCTCTCAAGAGGGACGGCGGTCTCTTCCGTTCTTCCTCAGCTGGTAAAACTGAGAAGAACCAGTTTCTGCAGAAACCCAGATCAAGATTCTCCCGTTTCTTCTTCCTCAAGAAGCTCGATTACCTCCTATGGATTTGCACAGTGGCTGTCTTCCTCTTCTTTGTCGTTGTCTTCCAGATGTTCTTGCCTGGCTCTGTCATTGAGAAATCAGAGGGCTCAGCCGCCGACCTTGGCTTGCTCTCCGCGGATTTTGCTTATTTGAAACAAATGGGTGGTTTGGATTTCGGAGACGATGTCGAGTTCAAGCCGTCGCAGCTAATAGAGAAGTTTCAGATGGAAGCTCAGAGAGAGCTCCATCCTTCGTCCACGTCGAATAAGACTCAATTGCAGCGTTTCGCTAACAGGAAACCACAGCTCGCCCTGGTCAGTGCCTTTTTGCTTCCCAATCAATGCGTTTTTTTTTATGGTGAACTGACGCTATACTGGTGTTCTTTCTTTCACTGAGCAAATCATTTTCATCTTGCTTTCCATGTTTCAATGATTGGGCTCTTTTTTTACTACGTGCTTTATTAACCTGTAGGTGTTCAGTGATCTGTTAGTTGAGCCGCAGCAGCTGCTTATGGTTACAGCGACAACTGCATTGCAGGAGATGGGGTACTCAATTCAGGTGGTTATTCTACCAAAAACACTATATTTAGTATTATCAAAATTCAACTTTTGGATGTCTTCAACGAACTTCGTGGCTTGTTTCAGTCCTCGGCTTGTTAGATCCCTTGTCCAGTTATGTGCAAATGTATATCAAACTGCATATGACAACTTCAGGCTTCCATTTCACCGTGCTTCTCTCTTGGTGCAAATGTTTTCTGGTTTGATATGTGAGCATTTAGTAATTTACCTAATTTTGATTATCCATAACATTGAGCTTGAAGCCCCTGAGATATTTATAATCCCTGCTCCACTTGGCTACCAGAATGCCTGCCACAGGGACATGAGCTCTTTTAACCATAGCCTAAGTAGAGACACTATTTATATGCCTGTGATTCATGTTTGTCATTTGTTTTTCGACAGGTATACTCATTAGAGGACGGTCCTGTGCATAATATTTGGAAGAGCATGGGGGTTCCAGTCTCAACTTTGAAAGATGAGAAAACAAATATGATAGTTGATTGGCTAAAGTAAGCTGCTCGATAAAATAGTGGGAACTGAATTCTCAATCATGAACATTTACGGTTTCAAATGAGTCAAAGGAACCATTGACAAATTCTTCCTTAGGATAGGAATTCTGGTAGTGTCTAACTATGTCAAGTTATATTTCGATTTGCAGCTATGATGGCATAATTGTAAACTCTCTTGAAGCCAAGGAGGTTATCTCTTGGTAAGATTCATTACAATCTCCTAAGGCAACGTAACTACATAATTTTAGCGGTGGGTTACATTATTATGTAAGAGATTCATCATCTTATCATGAGAAGGGTTTGACCCTGGGTACTTGGTTTACATTTTAACTCAAGGGGTCAATTCATAGCTCAAGTATATTGTACTAAAGATGCCATGCTCTAGTCTAGTTTACTAAAGATGCCCTTATCTGGGTTGATTAACATAAATGATTTCACTTTTTTCAGTTTGATGCAGGAACCATTTAAATCTGTGCCTCTCATATGGACCATCCGTGACAGTACGCTTGCTGTCCGTTTGAGGCAGTATGATTCCAGTGGTCAGATTGACCTCATTGACAATTGGAAAAAGGTTTTCAACCGCGCTAGTGTGGTTTTGTTCCCGAATCATGTGCTACCGGTAATTACTTGGTGCCGATCTATTATTTCTGAAATATTATGCTGAAGTTGACAGATTAGATATCTCGTCCTTGCTTTCATACTTCTTCCGAATACCTACACTGACTTGGCATGAGTACTTAAACATTTCCGTTTGGGATATTGTGCAGATGATGTACGCAGCATTTGATGCTGGAAACTATTATGTTGTCCCTGGTTCCCCTGCTGAAGCGTGGGGACTAGATGATACAAGCACATTATATAATGAGAGCCGTGTGAGAATGGGTTACGGGTCTGACGACACTGTCATTGTGGTAGCTGGAAGTCAGTTTCTATATAGGGGTTTGTGGCTTGAGCATGCACTTGTTTTACAGGCTCTATTACCGATATGTTCCAACTTCCCACTTGAGAAGAATTCCAGTTCTCTTAAAATCATTGTTTTAAGTGGCAACTCCAACAGCAACTACAGTATGGCTGTAGAGGTATTGTTGGGGTTGATTCCTGCGGAGTTCAATACTTATATCTGAATTTTCATTAATATAGTGATTTTCTTTCTTTAGGCTATTGCAGCGAAGTTGAAATATCCAAATGGTGTTGTGAAGCACAAAGGTGTCGACGAAGATGCAAGCACTGTAATAAGTGCATCTGATCTGGTTATATATGGGTCCTTTAACGAGGAGCAATCTTTTCCAGAAGTTGTAATGAAAGCAATGTCCATGGCGAAGCCTGTCATTGCTCCAGATCTTGCTATGATAAAGAAATACGTATGTTTCTCTTGCTGAGATTTCTTAGGTGATAACTTTTAAGACTCAAAATGGGCACAATTTTTTTCGAACGAGGAAGCTCTTCACTATGTGAAAGAATGAAAAGTAGCCCATCACCAGAAAGTTCATCTTGCCATTAGGTTCTGACTTTCTCATAATTGGTGTGGAGTCCACAAATATTTTGCCAATTTGGACTATTGAATGGTTTAATCATCCATCTGTATCCTCGCTATTTTTACCTGCGGATCATGTTGAGTGCACGAGTTTGCTTATTTAGCTTAATTTACTTTCGTTATTCAGCATGTTCAGTGATGAAGGCTTTGCTAATTTATGGACAACCGTATTAGTCTTGTAGCTCTGAAATTTATAGATTCTGATCCCATTGGGACATCCAAAGGGCTTTCTTATAAAATCAGTTCACTTCATTCACCCTAGGTTGCGGGTCTACCTTGATTAAATAACATTTGTAACTTTCTCGGAAGCTACCAGCTCCTACAACCTATCATGGTCTTACATTTCTAGGTTGTGGCACAAGATGTCTTTTGACAGGATAATTCAGAATCTAGAACTTAAGTATGTGACATTGATTTTCAGTTCAACTATTTACTGGCAGAGCTTGTATTCCGATTCCCTTGTTTTATCATTATCTTACATATTTGGACATTTTCTTACTGTTTTCAGTTGTATTTGGTAACTGATAGGTTGATGACAGGGTTAATGGGTTTCTTTTCCCCAAGGACAAGATCAAGGATCTTACGGAACTTTTATTGCACTTGATGCCAAGAGGGAAACTATCGCCACTGGTTCATGAAGTTGCTTCAGAAGGAAAAGTCACTGCTAAAAATCTGATGGTTTCGGAAACAATTGAAAGTTATGCTCTACTACTTCAAAATGTTCTCAAACTTCCATCAGAAGTTATACCTCCTAGAGCTGTTACAGAAATCCCTCCAATATTGAAAGTAGAATGGCGGTGGCGACTATTTCAACCATTTTTTAATTCCACAAATGAAGACAGAGCATTGAAGAGTTTTAGATTCTTGGATAGGTTCGAGGAGCTGTGGAACTATACGCATACGGAGGGTTATGGCTCTAGAGGTGGTCCTGATGATTCATTTATCTACGAAATCTGGGTAGACCAGAAAAATGAGCAGATACTCCATAGTAGAAAGAGAAGAGAAGAAGAAGAAGTAAGTGTCCTAGTGGTACCATCCCGGGAATCGTTTCTCTTAATTGTCTTATTGATTGGATATTAATAAGTCCCTATGTATATGCAGCTGAAAGACCGTACCGACCAGCCCCGTGGAACATGGGAGGAAGTATACCGTAGTGCTAGAAGAGCTGACCGGGTTAAGAATGATTTACGGGAAAGGGATGAAGGAGAGCTTGAGAGAACAGGTCAACCTTTATGCATTTATGAACCGTACTTTGGAGAAGGGACGTGGTCTTTTCTGCACAGTCAGTCACTATATCGTGGGATAGGCTTGGTGAGTTTAATGTTTTCATCCCTATTATATTTCAACCTTCCACTTATTTTTCTTTGATGGAAAATGGCACTTTGTTTCTTGTTCATAATTGGCCTATTCACATGTTTCCAGTCTGCAAAAGGGAGAAGACCTATGACAGATGATATTGACGCACCATCTCGTCTACAACTTCTAAATGACCCTTACTACCGAGATACCCTCAGTGAATATGGAGCCTTTTTTGCAGTTGCAAATCGTTTTGACCGTGTTCATAAGAATGCTTGGATAGGGTTCCATTCTTGGAGAGCAACCGCAAGAAAGGTACAGGAGGACTGACTGCATATGTTTTTTCCCTGCTATTAGGTTCAGGCTTTTGTTTGTCCCTTCTATCGTCTGAAACTTCTTTTACAGTAGCTCGGTTATGTAGGCAGGATCGCAGCATTATGCTTCAAAGTATCACCTGTTGCTCAGTGTATGAGTTCTAAAAATGTTGATACTTATCAAAAGCTCCAAACCAAGCTTCAAAATGCTTCTCCATTTGGACCACATGACAGTATTCACCATAAAGTTCAGTACTAGATGCTCCGTCTGTGGAAAAATTAGAATACTGATAACAAAAGGGAACTTAGAATGATCTGGTTCTCTTCGGTTGCAATGCAAGTGACACAAGTCGAGCTTGTGCCTGCTGTAATTGTGTTTCTGATGCTTGTTCTACTCTTTGGACTATGAACAGGCATCTTTATCTAAGGTTGCGGAAAATGCATTGTTAGATGCTATTCAAACACGAAAGTATGGAGACACACTCTTTTTTTGGGTTCGCATGGACAATGATCCAAGAAATCACATACAACAGGACTTTTGGTCCTTCTGTGATGCCATAAATGCAGGAAATTGCAAGTAAGAGATCCGAACCATCAGATCATTGATTATCATGTGAAACCTAGAGAATTGATTCATCAACAATTTTTATCGGTTGGTGGTTTGAAGGTTAGCTTTCTCAAAGGCCCTGAGCAAGATGTATGGTATCAAAGGGGGCCTTGATGTCTTGCCACCGATGCCTGTGGATGGCGATACTTGGTCTGTCATGTCGAGTTGGGCTATGCCAAGTAGATCCTACCTGGAATTTGTGATGTTCTCAAGGTTAGAACCGTCCTGTTGGCTGTTCAAATGGTGTTATCATGATGTTTTTCTTTCTGAACTATAGTCACAATCTGTTAAGTTTGTTGCTCATCGTGTATTATTTTGAACTAGCAGAATGTTCGTGGATGCTCTGGATGCAGATATGTATGATGAACACCGTCAAAGTGGGCACTGCTTTTTGAGTTTATACAAGGTAATTTCCGTAGCACAAAAATATTTTTTGGAGTCCTCTGCCCAGGTGAGTCGGTTGCTATATGTAGAGGTGGCAATTGGTTGGTTTGTGTGTGGGTCTTAAATGGGTTGCTGGTATTGTCTTGAAAATTTCGGGTGGTTTCGGTCAGCTGTCAGGTGACTCGGGTCTAAGGGTTGTTGGGGGTGAAGTTTTAGTAGTTTGGGTGGTAAATTTTGAATGACAGTTGGATTAGTTTCTTACTCGCTTACAGAGGGACGGGATAACCAGACATGGAAGTGTATTATTGTTGCAGGATAGGCATTGCTATTCTCGGATTCTTGAGCTACTCGTCAACGTCTGGGCATACCACAGTGCTAGACAGATGGTGTATGTAAACCCAGAGACTGGAGTGATGCATGAGCAGCACAGCATGAAGAGCCGGAGGGGCAAAATGTGGGCGAAATGGTTTTCATTTGCCACATTGAAGAGCATGGACGAGGAACTGGCCGAGGAGGCAGATTCAGACCACCGGAGTAAGAGGTGGTTGTGGCCTTCAACTGGTGAAATCTTCTGGCAAGGTATGTATGAGAAGGAGAGGAGCATGCGGAATCAGGAGAAGGAGAAGAGGAAGCAACAGAGCAAGGACAAACTCAAGAGGATGAAGGGTAGACATCGACAGAAAGTGTTAGGGAAATACAGGAAGCCCTCTCCGGAGGAGATGGTGACGATGATGGAGAATTCGACGATGTTGAACCGCAGCAGGAAGTTGCTATAAAGATTGGTTTCGGATTATAGAACAGCCAACACAGCCTCACCTATTTCGTGGATGTAGTAGTAAAGGTAGAGTCTAATTGATAGATTCATTCTTTCATTGTTGATTTTGCACATCAACTCCCGCTTGTTTTTGGTTGAAAATAGGCACATGTATTACTGTTGGCAGGGGATCTGTAATTATATGAATGCGTCCCTCTTGCCCATGAGTTTGCTTTTTCATAGTCTTCCTGTCAGTTCATGTATTAACCTAGCTCAGTGGAGCACTGATTTTTTTACTGAGATATCCTTTATAAAGTGCTAAAACATTAAACGAACCATAATGCTTAAAAAATAGTGTGAATTTCTCCATAAGTAGTGGGGGTAAATGACACATTTGGTCACCGAGATTACTAAATCGTGTCATATTTAGTCAATAGAAAAATTTAATATCAATTTTGGTCACTCGAATTACTGAAACAGGTCACATTTGGTCACTTTTCTGTAGCCTCTGTCCAACTCCGGTCACTCGAATTATTGAAAAATGTCACATTTAGTCACTCGGATTACTGAAACATGTCACATTTAGTCACTCTCCCAAAAGTTTCCGTCCAACTACATTAATGGAGTTGGACGGAAACTGACGGGAGAGTGACTAAATTTGACCAGTTTCGGTAATTCGAGTGACCAAAATTGATATTAATTTTTTCTAGTGACTAAACATGACACAATTTAATAATTTCAGTGACCAAATGTGTCATTTACATTTTACCCTAAGTAGTGGTTATTACCAATTTAAGTACGATTCCATTTGCGGTTTTCTTCTGATGATAGTGCATGCTTGTGGGAGTTGTTTTAATAAAAGTAATGCTCGATAAAAGTAGGGTGTTGGCAATGGTTTCTATCCAACAACAGACTTGGGCTTTGATCCCACTCGCTAATCACGGGCTTTCCAGGCCCAAGCCTACTAATCTGCAGCGTTTCTCTCTATGTCCGGGTATGGAAAGGTTTAACCCAACCGGCAAATTTTGAGCAGCCGGTATAAGCACGAAAGCTCTGCCCCAACCACGACGAGCTTTCTTGAACCTGTCTGGAAAATCAAAGCAAGGGAAAGCCGTAAGAGGTAAATAAAAGAGGAGGAAGAAGGGGTAGCAAGCATAGTCGAGGAAGAGCAGGAGGCAGGCAGAGAGGGCTGCAACCCTATTGGAAGCGGTAAAGGCGCGCTCTTAGACTCTCAGTCTCAGGTGAACTACCGACTTCGTTAGGGTTTTACCACCTCCACTCCAACCGTCGCGATCCGCGTTCCATAGCCTACAGTCCTATACTTCCACTGGATTTAGCTCCTTTCTGCGTTCGAGTTTGCTTCGATCTTTGCCAGGGTGTTTGAATCTGTTTCTGGGTCTCACTTTTGTTTTCTCCTACAGGGTGCTCGTTAATTTGGTGGGATCGCTCTTCGCTCCAGAAAGATGGTATCTTTCTCTCTCTCTCTCTCTCTCTCTCTCTCCAGTATTTGTATGGCTCTGAAAGTGTGCATTTTTTCCCCCTTGATCCTGCAATAGAAGTGGGGTTTGCAGAAGATTGCTGTTTGATTTTGTTATAATTTCGGTTTTCTGCTGCTCTATGCCCATTTGTTTGGGATACAAACCGTTTCCCTCTAGTAGGATATACTAGTTTGCTTGATGGGTAAGACGTTCTAATGGTTTACTTTCTGTTTGCAGCTTCCTCTTTCGCTACTGAAGACTGCACAGGGCCATCCCATGGTAAGATGCCTCCCTCCCACCTTTTTGGAATTTGGCATTCTTTCTGGATTTTTTTTCTTGTTTGTTGGGTTTTTGTTACCGCTTTCATTCTTTAGCTGCAGGTTGTAATTCATGCTGCTTTGTGGTTTCACAGTTGGTCGAGCTTAAAAATGGCGAAACTTACAATGGACATTTGGTCAACTGTGATACATGGATGAACATCCATCTTCGTGAAGTTATCTGCACCTCTAAGGTACCTCTCTTATTGTGAAAGTTTACATGCTCCAGAAGGGCTGGAATTGGTCTCATGCTTCTATGTTCTAATTCTTTTTTGTTCCCTCAGGATGGTGACAGGTTTTGGCGTATGCCTGAATGCTACATACGTGGAAATACCATCAAGTATCTCCGGGTTCCTGATGAGGTATATTATATGGTCCATTTCAGATCTATTATCTGTTTAGCTTAAGTTTATTCAAGTAAAATGAAAATGCTGGTAGATGATTTCTGGTGCTTGATACTTGATTGCCAATTTGATTGTCGTAGGCTTCAATGTGCTGACATGACGCTCAAAATTAAAATAGGAAATCCTAGGTATCTTCAGGAATGTAAATCCAATTTTGTAACTTGCTGTGAAGAAACTGAATTGTCTGGTTGTCATGTGATATTTAAACCTTAGAAATTGGAAGTTCAAATCCTTTGCTTCTTGCGAAATGTAGACCAAATAGTATTATTGACTTAAGACTTTTTATTATTATATAAGACTGAACTTTTTTGAGGCTCATGGGATGTAGCAGTAAGGAACTCTGTGCCTTTTTCTTCTGAGCTTGTCAACTTTGTTTCTTGTGTATTGAATAATTATATGATTGAGGATAACTACTGTTAGATACTGTAAGCGTTTCACTGCCATGTATTTGAGATGAGGTTGCCATGTAATTTCAATAGGTAGCGTAATTCTGTAGACACTTTTGCTCTCGTGACTCTTTTTCTTTTCATATTCCAGGTCATTGATAAAGTTCAGGAAGAAACAAAAAGCCGCTCAGGTATGATCGCACTTTAGATCACTGTATGAGCATTATTGAACCAAACTTGTAATCATGTTGCGACATAGGTTCCGGTACTTAAAAAACAATTGGTTACTGAAGTGCTATGGTTCGAGATAGGTAGTGCTCCGGTTCGGACATGTATGTCTCTGCTGTCATGTCTCTCAACCCCTACTGGGGGAACAATTCGTTACATATTTTTGAAAACTTTTCACGGAGTTTTGAATGCGGTACGCTTGTCTAGAAAGAGCACTTTTCTGGTGGTTTTTGCTAATCAAATTGTTGAATTTTGCTAATCACAGACCGAAAGCCTCCTGGAGTTGGACGCGGTAGAGGGAGGGGTCGAGAAGATGGTCCTGGTGGAAGGGCTCCAAAGGGTGTTGGCCGTGGGCTTGACGATGGAGGTCCCAAGGGTCCAGGTGGAGGGCGTGGAAGAGGCCCCGGTGGGAAGCCTGGCGGAAGCAGAGGTAAACAAAACTTTTGGTACCTGCTATATATAGGCCGCCTTCTTTTTCTTCCAACTGGTTGCAGAATCTGTGCCGTGTTCCCCATTTTATGCAGGAAAGATTTGCTTACTGCCCTATGGAACCCTTGCTGTTCTTGCAGGTCCAGTTAGAGGACGTGGCTGATCCGTTGAATGATGAAACGATGGCTGGAGGGGTTAAGCTTGCTACTTTTTCCAAGCATATATGGCCGCAGTCACTATCCGTTTGAGAGTTTGTTTTGGTAAATGATGCAATGTTGTGATTTTCTGGTGCTTCTTTCTCTCTTGTTCTTGTAACAAAGTGATCGAACGAACTTCCTTGGGTCCCAAGATACTAGCTGGGGGTGTTCTCTTCGTCTGAATCATTTGACTTACTGGATCCATGACTTTTACTGGGCTCTTCCAGACAACTCTATCATCAACCATCAAGCCCATAGATAAAGAGTGCAGCATTTGTCTCTGGGGTGTATTTAAATGGTTGTATGATAATTATCAAATCAATTAAACCTAATTGTCAAAAAAAAAAAAAATCAATTAAACCTAAACTTTTGGAATATAATTTTTTAATCAAGTTGATATGACAATCAAATTAACTTTATAATTGGTTGATTAATTAATTGCGTTAACTAATATGATGTAATATTATTGCTCCGTGAGAAAAATTCTCTTCTTAATGCATCAATGCATATAGTATTATATTGAATAAACAATAATGTATTAACAAAGGGAAGATTACTTGAATTTTGATTGATTATGCATTGTATTAACTTATATATAACATGTTGAGAAATTAGTATAAATGGTCGGTACCGAAACGGTGACGAAAATTCTATTTTGTATGATTTAGTAACACATGCTTGGACGTGTAATCTTTCGTCTATATCCATCCAAAATTCCATCAAACAAGCCTAGTCAACAATCCTCGTCATCCATAAAATGATAATAAGTTACACTTCACCATCCAACTAAACGGTTAATTAGTTAATTGGTTTGATTTGATAGCCGTGTGAGAAATTAAATCACATCACCTAAACGGCTAAACCAAACAAATTAAATAATTTAACCAAATCAAACTAATTATTCAAACTAAACATTGTAAAGATTGCCCAATTAAAATCGTAAAGTCACCACTCCATTTAAACCCTCCGTCAACTTGGGATCATAATTTAGAAAGCTTCACGCCTCTTCTATCTGCTTCTTGCAACGAGCAGCGCAAGTTGTTGGCAAGTTGCGATTTGATTTTGTTATAAAAAATTTTGTGATTTTACGGTTTCGTCCCTAATAAAATCGCCGCTGAAGATTCGCTGTTTTGTTCGTCAACCTCCAAATTCCCTTTCCCACCGTCGAATCTGCACTGCAGTAGGCTCGGACTCCCAGAGACCGCGCAAATTTCGCCGGGAGCCTGCCTAACCAATATCCGCCATGGAACTAATGATCCATTCTTCTTCCTTCCTTCTCCCCAACATCCCTGCCGGAGAAGAAGACAACCACCGCCATTCTCCAACATACGCCCTCGTCCTCCTCAACCAACGCCTCCCTCAATTCACTCCTCTGCTCTGGCAGCACGGTACTCAACCCTTTCCTTCCTTTCTTTCCTTCTTTCTTTCAACTTGGGTTGTTTCAAATAGTCTCGGACTCGAATAACTCTCGTTGTGATTTCGTGCGTAGAGCAGCACGAGTTCGAGTCTGCGCCGATGGAGGAGCCAATCGGGTCTATGATGAAATGCCCCTTCTCTTCCCGCACGAAGACGCCGCCATTGTTCGCCACAGGTAACTAACTGTTCCTTCATTCTGGTTCTCTGCGTTAACCAGGCATTCGGATTGGAGGAATCATTGGTTCTGTCTGTCTCCTCTGTTTGATTAAAACCTTGGAATAAATATGCTATGCTGTTTACGGCCTCGCAGCAAAGGGGGAATCTCCATTGCTTCAATGCTTATTGCATTTGGCATCTGAGAGAGAAGGGCTGTGGTTTCTAGTCTCTTCTCTCTTTAGCTTGTTCCCCCTTTTTTTTTTTAATCGAGAAATCGTGCGAATCAGACCCCTTTCTCCATGTACAACTCTGTTGTAAGGCAGTCGTTCGTTGTTGAAGTGGGTTGTTGAGTCTCCCTGACGGCAGTTTGTTAACTGTGCTAACAGGTTCAAACCAGATGTAATCAAGGGGGATATGGATTCGATACGATCTGAAGTACTGAGCTTTTACAGTGAATTGGTAAGTCGAGCCACTTCCTTGCTATCAATCTCATTGCGATGTAATTCGGGTCCAGCTTCTACAAGTCTCTTTGTATTGCTCTTCTGATGGATCTTGAGCTAACTTTCTGATCACGTGTCTGCCTTACTTGCTTCATTTCAGGGAACTGATGTAGTTGATGAATCTGATGATCAAGATACCACTGACCTGCACAAATGCATAGCTTATATTAATGGTGCCATGCCAAATGTTGATAAGTCATCGGTTAGTAAATCATAATGAATACTTTTTCCTCTTTTTGAACCAATGGATTCTCTCATCTTAGTATGGCCACAAAGTAAAATGCACACTGCCTGTGAAGAAAGCATTATGTTGTGAAATGAGCATCACCAGTGATGGTGATGTGATGTTCTAGGGAGCACATCTGATATCTCTCTATGCTGAGAAGTGAGAAGTGCATTAAACTTTGTGGAGTCTGTAATTTTTTTGCAGTTCTGCATCCTCGTGACTGGAGCACTTGGAGGGCGATTCGACCACGAAGCTGGCAACCTCAATGTCCTGCACCGTTTCTCAACCACGCGGATAACCCTTCTATCAGATGAATGCCTCATTTACCTGCTTCCGAAAACTCACCGTCATGAAATCCATGTAAACTCCTCTGCCGAGGGACCGCATTGTGGACTCATTCCGATGGGGATGCCATCCGGGAGAACTACAACAACGGGCCTTCAGTGGGACCTCAGTGAGTAACATTGTATGAATAGAAGTTGGGTTTCTTGCCTGCAGAAGTTGGGATACTGCTGCTCTTAAGTCTTAACAATTGTTTTTATGGTTTTCTTCTTCTTGTTGCTTTCCAACAGATGAAGCGGAGATGAAGTTTGGAGGTCTAGTAAGTACATCAAACATAGTGAAAGCAGAAAAGGTTACGGTGGAGTCGGATGCGGATCTCCTGTGGACGATATCGATTAAAAAGTTCTGATGCCCCCCTCGGCACTTCTGCTTCGACGACGGTGAGGCAGGTCGAGGTCTGCTCAGTAACTACATTTTTCTGTAGGTAGTAGAAATGCATATGTATGAAGGCAAAATATATGGTAATTTTATTTAGGTTAAACAGACTGATAAATTCAACTATCACACGTCTCACCCACACCGTTACTTTTTGACAACAATGTCGAGTACAACTTCATTGTATTATTCACAATGTTTTAGAAACCTGCCCTACAGTCCAATCATCGGATATCAAGCTCAAATGGAAGAAAATACGGGAAAATCACGATTGTAATACAAAATACTCTTTTTTTCTATAATGGCACTTAGGTTCCATATACAAAACTATATCTGATAGTTGTAGAAGCAAACATTGTGATGCAAATCCTGTAATTGCACTTAGGTTCCATCTACAAAACTATATCTGACAGTTGTAGAAGCAAACATTGTGATGCAAATTTGGATGATCTCATATAAATAGGAGCATATACACCAATTAGATAATCAATCATACAAGATACCAGACCGATTCATCCTACGATTTGAATCGACTGTAGATTAAAGGATAAACAGCAACGTTCATAAATCAAAACCTGTGTGTGCTTTTGATGACGCTATTACACAAGAGCTGCAAATAAAGATATGGATTCAACACCATGCGCTTCTTCTCTTGTTGCCTTCTTTCCTTCCAAGACCGATATCACAGGCAGAGCTCAATCTGGTCAGGTCAGCTAACAAAATCAGCACCAGCAGGCACAGACTAACTGGAGCGCAAGCCAGGGACATTCTTGAGACCCATCTTGCCAAGGATAATCTTAGGAATGATAGGGGGGTTGTCAAGCCCCATGCTCCTGCTGAAGTCATTCGCAAGCTGAACCAGTTTCGCCTTGTCCTTCCCAATCTTCTTGTCAGAGTTGTAATATCCAAGCCAAGCTTGATACGCTGTTTCTTTGTGCTTCATCTCCACATTGGACAGCGCCCTTTCAACCTGTTTCAGAACCCCCCGGTTTTAGGGTTACATATACAAGTACACACATACAACAAACAATATATATATACACACACACACACCCTATGATGTACCATAAGCCGAACCAAGAAATGCTTTGGCTTTACGGACATCGTACCTTCTTGGTTGTCTCTGGGTCTACTATGGGGACAGAAGCCTTGGTTAAGGGCAAATCCTTCATAGTGGAGAGAAAGAATTCTTCCCATGGTGCAAGCAGAAGTATGCCTTGCCCTTCTTTCCCCTTTCTCCCTGTTCGGCCTAGCCGATGGATGTACTGTTCTCTTCCGGCTGGCAAGCCCACCTGTTTTAGCAGCAGTGATAAAACTTCTTTTCTCAGTGCAAACCCAATGTTATTGTACAAAAGGAGAAAGTATGAGCATTGATTGAGATGCAAAGGCAAGAAAATGATAAGAAAATCTCACCTGTATAACAAGGGTAACATCAGGGTAATCAACACCACGTGCTGATACATCAGAAGTCACTAGTATGAGGCCCTTGGATTTCCGGAACTCATCAGAAACCCTAGTTCTGTAATTCTGAGCCTTCCTGGAATGAATCTCTCTGACGTTTAGTTTTAGTTCACCAAGAAAGTCCGAAACCAGTCTTGTGACCCAGGCAGTGGTACAAAAAACGAGAACCTGGAGAAAGAAAGGACGTTGTTGTAACTTATGTTACTGAGATGTCAATGCAGTAGTAGACTTCATGATTCCCAATATGGGTGCAAATCAGCCAGGTCAACATCAAACCAACTCGGAGCAATAAACAATGCATGTCCACATAGTTACTATACTACAAAACCCAAGGCCATTTTAGGCTGTACAATGCAGACACGGTTCTTCATCTGATAAGCAGAAATTACCTTGTAATCCACATTATCTGCAATGTGATCTCGTAGGAGCGCATAAAGGAGAGAAAAGTGCTTCTCCATGGGAGCAACCAAATGCATTTGTCTGACCTGGAAATGTTCAAAATTTTCTACTAAAAAAGGTTGCCTTGATTGAAGAAGAAGTAGACAGCAGGATGGGACTAAAAGCAAGAAAAAAATGTGACCTTTGCATGTGTCTCCTCTGATCCCTCTTCAACTGTATTAATGAACTCATGGTCTCTTTTCAAAGCAAAATGACACACTTGACGAACCTACATTCAAAGGAAAATTGCCAGTAAAAATTCCATTCAGTTCAGCAAGCATGCCAACACAAACACAGTTAATGAGAAAGAACCTCTTCAGGAACTGTTGCAGAGAATAGGAGTGTTTGGCGTTGTTTTGAAAGAGCAGCTATTATTTGATCAAGGTCTTTGCGGAATCCCATATCAAGTAAACGATCAGCTTCATCAAGAACAAGCACTTTGACACCCTTCATTCTTGTTGCAAACCCAGCGGTATTCTCAAGATGATCTCTGAGTCTTCCAGGCGTAGCAACAAGAATCTGTCAATTTTGGATGCACGAAAAAGAACAATCAACATACTGAACAAGTAAAAACCTAGGCAGGATTCTAGCATTTGCAATTTGAATACTGAACAGTTTGCTGATACTTTCTTGTCTTCCTAAGTTGCCCTCAAAAAATAAAGGGACAAGAGTAAATAGCTTATCAGGACAAACTCTCTGAGGAAAACTAACTATAAATGACTCAGAACTCGAGTATACTATTTTTCGATTCAGGAACTTTGCAAGAGATCATCCCTTCTGCTAACCAGCAATCATAGCATTTCACAATAGTAGCTTACCTGGCATGGGTTAGCTTGCATTTTTTTCTGCTCTAAAGCAAGTCGTGTACCTCCTATCACAAATTGGACACCAAGGGAAGGATGGTACTTCAGTAGCTTATTTGCTTCTGCTGCAGCTTGTGACGCAAGTTCCCTTGTCGGGCATATTACGAGCACAAGAATAGGGGGTCGCTTGTTATCATGATCAGCAGGAGGTGATTTCACAATGACTTCAATTGATGGAAGCTGGAAAATAACAGAGCAGACATAGCCCAAAAAATTAATGTTTCAACTCATTCAGAATTCATACCACAATTAGAAGGTCATTTCACAAAATAAAAGTACCATTATAAAACCAAAAAAACATGTTTTTACATCAATACGACTAACTGCAAAGGACGGAACTTACCAGAAATGCTACAGTTTTACCAGTGCCGGTTCTAGCTTTGGCTAAAACATCCTTTCCTGAAAAAGATCAAAACCATCCCATGTAAGCGAGTACTACATCAACATATATGGGTAATAAACAAGGTCAGCTTATACGGATTCAGTACTCGGTTCAGAAAATTTAGTCAGACCAACTAGTCAATAACATTTAAGCATGCTGATAAGCAAATATCATGCAGCGCCAAAGACATTCATCAGTATAAACACTGGATCTTAAATGGTTGAGCCGGTGAACAATTTTTTCTTCATAAGATCTGCAGCTACATATGTTTATTAGGCACAAACTGTAACACATTGCTCACATCAATGATCCGCAAAAATGGGGATCATGAACTACCAAGGAGCATGGGTAGACCTAGCCCAACTAAGGCATCTATACCGATCCTAGAGGCCAGATACAAAAGGGACAAATATGACATGTTTCCTGCAGCATAGTCCTGATGCAAAAGCCTAACCTAGGCTCAACATACATAGAAGCATGACCAAAAAAGTACTTTAAAAAGAGAAAACCTTTAAGAATTACGGGGAGTGTAGCTTCCTGGACGACCGTCATCTTCTCATATCCAGCATCTTTGATTGCTTTTAATGACAGTGGAGAAACTGAACACTGGTCAAATCTGTAGGCAATTTACATCGAAGAAAAGTTGGTGAAATACCCAAAGACCAGTCTTTAACAAATGTGAAAGACTGCTGACAAGTTTGGGAGGTGGGGTATGACAGCACCTACTAGTTACCCAGGTAAAAGAATCATGAACATCCATCCCTAATTTTAGGTCACCAAAGTGAAACTTACTTCATTGCCAACATACTTTTCATAGTTTTTGTTGGCCAGAAGTTCTAGAAACTTCACTAGACTGCATATACAGCATATATACCCATGGATGCAAACCTGGCAGTGAGGCTTAGCAAAGTTTAACTTCCCTTCTCACAGAGAAAGAAGCCTGTGTTTAGTATTGGCACTCGCATGATTAAAATGATGCAGGAATGTGCTTGAACATGCATCATGCATCATGCATATGTAAACTTCAATAATTTTCTCACAAATATGCACTAACTTGCGTAACGGGTATCATCACTCTACAACATCCGCAAAAGAAACAAACAATGACAAAAGAGCAAATTAAGAACATCAGGTGCCATATCAGTTGACACATCAAGGTATGAACCTCATTCGCTAGCCTGCTATAGCTTGAGCTTTCCTAACCAAGCCACAAATATGCCAGAGCTATGGAAAATTGACAAAGGATAACACAGCAGAAAGCTGAAACGGAAGCAAAAAAAAGTTCCCTCATTTTGACATACCTAGTTTCACTCAGATAAGAGTCCGAACTTCCAGCTGAACTTGGAGTTACTTTTGCCTGATACTGCTTCTCCAATCCCAACGAAGAAGATGCACGATTCTTATAAAAACTATCGTCGTCGTCTTCTTCTCTTTCCTTACCATCTTCGTCCTCGTCACTCTCCTCTTCCACCAGCAGATCCCCAAGGCCTCCTATTGACGCCATTTCCTCCTCATCATTATCCCCACCGCCATCCTGGTCAGAAATAAAGCCACTTCTCCCTCCCGGACCCTTCTTTGCATCCTTTCTAAACACCGAGTCTACAACTCTCCCTCGTCCTCTCCCTCGTCCTCTTCCTCTCGAGTCTCCATTTCTACCGCCAGTTGTCCGCGCTTGGAACCTCCCTCCTTCATTACCGCCTCTGAGCGCCGAATTCCTCGGAAAAGACTCGCCGCCCTGTGTTCGAACTCTCCTCCGACTCGACGCATCATACTCGCCGGTCTCACCCTCCCTCCTCCTCTTCACCGGCAACCCTTCTCTTGCCCCTTCTCCCCGTCCTCTCCCTCCAACGCTACCCCTGTTCCTCTTACCAGCCATGTCGGAATCCGAGTCTTCGTCGCTAGTCTGCCGGCCGCGGAGCGAACTCGTTCGCAAATCGCTGACCCAGTCGCTGAGCTCGGCCTCGTCCTCAATCAAGCTCTTGGAGGCCCTCGCCTCTCGTCCGAAATCTTGGGCGGAGCGGGCGGCTCCCCGGGCGCGAAATGGGCGGGCGCCGAGCTGGGATCCGGGTCGGGTCCCGAAAGCTGCGAATTTGTGGAGTCTTAAAGGGAAAACGAGGGAGAGAGTGCTGTTGATGGAGCGAAAGCAAGCGAATTGGGAGCAGTGCTTGGCTTTGGGAACAAGGCTGACGGGGAGTGCGGGACTGAGTAGGCGGAGCTGGGAGAGAACTTTAATGGGCATGGCGTCGAATGGATTCCGGCTGCTGGAACTAGGGTTTAAGGTTTATCCGCAACTTCACTATTCTTTAGGGTTTAACGAGTAGCCAGCGGAGCGAACGCTTCGTGAAAACAAGATTGGGTTGGGGATGCCGCTCTGCAGTGGGCCATCATAGAAACAAATGGGCTCCTTATCTTCTTCTTTTTTCCTCCTCTAGCCCGCTATAAACATGTTAAGCCCATTGGCCACTATTCTCATCTTTTTTTTCCTCTTTTTTTTTTTTTTGGTTGAAAGATGGATGCTAGAGCATCCTAACTCGTATTAATAGAATGGTCCTGCGAAGTACCCATGGTATCATACATGAGACAGTAACAAAGGTTCTGATCGCACATATCGAACAAATGTGTGTCAAAATAGGTATCATGACCCTTACAAGTCAGGAAATCGGCGGCCAAAATTGCACTCTCTAAAAACATGAGAAAATCACAACTTCACGAGTAAACCAATCTGTTGCACCTTTAAACCATGTCGGTGGTTTATCTCTTTGGAATTTGTGATGAGGTCAATGGCAGTTGTGGAGTCTAACTTCAGCTCCACTTTTCTGTACCCTCTTTCTCAAGCAATGCGGTGTCCTTCGGCGACACCTTTCACCTCTGCCCTTGTAATTGAGCACACGCCCAAGTTGCAGACGGAGGCCTCTGTGCACCTGTCAAGATGGTCTCTCAAGAGCCTGCCAGCTGTTGCATAGCCTGTTTCGGGTGAGAAGGAGCCATCCGTCTGAATTTGGATTCAGCCTTCATTTGGAGGTGTCCAAGTGAGTTGAACAGTTGCTCGCTTAACCTGTTTGTTAATGTTGATCTTGTCGAAGCTCTCATGCGCCTGGCGATAAATGCCAAACCTAATCTTGTCTATCAGACCAAGTTCGGAGTAGACTTGGCCATCCAAGGCGTCTTCGTTCCTCTATTTCTAAAGCAGCCAACAGATGATCCCAAAATCAATTTTGTGGTTCCCATCTTTAAGGTTAGACGAGAGCAATTCATGGAACCCAACGTTAGGGTCAGTGGATGTAACTCTATTGCTACGAATACATACATCATGCCAAAATGAAATTAATCAAACCAAGACGATTCATATAGTTTTATGTCAAACCATCAAGATTCAAGAAGGCGTTGGGCGTAAGGCAGACATAGGGTCACTGCCTAGTGCCAGACACGTCTAAGCGGTACATAGGTTATGTCTAGGCATTTTAGCAAAAGTAGCAATTTTTAGCACATTTTTACTTTATTTCAATTTTAAATGTTACCAACTTAGCTAACCCTCAACATTATAAAAATAAGTCATATGATTTCGAATTGCAATTCCAAATCAAAGAACGAGTGAAGGATGCATTGAATATAGGGCAACTATAAATGATGTCGTTTTGGGAATATTAGCTACAATTCTTGTAATCATTGGTCTACTATTGAAATTAAGCACGACTCACTTAGATTCATCACGCCTCACATCAATTAATTGTGCCTATTTTCCCCTTAAGCATCGCTTAGACGTGATAAACACTTAATTTTCTGTCCAGGACTTAGGCGAGGCGTTTTGTCACTGCCCAATACCTAGGCCTACGCGAAATTACGCCTTCTTGATCCCTGCAAACCATTAAAAATCGTTCGGTTCATCACGTAACCGTCCAACTAAATGAATCAAATTGTTGTTGTAACTGATTTGGTGGTTCTATTAATTCATATGCTGAGTCGGTCAGTTCATCTGACAACGTAATTCAAGCATTAGATAGTAAATCTTTGCATTTTTTAAATCTAAATCACACCTACTTTCGATTTTATTAATTTTAGCATTTGATATTTACTAGTTTTGGTTCATCCATATATATTTTTATCAGCAAAATCACATTTTGAAACTATAAAAAAACACTAATAAGTAATATTTTTCTATACTTATTCGATTTCGCGGCTACTATTAACAAACTCATGAACCGAAATCAAACATACATACATTTATACATATGAGATGATCGCCTTGCAGGGCTTACACGTGGATTTCCCTGGTGTTGCTGCTGCTGTGCCATCTCTTCTTGCCCCCACGCGTCCCATTATCTATGACCATCCCCTTTTCTTAGCTTTCGACTCCGGCGTTCTTCATTTTATAATTTTTATTTTAATGGAATGTTATCTTCACTTCTCCTCCTTATAATCCCTCTTTCTTCATCTTCTCCTAAATAAGAATCGCTTTGATCAATGGCTGAATCCACCTCCTAAATTCCCTCCGCGCAACACAAAAGAAGAAAAAAAAGAACAAGAAACTTAAAATCTCCCCCTGCCTTCCTTCCCTGCCTCCCATTACAATTGATCATCGCCTAGCTACAACAAAAATAAACCTCGGATCAATTTCGATGGATTCTCAAATCAAGCAGCGCACAACCTCCGCTTCTGCACCCGACAACACCACCGCGACAATGGCGAACAAATCAGCGGCGAGAGGTGGGAGGAGGGAGAAGAGGATGGCGATGGCCAAGAGGGGCCTGCGGTCGCTGGCCGTGGCGGTGGGCCTCCCTCTCTCCCTCACCTTCCTCAGCATCTACTTCCTCGACCGCGGCGGAGGCTACGGCCGCGGCAGCGGCGAGGGCGGCCGACACGTGGCGGCGTTCTGGTTCCCGCCGCTCTGGCTCGTCCACGCGACCTGCCTGACCGCGGCGCTCCTGATGGGCCTGTCGGGGTGGCTGGTGTGGGCCGAGGGCGGGTTCCACAAGCAGCCCGCGGCCCTCTACACGTACGGGGCCCAGCTCGGGCTCAGCCTCGTGTGGGGGCCCGTGGTGTTCGGGCTCGGTGCGCCGTCGTTGGGGCTCGTCGTCTGCGTCGGGGTCCTGGGCGCGCTGGCCGGGTGTTACCGACACTTCAGGGGGATCAACCCGATCGCGGCCGACCTCGTCAAGCCGTGCTTCGCTTGGGCTGCCTTCCTCGCCGTCCTCAATCTCAAGCTCGTTTCTTCCTGCGAGAAAGATCAGTTGATATAGACAGATCCAAGGAACAATTTGTGTTTTATGTGTTTTAAATTTATGTTTGCTTTTTTGTAACTCGTGAATGGGTCTGCACTAGGTGAGTTGCCCAGGCTTTCTGGCCGGCCACCTGTCTGGTTCTGGAGGCTGTGGTAGTTGTTTTTTTCTTCTTGTTCCCATTGTAAAAAGACAGATAAGGGAGATGTGTATAATATACGGGCAAGCAAAATTTCTGGAGTTTGGATAGGTGTGCTTGAAATGTGCATTTCAAAGTCGAGGATCTAAAATTTGATGTTTGGATAGGTTTATTAGCAACTCTTAGGTATTTCAAATTTAACAAATTTGATTTTTAGTTTATGTAGCATAATTTGGAACATATTGTGAAATACCAAATCGATATCGTACTATTTCGTCATCGATTATCTCATCATCGATGTGATTAATCGGTACAATAAACCAATATGGTGTACAATTACAAACCATAAACAAAAGAGAAGCTACCATAATGATGATTTTGGAGTCCTAGCTACTAGATAGATCAGAAGTCACCCCAATATCTATGTTTGGATATTCTTTGGGAATTTTTTTTACGAACATCAAAGTACAATTCTGCAGCCTGAGAAGAGTTGCATCTGAAAATCTGCAGCATCATAAACTTGCAGCAAACAGACAAATTAAGATAAATTGCAGTAGACCTTTTAGGTAAGAAAATATGCAGCAACCAATCCATAGAAGAAAGAAACGGCCAACAAAATGAACAAATGGAATATATTAAGGTCATCTTAAAGCAAACAACCATAACAGTGTGCTATATGAGTTCTCATGGCCAAGAAAGATGGAGAACTTTCAAAGAGAAACTTGAGACATGCATTGAGTTGAAGATAATAATAATAAGGCCTGAACCATAATCACAGACCACCATCCCAAATGGAAGAGAATACAAAGCAAAGCTACCCCGAAGCATAAAAAAACACATCATTCAAAGAAACTCAATCAAGTAGGCTCAATTAACAGGGAAGCAAAACTGTAACAATGTGCAGAAAGTTGTTTGGCATCATTCTCAAGTATGATTCTCTTTCTCTTGTTTGTCATTCCGGTCAACAAATTCTATGGGAATGAATTCTAGGATGTGGAAAGGATCCCCTGAGCAATAGAACTGAAGCAGGGGGTCTTCAAACTGAAGTGAAGCTCTTGTCCTGCAAAGTTGGCAATAATTTCAAGAGGCTATGGAAACCAACCTAAACCCTGAAACACAAATCCACTACCCAATAAACAAAAACCCTGAAACCCATTTATAAAATATAAAAATAAAAAGAGTTGATGAGCAAGCCGTAAAATCAGCTATTAACAAAAAACTTTCAGTCACAGATTAAAACCCATTGGAGAAACTAAAGCAAGGAAGCTAATGGTCACGAACATGAACGGGTTGGAGGTAGATACTCAGATCAGATTGCAGAAGCCAGATCAAATGCACCCTAGAGTAACAAACAAAGTGAAAGAATCAACTCTTTCAGGCATATGAGAAGCTTGAATTTATGATCACCTTGCATTACAAAATAATACTTAATTAAACAGCACAACAAGGAAGACACCCAAATGAAAGACTTAAAGCCTGCACATTATGACTGGCTGAAGCCTAACGCTTGTTCACTAAAACCTTCATCTCTCAAACGCACATGCTACGTACGAAGAATTGCCAACAATTAAAGAAAAAACCAACGAAATAGAACTAGCAACCGTAGTAGCCATGGAGGCGAAGAAGAAGAAACCCAAAATCAGCTGCTTATTCTCCGAATTATGTATTGTACTAGGGCATAAACCGTAGATCAAGTAACCCAAACCACGACCAAGATTTGGACGGGAATACGAAATCGATATCACTCAATTGCAAGGAGATTTTGCAGTTGAACCGAACATGCATTGCAGCAGGATGAATAGAGTGGGAATAGAACAAACCTGGAGGTAAAAACAGACTGATGACAATAACTGGTGTCAGCGGCAATTGATCTCCTTGCAGTGGCGGGGATGAACCTCGGCGAATAATATCTATGCTAGCTATTGTTGTCAAAGGAGGAGGGCGGTGACGATGGATAAAAAGGATGAACTCAATCGTTGGTATTGTCGTCAATATCATCGACCAGCGGCTTGGAATTCCTCCTCCGCATTCAGAAACCCTACCGTCATCGGTGATCGGTACTGACGAGAACTCGAAGAAGAAGAAGAAGAAGAGACCGGATGTGAACAGAATTGCAGAGAAAAAGCAAGTGAAGAGGAGCGGTAATAGACGGAAGGAAAGCCGGTTGAAGTGGAAGAACCTGAGGAGTTGCCGAGCGACGTCGGCGTTCCCGGAGACCGGAGCACATGCGGCGAAAAGACGACAGGTGAGCGACTGAGCGTTGCTTTCGATTGCTAGTTGGTGTTGGGCTGGAGCCCGCTTGCGTTCAGCCGTGCCCCGTGTGGATTGTTTTGTCCACTCAGTTTGGGCCTCCTTAAGTTTTTCGCTTGTTTGGGTTAGCACTTAGCAGCATGAATATGATTTGGGGCCATGTATAACAAACTACAACTAGCAATTAGTAAATTATCTAGTTAAGGCTAGGGCTGGGAATTCGGTTACGGTTGTGCGGTTAAACCGCAAATCGCACCAAAACCGGTTAATGGTTAATCGCAAACCGCAAAAACAACCTTTTCTGCGATCGCGATTGTATCCATTGCTTACACTCCCACCTGCACTCATGCCATGCACCCTCCTCGACCAGTCTCCATGTGGCAAGCGTGTTCTTATTAGACAAAGGCATGCTTGACATGTGTAGAACCACATGGCGGACCGGACACATGCGGTCATAGATGACACATATCCCGGTGACGTGTACGTTTTCATCTACGACGCCGACACCTGTCCTCTCTTTGTCCCCCAGGTAGACACTATATAACCTGTTAATACTCTCTAGTGGAAGGTAAAGCAAGAGAGCGGGGAAGTACCCTGAGAGCGCCCGCTGCAATTGGTGTCTGTCATCTGTTGGACTCACCTCCTGCAAACACCTTGTGAACTATTCTATCCCCTGCACTAGGGACTAACTTGAGCATCGACCCCCTTTTTGCAGGAAGCGTTTGGAGGCAACATCACGAAGAAATGTTACGGTAAATGGGCACTTCAAATCGCTTTGAGGCCCAAGATTGAAGAGGTTGAAATCAGCTACAACCCCGATATCAACAACATCGTAGTGACATAAATATGATATCATACCTGAAAAATACATGAACTACAAATGATAGTAATGAGTTAAATACTAACTAACTAAACATGAGAAACCAAGGCACAAAAGGCTCATAGAGTAAAATGCACAATTGCAAAATTAATCTTAAAAATAAAGTTTAACTAAACCAAATTACAAAGTGCAGACATTGCCTTCTATCTTAGCTGTCATAAAGAAGGTTCAATCCATGGTTACTATAGAGAGTTGAGTGTCGCTTTAGAGAAGGAGAGAAAAGGATAGAGTAAGTGTCGATTAGAGTTGTGTTAGAGAGGAGGGCTCTATCCAATTTTCATTTTTTTTTTCTCGTTAACTTTCTCTCAAAACGAAGTGGTTTTGACATTTGAGAATTTTGTTTTAGAATTTCTTCGTTGTTCGGTATGATTAAAATAGGTCGGGATACCGCGATTAATAGGTTTAACATCTAAAAACCGACCGACACAATTTTTATCACTATTGTTTGTATCATTTCGAATTTGATTTCAATACTGGTATTTTGTGATTCAACCACAAGTACGGCACAATTTTTTAATCGATGATTTAAACCGGTTTGACTACCTTGTCCTAAACGACATCTGTATTGAAAAATGATAAATAATAATAAAAAAGTGAACTCTCGATAACTGATATCTCCGCAATCATTCTACCTCATTCGTATTTAAAATATTTTTCCTCCTATCTATCGATTTTCATTCTCATTTAGTTTCTCATTTCTCCCTGTGTTCTCTCTACCTCGTCCGACGAAGCCGAACAAACAAACCCGAGCTCTTGGTGGATCAGAGAATCCGCCCGTAGCCATCACCTGAACCAACCATCGACGGCCGAGATGGTGGAAACCCGGCGCAGTTCCTCCGCTTCCAAACGCCCTGTCCCTTCCTCCGTCCGCTCTTCCCCTCCTCCTCCTCCGTCGAAAAGATCCAAGGTTAAACTCTTTGAATTCTTGGCGGAATTGTTTTTTGTTTTGTGGGTTTCTGGTTTTGATTCCTTCGTTCTTTATTGTTAGGCTTAATTCCTGAGGGTGTGTGTTGACTCGATGTCTCTAATCGTACGTTTATCTCTTTATTTTCTTTTGATTTTGCCGGATACCAGTCAGCGGCGACCGCGGCTGGTGCTGCTGCAGCGGAGGCGTCGTCGTCGACGAACGATGACGCACTGGTGTCTGTGCCGGTTGAAACCCTAAATCTGGCTAAGGATTCTGGCCCTGTGCCTCATGTGCCCGAGTTGCAATCTTCGGATCCGCATGTGGCTGCTCCTTCCAAGGATGTGCCTGCTGATGGCGTCAAAACTCCTGATGTCGATGTTGCGGATGCGGAAGTGGAGGATTTGGCCTCTATAACGCCTCAAGGTGCAATCTTTCTTCAATTTCATCGCTGCATGCTGCTTCGAGGTTTTGTGAAAACCAAATCTCTCTTTAGGAGTTCGTTGGATTGCTGATTTGGCGTTTGTTTGACTGTCATATTGGTTTAGGTGGAGCTGCATTGAACAGGGAGAGACCCAAAGGTGCTAGTGTACTAGCTACTCGGGCTAAGAAGGGGCAAAAGAAGCCTGAGAAATTAGAGCCTCAGGTTGCATGGGCCAAGCTTCTTTGCCAGTATTCGAAGGTTGGTTGATTTGATTTCCCCTTTAGATTGATTTATATGTGTGCGGGGGTGGAGGGTGAGTGTGTACCACTATGTGGTGTGTGTTCCCTTTTTTCCGTCTCTTCTGTTATCCCCTCCTGTTATGTTCTGTAGTATATCCAGTTCTGTTGACTAGTTAGGGGTAAGAAGATATCTAACTAACATTTACCCCCTTAAGGCGATAGGTTGTTGATCTGTTTCAGCTCTGGTTGCTCAAGACCGTGTTATATACTGAAGGTTTTATTTGGGTCTAAACTATTGAGGTGTACTAGAGTTGCAAAACCCTCCTTGTTTTGTGTTATGCATGTTTGTGCATACATGTGTTTAGTATGGTGGGCTATGTTACCTACAGTTGTGTTTATAAGGGTGATTTGTAACTTTTGGAGAATTTGCAACTTTATTGCTCTTGATTACAGTTTGTGTATAATCTTAGTAGATGGGCTTTCAGACTGGAGGCATAGTCAATCACATGGTAAATGCATTACTACTGCTTTGAACCTGAGGTTAGGAGGGTATCTTTGGTAGTTTGGATTTCTAAGACTTAGGCAAAAAAATAGTTAGTTGGACCGTCATCCCTCTGGTTTTTGCAATTAGCAAACTAGAACGTAGAACATTGGATGAGACGATTACACTTTTTCTCTTACAATGATAATAGTAGATGAGATAAGACTCGTTATTGTGGGTTGGTGTCCTTGTTTTTTGATTAGCGTGAGTGCGTGACCTTTCATGTAGGTTAATGTTGTGCCTATGTTGATAATGTGGCTTGGAGAACTGCCGGGCTGTTGGTTGGACTCTGTATAACAAGGCATTAATTGCTGTCTAATGAGGCTATTTTTAAGTCTCAATCATCTACCGGGGGGTAAATTGATGATAAATTTGAGTTGGAGTTTGTCTCAGTGCCACGTAAATTTGTGATTGAGAATGTGAGAATGAGTGAAACTCTTTTTTCTTCCTATTCTCAGAAGTCTATTAATATTGGCGATTAATTGGCTCATTGGTGTTCTGGGTTTCATAGAATTTACTGTATGGGAAACATGCAGTCATACCTCTTACTAACTGTACTGTAATTGTAGCATCTCTGTAGTTGTTGATGTGTTATTGAGTCATTTTAAATTTCTGAGATGAGGCGTGTGGGAACACCAATTGGCTTATGTGGTTTTATTCTATTTCTTTAGTCATTTGAAGTTGTTTCTGTGGAGCTGATGTGTGTTTCTAATGTACTTATGTTTCATTCTATTCAGAATCCTCACATGCCCTTATGTGGCCCAGTTTTCACTGTTGGTCAAAACCCTGAAAGCAACTTATGCCTTGATGATTTGACTGTCAGTTCTGTTTTGTGCAGACTGAAACAAATAGAGGTATGTTCTCTATGCTATTTGCCTATGTAACATCGAATTTGCATGCATATCACTTGCTAGATGAGGATACCTCACTCAGATACTTCTCCATAGTTTTTTTGTATCAAGTAATTTGTTTTATATTGCCCCACACTATGAGATGCTACTCCCAGGTCTTTTTTGTATCAAGTAATTTATTTTCTTATATAATCTTTCAAACTTTGATTTCTCTCTCATTGATTTGCTATTGTTTCTGTTAAAGTGTGGAGGTGTTTATGCTGCCATGATGGAAGTTGTTGGAGGAAAAGGAACAGTCCATGTTAATGGTAAGGTTCAGCGCAAAGGTTCTCGTGTAATGTTAAATGCAGGAGACGAGGTGGTTTTCAACTCTTCTGCGGAACATGCTTATGTATCCTTGGTCATTTGTTCGCTGTTGGCCTCTTATCTTGATTAGTTTTTGGGTTTAGTTTTTTTTGTTTGTTATTTCACTATGTTTTTCACTCATCTAGAAAGCCAATTGCGTACTATTGAGCAACTCTTCTTAATTGATGAACTTCTTAATACAGAGTTTCCTTAACAAATGAGGGCAGATATTTCAGCAGTGCCCGCATGACAGTTTGGGAGGTCGAGGTATAGCTTCTTTGAGCATTTTAGAAGGCCAGGGTGCCGGAGGCAAAGGGATCCCTCTGGAGGCAAGATCTGGAGATTCCTCAGCCTTTGCAAGCGCGTCAATACTGGCATCTTTGTCGAATTTTCAAGATATATTTATCCCCCGTCCTTTGAAAGCTGGCGAGGATACTCAAAAGAAACCTGATCCTTCTATCCTATCTCCCATCAGTGTAACACCTGATGATCATACTCCAGAAATTAACATGAAGGATAGCACAGACAATAGTGAGCAACCATTCGTTTCACCAAGGGAGGACATTGCCGCTCCATCTGGAAATTGTGCCAATGAAAACCCCAATCTTGAATCACTTCCATTGGACGGTGCCACAGATGCAGAGGCTGGGAAGACACCAGTCCCTATCTCTGAATTAAGGCCTCTTTTGCAGATGCTTGCTGGTTCCTCTTGTGAACGAGATATATCAAAGATATTTGAAGGACGGAAGGAGTTACTCAGGGGTCTTGATCCTTCTGCGGATCTGCTTTCTACTGGCCGCCAAGCATTCAAAGACAGTCTTCAACAAGGCATCTTGAGCCCTGAAAGCATCGAAGTTTCATTTGAAAATTTCCCTTATTACCTTAGGTTTGCAATTTCCCATGTTATTAAGTTGCATCATTGTCTAATATTTGTTGGCTGACCAACCGAGGTTGACAATATAAGTTCTTTCAGCATTGATGATAATATTGCAGTGTCATCATGATGTTCTGTTGAAAATTTTGTTCTTACTTGCTTCTATTGCTTAGTTGTTTTAGCCCTTTCGGTTACTGACTTTAGTTTTATTTCAGTGATACAACAAAGAAAGTTCTTGTGGGTGCTGCATTTGTTCACTTGAAGTGTAACAGTAAAGTAACTAAGTTTGCTTCTGATCTCCCTACTGTATCACCTCGAATATTGTTGTCTGGTCCTGCAGGTACCATCTATATATTTCTTGATTAAGGTTTAATTTGGTACCATCTATTTCATTGTTAGCTTTATGATTGTCGTATGTGTCTATCTTCTATTTCTTCTTGATAGGATCAGAGATATATCAGGAGAGACTTGTGAAGGCACTTGCAAAAGACATTGGAGCTAGACTGCTGGTTGTTGATTCCCTACAATTGCCTGGTGTAAGTGAAATGTAACCTGAAATATTATACTTATTTATTATTTTTCTGTTTCTTTAGATTCATGCCCATACTTCGGTTCCTGTTTGCTTAAAAACTTGAAAGGAATCCCCCTCCCCTCTCCTACCACTCCAAGAGTCCAAGTTTTGGACATACAAGTGTAACGTACTTAATCTGTCTTGCTTTCACGTTATTGTGCAATACCTACAGGGATCAACAACCAAAGAAGCTGATCCTGTGAAAGAAATTTTGAGACCTGAAAGAGCATTATTTGCCAAAAGAGTTATGCAATCAGCACTACACCATAAGAAGCCTGCTTCTAGTGTGGAGGCTGACATTACTGGCGGGTCCATAATAAGCTCTCACGCTCTTCCGAAGCAGGAAACATCTACAGCCTCATCTAAGCACTGCACATTTAAAACAGGTATTTTAGCTTTCCGTTGTGGTTCTAGAGCACTTAACATCCTACTGTTTTCTTGGCTCTTCACATGATCCACTCAATTGACTTTCTCATACGTGCACCAGGTGACAGGGTGAAGTATGTGGGTATCTCTTCACCATCAGCGCTGTCTCCTCTTCAACCTCCACTAAGGTACTATTGCCAGATTCTTGTGCTGTCATATTGTTGTTGCCACTCTGTCTTTGTTGTTCCAGGTGACAAGCAGTTGATCCTTTATTTTGGTTTCGTGGCAGGGGACCTACTATTGGGTTTCGTGGCAAGGTACTTCTTGCTTTTGAAGAAAATGGGTCCTCAAAAATTGGTGTGAGATTTGATAGATCCATCCAAGAAGGCAATGATCTTGGTGGCCTTTGTGAAGAAGATCATGGTTTCTTTTGTGCTGGTACTTTGTTCTAGCCATGTCTCATCATGTTCAGGATGCTTGCTATTGTCCTTTGTGGACTATCTTGTAAGGCGAAGTTTCTGATTACCTCTTTTATCTGTAGCCAATTCACTACGCTTGGATAGCTCTGGAGGCGAAGAGTTTGACAGGCTTGCTGTCAGTGAACTCTTTGAGGTACATTGTGGCTCTCTCAATATTCATCTGTTGCTGGCTTCCTGCATCTCATCTGATCTGATCTGGGACTTATGTTCTAGGTTGCTTTGAGCGAAAGTAAAGGTGGTCCTTTAATAGTGTTTCTAAAAGACATAGAAAAGTCTGTGGCGGGCAACCAAGATGCATATGCTGCCTTAAAAAGTAAGATGGAAAATTTACCAGACAAGGTTATTGTGATTGGATCCCATGCACAGATGGACAGTCGAAAAGAGAAGGTACACACTTCAAGCGTAGCAGTTTCTTCCTTGTGTGTGTGTGTTCGTACGATTTCTTGATTTTTCTCTGTTCATTGTGATGACTAGTCTGTTGTGTGCTAACTTCTTAATATTCTGCAGTCTCAGCCTGGCGGGCTTCTGTTTACGAAGTTTGGAAGCAATCACACTGCTTTGCTTGATTTTGCATTTCCTGTAAGTCACCACTAATCTCATAGAGCTTATAACTAATGAAAAATACTTGGTATCCATAGGAGATTGTTTTCGACTGCTCTGTTAGTGCTGGACATTTTTGGGTGCCTTAGTTTCAATTGCGCGTAAGAATGCTTATGAACTGCTTAGTATTTACCAATGAGGATTTTCCTGAGTCTCTTTGTCATAGATGGCTACTGCTATTAGATGCGGAGTTAATTGGAGCCCAGAAACATTTTGTTAGTATGTTATAGTTTAATTGTTGTCTAGATGCACATGAAAAAATAGTTTTAGTTTGCATGCATATATACATTACGGCTCGATTGATTATTCTTGAGCTCTGTATCAAGGGTATCCAATGCTAAGATCGATTTTTGCAAGATAGTGTTGTCTATTGAACATATCAGGTGATTAGTTTGTTTCATTTAATCCTGGTATTGTTTCAATTGAATTCCATCTATATGGGCGTGCTTCAAGTGATAGATGCTGGATCTTTTCAAAAAGCCGTGGCCCCTGTTTCATGAAGTTCAACTATATGAGGATTTCTGACATATGGGCTGATTATATCGATATTACTATCGTGAATTATTTGATGATTGACTTTTACATATTTACTTATTTTGGGTTGATAATTGATCATACAATTTCTCTTATTCAGGATAACTTAGGTAGACTGCATGACAAAAGCAAGGAGACTCCTAAAACAATGAAACAACTCTCAAGACTTTTTCCCAACAAAGTGACCATTCAGCTACCCCAGGTTCAGACCCTACACTGTGATTGATATGGAAGAATGTACAATTGGATGAATGTATCTTACATTTTGGAGATCTTTTCAGGAAGAAGGATTGCTCTTAGACTGGAAGCAGCAGTTGGATCGTGATATTGAAACTCTGAAAGCGCAGGCTAATATTGTTACCATTCGTTCAGTAAGCATCCGTTGCATTGGCTGTCGTTACCTGTAATTTCTTTTGAGATGTACCATTTTCCGGCTGCTGAACATGATTATGAGAGAAGAGTCCATATGAATCAATGTACAACTTCCGGTAGATAAAGTGATAAAACATGTTTACTATGCTACGGCATGAAATGTCTGGAGAACTTTGCCTATTTACCAGCTATGCTCAGGAGTTTAAGTACTGCACTCACTGTTTCTTGATTTTTATTAAAAACTACCATGTTATCTCTTAACACTGGGTTGAAAATGTCATCTCATTTGTGGCTGACTTTTTGCACTTGTTGAATTGTCAACTGTCTAGGTTCTTGCTCGAGTTGGCCTGCAATGCCCTGATCTTGAGTGTCTGTGCATCAATGACCAGACGTTGACAACTGAAAGTCAGTTTTCATTAACTTTTGTCATTATCCAGCCACTTTGAGATTGAAAACTATATTCTTGACTGATGTTTCCCCCCCCAATATAATAGGTGTAGAGAAAGTCGTGGGTTGGGCATTAAGTCATCACTTCATGCATTGTTCTGAGGCTTCTCCGGTAGATGCCAAGTTAACAATATCAACAGAAAGGTTCTGTTCTCGCATTGTCTTTCTTGCTTAAAAGTTTATTATATATGACAAAATCCATTTTCCTTCTAGTGTATTGTTTTTAATATTTGGATTGGTTGCTTACTTTGCAGTATCAACTATGGATTGAGCATTCTTCATGGTATACATAATGAAAACAAGAGCTCGAAGAAATCACTCAAGGTAAAGTTTATAGCTATCCCAGTGTCTTTATCAGCTTTTTGTGAATGATATGCACTGTACTAGTTCATGGTACTCTTTATGTAATTTAACTGATAATTTGGAACATGTTACAGGATGTTGTGACTGACAATGAATTTGAGAAGAAGCTTCTAGCTGATGTGATTCCACCTAATGATATTGGAGTTTCTTTTAATGACATTGGTGCCCTGGAAAATGTCAAGGAAACATTGAAGGAACTTGTAATGCTTCCTCTTCAGAGGCCTGAACTATTCTGCAAAGGGCAGCTGACTAAGGTTAGCTTTATGTGATATGTATCCTCTTTAGTTATGTCTTTAAAATGAAGTCGTGATACTGAGAATCTGGTAACAATACAGCCTTGCAAAGGAATATTGCTGTTTGGTCCTCCTGGTACCGGGAAAACAATGCTTGCAAAGGCTGTAGCAACTGAAGCTGGTGCAAATTTCATAAATATATCCATGTCAAGCATCACTTCGAAGGTAAGTCTGCGCTGGTAATGTGGTTTTTAGGGAATTGATTTTGGTAGTAAGATTCTTATGACTGATGCAACGAATGCAGTGGTTTGGTGAAGGAGAGAAGTATGTGAAGGCCGTATTCTCTTTGGCTAGCAAAATTGCTCCTAGTGTAATTTTTGTTGATGAGGTAAGTTCCTCCTCATTCACCTTGCCCAGAAACACCACTCTGATTTTAGTCTAAAGGCTGTGATATTAAGATGTGGTTTATTACTTGTGGTTTGTGCTCCTTTTAGGTGGATAGCATGTTGGGAAGACGTGAGAATCCCGGAGAACATGAAGCTATGCGGAAAATGAAGAATGAATTCATGGTGAACTGGGATGGCTTGCGTACAAAAGATAAAGAAAGGGTTTTAGTTCTTGCTGCTACAAATAGGCCGTTTGATCTTGATGAAGCTGTTATTAGGAGGCTCCCGCGAAGGTGCGTGTGCCTGCTTTTAATCTCTGCTGTTGTGGCTCCGGATTCTCCTTTTCCTGCTATTGTCTTTAGAAGCTGCAGCATGATTAACATAGTTGCACAAATGTTGCAAATCTAGGTTGATGGTTAACTTGCCAGATGCACCAAATAGAGAAAAGATTCTCAAGGTCATCTTGGCCAAAGAAGAACTGGGAGGCGACGTAGATATGGAAGCAGTTGCGAATATGACAGATGGTTATTCTGGAAGTGATTTGAAGGTAAATAAAAATGTCATATTTTCAGTGTGTCAAGTGGGGCTTCTTGGCTGATGTCGTTTCGGTTTAACAAGATTTGTATTCCTTCTCCTCGTTTCAGAACCTTTGTGTAACTGCAGCTCATTGTCCCATAAGAGAAATATTGGAGAAGGAGAAGAAGGTGAGTGATAATCTTTCTTTCTTCCCCCATGCCTGTATGTGTTCCGGTCAGTCATAGATAGCAGCCTAACGTCGAGTTTATGATGGTATTTGGATGGTACAGGAGAGGAACGTGGCAGTGTCCGAGAAACGACCTGCACCTTCATTGTATGGTAGTTCTGATGTGCGCCAGCTTAAAATGGAGGATTTCCGATACGCGCATGAGCAGGTATCTGAACTCTTTTTTTCCCTCTCTTGTTAATGATCAGGTCACCAGTGACAGGCTTCAGTATATGTATGTTTGAGCATTTGATTGAAACTGTTTTGACGCGATTGTAGGTATGCGCAAGCGTGTCGTCGGAATCCAGTAACATGAGCGAGCTCCTGCAATGGAATGATCTGTATGGTGAAGGTGGATCCAGAAAGAAGAAATCGCTAAGCTATTTCATGTAGAACTGTGTATAGGAAAATCGCCCGTTTTTTATTAACCTTTGGCGCTTTCCTTGAAAGCCTAGTCTTCTCTAAATTTTTTCTTCTCTTCATTTCCCCCGCCTTTTATCTTCTGGTATAATTTTCATTTGTGGGAGAGAGACAGACAGATCAGGTTAGGCAAACCGAAAAAAGAAAACAAGAATGTGTAGAGGTTAAACAAGGACTGAACCTTTGTGAGTCAGTAGCCCAGTGCCCGACAAATTTGTATAATACATAGAAAAGTTTGGTTTTTCAGGGATTGATAAAAAGCATGCATGTGCTTAGAAATTTGCAATACTATTATTGTTCAAGACATCATCCTGTTCTCTCCATTCTGTTTGTTTGATTATTTGTTGTTGTTGTTGTTGTTGTTGTTGTTATGATCATCATCATCGACTTCTCGGGTTATTTGCCTGTACTTTTGATTTAGTTGCACGCTGACAACTTGAACTCTTATTGTTCAAGAAAATAACTGAATATAAAGCAAGAACTAAAATGTATAACATGAACTTAAATGCATAAACTAATAACAAAAACTACGTATGAAGCCACATAATTTTCCCTACTCACGGCTTGGTGAGATCCTGGAGTTGTGTTCTCATTAGAGTAAGGAGACTTGAGAATTCTTCATAGGCTGAAAAGTAGTAGGTGGAGCATTCTGCTGAGTTGTTGTTCATGGCTGCTGAATGTGAGGTTGCTGCGTCACTTGCATTATTATGTGATAATTCGATTGAAAAGACTGCCAGCCAGTCATTATGGGAGAAGCAATACATAATTAGGTCCTACTTCTTGTAAAATATGTCTTCAGTATGCCATACTATCTGTAGCAGACTTAAAGAGGCATGATTAGAGCTCTGACTAGAAGAGTTAGGCAGCAAACCATTCTCTCTTTCGTGCTGAACCATCATAGCAAAGGGCAAATCGAGCCACATTCGCTAGGACTTCGTCGTCTGTAGCTCCTCCAGTGGCTCGAACACTCTTCAGTTGTCCTTACTTTTTTTTCACTTTAATGCAGCAAAACTTCTCACACTCGAACCTTTATCCTTTTTCAGGCTCATTCACTTGCTTTCGTAACCTCCAAAACTCTTCTTTTCCTTTTCTTTGAGCTGTCCCTCCCTCCCTTCCCCGGTTCTTCCTTCCATGCCAAAGTAGAAGAAAACCATGCCTGTTCTCTACCAAAAATGCGAGAAAGGGAAAAAAAGAAACTGAATTGGAAGGGAAAGCAACGGGGCGAATAAAGTTAAAGCAAAAGGAAACAACAAAGCTTACATCAAAACAACAAGAAAAGAAACAAACAAAAGCTTATGCAGACTTGCAGACTGGGTGTGGAAAAAAAGCGGTTAGCCGGTTACCAAACCATTATTTATATGGCGGCCAGAGCTCAACCAGTGAGCTAGCTCGTTTTGAGCAATGAGCTGACTCGATAATATGCCTCACGAGCCACTTCAACTAGCAACTTATGAGCAAAGCGATTAATATGTAATTGTTGACACATTGGTTGAAGTTTTAATAAAAATTATTATTATCTATCAATAATCGTGAATATCCGAAACTCCATTGGGCATGGACGTTGTTTTGATATTCTACCCGATTCTTATATATATATGAGTATCAGTAAAACCCGAACTATTTCGGGCAAGGTATGAATATAACACTATCTGACCTAGATCCTGACCCAACCCGTTTTCATCCCTAATTTCGCAAACTAATTGATGAGCCGAACTCAAGTAAAACTCACGAGCTCTCATTAATGAACCAAACTCGAGTAAATTTTTTAGTAAACAAACCGATTTCAAACTCAACTCGCTCAAATTCGATTATAAACTCGACTCATTTGCGGCCTTATTGAATGCCACGCGCGTCGTTTGATCACCTTATATACCCACCCAGTAGTTCTTCCTCCCAGTCACTCTTAATAAATAAAAAAATAACTCTGCCCCTCTCTCTCTCTCTCTCTCTCTCTCCGGCTGCTGCGCTGTGAGCTTGACTTGATTACTACTACAGTACTACTGGAGCCGTGGTCGGCGGGAACCACACGATCGGCTGCCGGCGCTCGTAGCACGAGATAATCCTTCTTCCGCCCCGTCCGACGACATTCTCAGATATTCCCGAGAATTTCATACCAACTGATTCCCTCCTCCTCGATCTTCCTCCTTTCAGAATTTTTTTTTGTTAGCAAAAAAGCTCGACAGTACGAACAGATAATTAACTGGCCGGCGGCGGTAAATCTCCTCCGTCACTTGATCTGCTGGGCTCCACCTCCCCCCGTCGTCGTTCTCCTCCTCGTTGTCGATTAGGTCTTTACATTTTAGCCGCCTGTTTGTTTTTTAGTGTGAAAACGAAAAAGGGATGGTTTAGATTTTTCCGTTCCCCCTTCCCTGCTCTTCTCCCCAAACCTTTGAACCGTCGTTGTTAGTAGGGCTCCGTCGGAGATACGAACTATTGTTTTCCATTTTCTAATGGTGGATTTTTCTCCTTTCTAATTCGCTTAATTTTTTAGTTGTTTAAATAATGTCGGAGCCGGCGAATGTGAGGCTTGTACGCTGCCCCAAGTGCGAGAACCTTCTGCCGGAGCTTGTTAACTACGCCGTCTACCGCTGCGGTGGCTGCGGCGCTGTTCTTCGAGGTACCGTCTTTCAATTTTTCAGTTGAGGTGCTGACTTGGCAGAATTTGGACTAAAAAACCCTTTCTCTGTTTAGTTGAGGATGAGCGTAATGTGAAATTGTAGTTAATTTGGATCTCTAGTTCTCGTCCTAGCTATCTACCTCCGGGTTGGTGACAATTTCTTGTTGAGTCTTCATTTTTCTCCGGGTTGGTGAAGCCCTTAAACTAGCATTAGTTCGTCTCTTACCTAACCCAGTTCTTGCTTGTTGAGGCTGGACGGACGCTTTATTATTGTTTGTTTATTTGATTTGCAGCAAAAAATGAAGAGCAGTTGGGAGAAGCTATATCAGACAAGTCAACTGAAGAAAGGGTTTCTGGAACCGGAAGTAGCAATAGCTTGCAACACTCTGCGGAGAAGCAACCTGAGGAGGTGAGCCAAGATGTCTCTGAAATGGATGTCAAGTCGAATCTAGACTCATGGAAATGTGAAGAGAAGGAACCCGAGAAGACTGGCATTGCCTCGGATGATGGATGCGTGGATGAGTCTAAATCCGCAACTGGCAAAGTTGCTGTTGAGAATGGTCTCCATATGAACTCTGACAATGATGGGTTGGTCGATCGAGGGCTTGATTTTACTTCTGAAATTGGAAGTGCTAGTGTTGCTGGGAAATCTGGAAGAATGTCGGCTTGGCGATCTGGGGAGAGAGATGAAGCTGCAGGGGTTCGGAGGCCTATGAAAACTGGGGTTGAAGGTGTGCGGTTTTCTTCCTCAAAACAGTCAGGTGAGGGTCCATCTAATTGCACCATGCCAGCTTCTTATAGTTGCGGGGAATCATTGAGGAACCGTGATGACAAAGGTGAAGCAAATAGAGTTCAATACCTTGAGAAAGATCGGGCAGAGCTTCTGAGGAAGCTGGATGATCTGAAGGAACAACTTATTAGTTCTTGCCAAGTTGTTGACAAACCAAAAGAAAAGGTTCTTCGTAGTGGGGCAATGATCCCTCCAGATGCTTATGGTTCTTCAGATGCTTGGTTTCCAGGTGGTTGCTCAGCTGCTGATAAGTTTCCAATGGGATTTCCAGCATCAGATAAACAAGCTACCAGGCCTTCCTATGTCAACCATCATCATCCCGAACCTTTTCCGTACAGCAGAGGCCGTGACATGAACATGCACAACTTTTTTCCTTCGGTTAACAACTCCAGTCATCTTCCTGGTATTGACTATCCATATGGCTCCCACGTTATGAAGAGGCCTCTGCAGCAGCAGTTACCAGGTCATTATGCTCGACAACCTCATCATTACTTTTCTGGTCATTACTTGGATAGTAATCCCGATCCATTTGAGCCTTACCAACCTCATACACGTTTTGAGCACCCTCCCTGCTCTTGTTTCCACTGCTATGAAAAACATCACGGAGTACCACCTCTTGCGCCACCAGATAAATCATACCATGGGATGCCAAAGGATTCCATGTTCTACCACCATGAAAATCCTGGGCAGTTTGGCCAAACTAGTCATAATTCCAGGGCTAATGTTGCTTCATTCAACTCTCGTGGTCTCCATTCCCGTATGAGGTTGCCAAGTGAGTTCAATGCTGAAGTGGGTGGATTTCTCCACAGTTGCCCCCGTAAGGTGGTATTATCTGGTGGTGGTCGATGTTCTCGTCCTGTAGCCGGTGCTGCACCATTTTTCACTTGTTCCAATTGCTCTGAGTTGTTGCAACTTCCCAAGAAAATACTGGCTATGACAAAAAAGCAACGGAAGATTCGGTGTGGTTCCTGTTCAGCAGTAATTGATTTGGCTTTTGTGAACCAGAAACTTGTTCTTTCTGCTAGGACCAATTTGAAACAAGCATCTCCACAAGCTGATGATAGCTCAACCGAGTTCGTGAAACACAATGCTTCATATTCTCACCACCAGATGAACCGAATGAATCTTGATTTCTCTTCTGATGATGGCGACACTTCTGGTTTTGACTTCCAGACAATTGACACTGATCCTACTGCATCATCCATGGGCCAGGAGTTGAATTCAAGCCGGCCTCAAGAGATGCAGAGCCTCCCTTCCTCTTCTCCAAGCTCCACGGAGTGTGAAAATAGCCCTGATGCTTCAAGTGGTCCAAGGGAGGCTGCCAACCTTGTTTACCTGCCAATTAAGCCTACTCCTGCTACATCACTTACCAGTTCGCCACATCATCAACATTTTGATCACTCTTATAATAACCATTTAGTTAACCGATTAGGGAAGGGAAATCGAAGTAGTCGCTCAGATCAAGAAAAGGCTGTTACAAACAAGGCTACTACACGTCAGAATTCTATGAAAGAGGCATCTTTGGCTACTGAGATGGATGTTTCATTCAATGAGTATAGCAATGCTGAGATTTTCCATGATCCTGGCGATGCTGGTAGAGAAGATATTCAGTCGAAAACCAGCAAGGCGAGAGAATCATTTTTCACAAACATTATAAAGAAGAGCTTTAAGGATTTTACTAGATCTAATCATGCAGATGATCATGGGAAAAACAATGTCTTCGTAAATGGGCATCCCATACAGGATCGAGTGCTTAAAAAGGCAGAGAAGGTTGCAGGGCCAATTCATCCTGGACAGTACTGGTAAGTTCACATCTGCTGACACTTATTTCAGAAACAACATATCCTTCAAGTAGTAGTTTGTATGCAGTTCAGGACATGGTGCTAGGTTAGTATATCGATCAGAATTATCGTATGAGGATGATGTTGATTTTAGTAGACTTGCCTAACAGATACAACTTCGAAATAGTTCCATTGAAGTTATTCCAGTCTTTGACAGAGTAAAATTACTTATAATCATGCAGTTTGATGCTTTTGTTTTGGTACTCCTTTACTCGTGGTGTGTATGTTTGATACCACCAGTTCTGCTATTTTCCTGAACCAGGTATGACTATAGAGCCGGCTTTTGGGGTGTCATGGGAGGGCCTTGCCTTGGTATCATACCAGTAAGTGTCAGTCAAGTATCATCATCCTGTTGGTCATCTGCATTTAAAGTTGCGGTCTCATAAATGTTCATGTTTCCCGTTGTTTTTGTTACCAGCCGTCTATTGAAGAACTGAATCATCCCCTCCCTGCGAATTGTGCTTGCGGGGATACTGGGGTCTATGTGAATGGAAGAGAACTTCATCAGCAGGATCTGAATTTGCTCTCCACGAGAGGACTTCCAACTGAGAGAGACAGATCATACATAATTGAGATCACCGGGAGGGTCCTGGACGAGGATACCGGGGAAGAGCTAGACAGCCTAGGCAGACTTGCTCCAACGTAAGTTTAAAGTCTTTTGAAATGACTCGTACTACCCTCTGCAACTAGTATATGCTGAAATGCTTTGGGGATTACAGCAATGTACTTCGACATATGCAACCACACATGATAGTAAACGAACGTGTATCCATTTGCGTTGGAACGAATGATATACGTCTTTGTGCTAGTAAGCAACAGCAATTGAGTTGATCATCTTGTGCAGGGTCGAAAAAATGAAGCATGGATTTGGAATGAAGGCTCCTAAAGCTGTTGCATGACGAGGACTGGGTGCACTTTATGCTGATCTTCTGACCCCGGGGAAATCTCGACTGCCATTGATTCTGTTAAGTAGGAATTTCAAATTTGTCGGAGGGACTGCCAGCTTCATCTTTGATTCCCTCTCATTTGCATTGGTGTGTTTCTTCCTTCTATTCTTTCTGCAAGTTTCTGTCTTGTATTTTCCCTTTGGTTCCTCCTATCTATATTATGTTGCTCAGTCCGGGATCTAAATTAATGCAATTAAATTATTGAGTTAGTAGCATCCTTTGTCCGGGAGCAGATTTGGTGCATAACTCAAATATGGTAATCTTGCATAATCAACATCAGCGAGGGATTCAAAAATTTCCTGCCCAAAAACTCAGTCCCAGACTTCTCTCCCCAACATTGAAACTTCTTCGCAGCAGGTGCGCAAAGTATCATCTGAAATCGCTCTCCTCCTTGAGATTCCGAAACTTTTCTATCCACTTCATTTCCAGGATTTGACATCATTCAACTACTCAATAGTTGAGCCAAGTTGCTCACAAGCGGCTCAACGTTCTATTCTGGTGGATCTTCTGGGAAGAGTGGGTATCTTGATGAAGCTTGGGACTTCATCCAAACATTGCCAATAATATTCCATCATCTGGGCTGCTTTCCTAGGCTCGTGCAGAACCCAGGGGGAACATAGAGTATGCAGAAACTGCGGTGAGGCAGCTTTATGAATTAGAGCGTCGTAATTCAGCTAACTATTTTGTGATGATGAACTCGTATGATCATCTTCTCCCATCCCATGATCATTTTGTGGCTGAAGTTAGTAATCTTAACCATTGATTCAGTGTCATGAGGGCTGAGGCGAGCAGAGTCAGATTATATAGTGCAGAAAGTGCAGAGGAGGCAAAAGAAAGAAGATAGCCAAATAAATATGTTACATATTTCCATTTATGTTTGTTTCTCCACTGTATTCTTTGTCTCTGCGTCTGGCAGCAGCAAGAATAGAGGTAAACCATATTTTACAGGTATTTTGATGAAGACCACAATTTACATTCCAGGAGCACAGCATCAGCCAACCAAAACCAAAACCAGCAGAAACAAGGAGGGAAAAGAGCACATCAAAACCGCCTACACAAGACGGCTTGAGAGAGACTATGGAAAGACCAACGAAGACTGCAGTCACTACATATACCTGCCTACTGGTATTCATACATCCATGGATGCTTCATAATCCCTCCACTTCACTTCCAAGTATCAAACTTTTTGAACGGTATTACTCCCCTTGTTCTCCTCCCAACTGCCACAGCCGGGTCTGAGAATCGACAGTTGGCTCAGTCGAGTCCAGGTCGAGGCACAGCCATCCTCTCGGAGATCTCGGCCAAAGATCTGAGATTGCACTTGATAAGAGCCCTAACAAAATAGCATGTATCCTCCTTGGTGTTCCCTTGAGGCACATCCACCACGAAAGACTCGACGACTAACGTCCCTGGCCTTCCATCGATAACCTCGGGATGGACCGTTATGACCGAGGAGTAATTCTGCAATGTTTTAACACCACGAGCAGACAGAAGCAAGGGCAAAATGAGAAAAAAGGAAAAGGTCAGAAAGGGAAAGAAGCTGCAGCGGATGCAAGATAGCTCATTACTAGACCTCCCAAGGAAAATTTCCCTGAGGACATATGAGGAAGAAGACAGAGTTCTACCAAGAAAACTAGCCGTGACACAACTGAAACAAACCAAACGTTCCCAACCCAGAAATGGTAACTGCAAGCAAGAACAAAAGACGTTCTACCTCCACAATCTTGTCAGACATTTCCTATACCAATTACCATCCTCCTAACCTAAAGGAGATCAAGTCAAACTACTCGGAATCGAGAAGCAGCAAGAAAACGAATCAACAAAGGCCAAATAGACAACACCAAACAGTAGCCAATTTACCCTGAGCCTGTGATCACCATCGACGATCTTGATCCCAAGGATATGCTCCTCGTCATCGAAAACTTCCAATCTCTCGGTGCTCGTGGTTGCAGGGAGGCCAGATCTCACATTCACGTGCCTCAGGCTCCCGATCCCGACCTCTCCGTTCATCGTACACCTGCTGATGAACGGCTTGTACGTCTGCGGCTCGTCGAATCGCCTCACCAAAGACCACACCTGAATCCACAATCAAGCAACCCCCCCACAATTTCAGCACCACACCACCCCTTAAGAAGAAGAAAATCGAGGTAATAAAGTTGCTTACGATGTCGACTGGGGCTTTGATGTGGACGACGAGGTTAGAAGAACACTGATTCTCCGCCGGCTGGTGGCGGTGGTGCATCCCGATGTACTGCGCCGCCTCCAATTCGCTGCTGTGATCCCCGTTGCTGCTCATCCTGTTTCGAATCGATGAAAAGGGGGGATGACGCGGAGGAATTAGGATTACAGAGGAGACAAAGTGAAGCGACGGCGGCGGGAAGCAGTTGAGCTGGTGGCGGCCTGAGACTGAGCGAGTGGAAAGGAGGAGAGTAGGTATCGATCGATACAAAACGAAAAAAGGGATAGTGGGAGAAAAGTTATGCTTTGCCATGAAAACTCATCTTCCGTGATTTTGATTGGCTGAAGGATCAGAGCCACCGTGTCCGGTGAATGAAATGGGCGGGACCCACCCATTTGCTCTTGCTTTTGTCTTTTTCCCCTTTGTTCTTCTTCCATAACGAATCCAAATCACGGATAATGGCATGATGACGTTTTTTTGTTTTAGGTTAATATCTGAGTTTGGTTTAGATAAACAAATTACTTTTTATGGTTGATTGTCAAATTGAGGATGTGTTTTTCGAGATTCTTACACTCTTTGATTTTATTGGCCCTCCGTATGATCGAGGAAAAAGAGTAAGCGCTTTTGCTTGATCAGGCTCGCAATGTATCCAAGTACGAGGCAGAATAACCCCTTTCTGCGTTTAAAGTAGCGCGAAAAGTGCAATGCAGCGTGACAAGATCATCTTATTACGAAAAAATGTCCAAAAAGAGTTACGTGGGCAGGAATGCAAATACTTCCTAATCATCTTACATAGACTTTGCCCCAATATTCGTAAAAGAAGACTCGAGGAAGAAAAATATAACTCCATTTCGAGAGAGGCGAATCATTTCGTCCTTACAAAGTATGTTTTGAGCATCATTGTCGGGATCAAAGGTTTCTAAGTACAAGGGTTGACCTTGTAAGCTTCTTACTTGATAAGACCCGGAGCTCGTGAAAGCCTAGATTCTTTTGATAAAAATTGCGCTGTCACAATCTTTTTAGGTTTTTTTTTTTTTTTTGAATTTTCTCTCAAAAACTAAAAAAAGTAAAGTTACGATGGATTGGAGTGTAATCTCACACTTAGGAGAAGACTCTATCAATATGAGGGTAGAGGCTCGACCACGATCAAGGTGATTACTTGATTGATACGAAACAAACACTCAGAAAATTAAAGGTCATCAATTCACAAGAGCAATTTCAAAAGTAACAACTAAACGAGCCAAAAATGATTTTTTCTATTGAACATCCATCTCTCTCAAACCAGAGTTTATAACCCTTTAAATAGGTCTAAAAAATAAAACTAATGAAAGTACAAAAAATGAAAAAGAAATTCTAAGCGAAAAAGGTAACTAAAACTCGTTAGGGCCAAATCCCATATCGTGCAGCATAAAATCCCCCATCGGGGATTAGCACCCCCATGACCGGGGGTCATTCTAATCTCATTTCCCTCTTGCGAACCTCAGATCCCCTATAAGGGATTTTAACCCACATGATAATGATTTTTTCCTCATTACCATACAATCTTTAGGTTGCTCGTTTGGTGTCCAGGAAACTTCAATCTTCTCAACCAACGTCTTCGCAACCATTAATTGGACTTATAATTTGATGTCCAATTCCAAACTTTCCTTGAATGCCTCCCCAACAAAACAAGTAAGCCTCCAAAGTAGGTACCACAGACTATTTTCCCAGACTTAGCCAAATTTGCAGCTTCTTCTTTCTTTGACTTGGTTTTTTCTTTGAACATCAATGGAAATGGTTTTGGGTCACAATCCAGGATCACATCTTTACTACCTAAGATTGAAAGTCACCTGTCACCGTGAAGATCTAGCGAGGAGAAGAAAGTTGAGCCTAGGTTTGTTTGTGGACAAAAACGTTCAAGTGTGGGGTTATTTAATTAAGCATAATTATTATTCTTGCTGTGGTAAGATCCTTGGGGTCCCATAATTTTTATAAATATTAAAAAAAAATAGACCGAATTGATTTTATAGCCGGATCGGACTAAACCCTTATCGAAAGCAATGATGATTCAACAATTGATCCTAAACTTCACCGTTGCAGACAAAAAATTGATCGAGCGGTTCTTCCACTAGTCTTCAATTTAAAGGTTCTGCGTTTGAACATCAAACAATAAAAATAAATCGATATCACCCTATCGAAATAAAATAAAAAATTATTTCATTGTGTTTCCACTACCAGCATACCCTCCACCGTGTATTCGTGTTCGTGTACTCTCGCTGTACTATAAGTTTTGTGTACTGTCAGTGAGGCATCATAAACATTTTACACCTTCCTTCCATTCCTCATAGCCACACAAAATTTCACCTCACAGTCACACCATCAAATCCTTCATCTGATCATCTCCACCTCACACCATCATATCTCAACACCCCTCACCACGTGTCACTCAGCAATTGGCGAAATCTAACGCATCCACTCCACGTCTGCCTCCACCTCACCACACCCACGGCAGCAAATCGCCAGAGTCATCATCATCAGTTTTCACCTTCCAGCCATTCATCCATCATCATCTAGTCCATTCCAGAAACAAGCAAAAAAACGTCGTCTTTTTGGTTCATGGTGGTTCAAGCTTCCGCATTGCTGATAATAGTGTAGCATTAATCCCTCTTGGAAAACTATGCCATGGAGGCCCTCAATGCAGCAAGCTTGACACCACTATCTCTGCTCCGCAACAGAAGGGGAAGAAGACAGACCCAGAAGCATTTCTCCTTCCTTCCAACTACAATCATCTCATCGTCTTCAACCCACAAATCATCGACGAGTTCTGCTTCTTCCAGCACTAAGCCGGTACCAGCTGCCATCCATGGCGGTCTAATGCTACTCTCCTCCCTCCTCGGCACCTCCCTCGCCAAGGCTTTAACCTACGAGGAAGCTCTGCAGCAAACGATCGGCGGCGGCGGCGGCGGAGGGGACTCTGGTTTTGATGTGAATGGGTTTGTGGACAGCATAATCGGGTTCGGAACCGATAACCCAATTGTGGTTGCTGCAGGAGGTGCTGCTGCCTTGGGGGTTCCTCTGGTTCTGTCTCAGTTTCAAAAGTCGCCCAAATCGTTTGGGATTGAGTCTGCTAAAAAGGCTTATGCGGTGCTGGGTGAAGATCCCACTGCTCAATTGCTTGATATCAGAGCTCCTGCGGAGTTGAGGCAAGTGGGTACTCCTGATGTTAAGGGTTTGGGGAAGAAGACGGTGTCGATTGCTTATAAGGGTGAAGACAAGCCTGGTTTCTTGAAGAAGTTATCTTTGAAGTTCAAGGAACCAGAAAACACCACATTGTTCGTTTTGGACAAGTAAGATTGTCAACTACACTCTTTGCTCTCTTTCCTTTCGTGTTTTCTCGTTGGAATGGTACAACGGATAAGAATATAATACTATAGAAGGTTAGGTTCCATATTCGACATAAACAATTGGGTTGCCTGCATTTAGAGTTTAACAAGCCTACTTGATTTTCAGTTTTTCACTGGTATAAAATGACACTTCTCTTGTGTATGCAGTTTGCTAACCATGTTTGTCAAGTTCAATACAGATTGCTTCCTTGAGTTGATTTTTGATGTTTACGTTTGCTTCCTCTTTTTCCTATTGATTATGAAGCTAATGCCACTAAGTCTATGATGAAAGCCAGGTTCGATGGGAACTCTGAATTGGTTGCGGAATTGGTGTCTGTAAATGGATTCAAAGCTGCTTATGCGATAAAAGATGGGGCAGAAGGACCCAAGGGCTGGTTGGTGTGTACTAAATTCCTAGCTATTGTTTCTAATGTTAGAGTCCAAATCATTCTAGATGGAACTGCATAGTACATTTGAGAAATTGTTCTTCTGTTCTATCTGTGTATTTGTTTTCCAGAGTAGCAGTCTTCCCTGGACAGCACCAAGTAAAGGACTGAGTTTCGATTTGAGCAATTTGACAGAGGCTCTCAGTGGTGTGGTTGGAGTATGTACCTCTCTTAGTCAATGATTTCTGGTTACCTTGTTCCTTGTCTCAGTTAAGCAAATGGAAAACATAGTGGTCTCATAAGGAAATCCCGTCTACCATGGCAACAATTCCCATGAGATAGCTAATCACAGAAACAATTTTCAGGAAGGCGTTGATGCCTCGTCTCTCGCTTTAGGAGCTGCAGCCGCTGCTGGTTTGGGTGCTCTGGCTTTCACAGAGGTTAAACTAGTCCCATTTTTATGTTCCATCTGTTTGCTTTCCCATTACCTTGCCTTCACTAATTATAGGGCCGAAACAATGGTGCATGTTCTAGGTAGAAACGCTACTCCAACTACTAGGCTCAGCAGCAATCATCCAGTTCGCGAGCAAGAAACTCCTGTTTGCAGAGGTAAGTTTATGCTTGCATGGACTTTGTTGGTTTTGACTTGTTTTCTACTGCATTTGAGTCCTAAAGCACTCTTGATCTACACAGGACCGGAAGGAAACTCTTAAACAAGTTGATGAATTCTTGACTACAAAGGTTGCACCAAAGGAGCTTCTCGGTGAGATACAGGTCTGTTGGAATTGAACTCTTGGCTCAATGATATGCATGAGTTCACACGTTTGTGAAACTTCATCTTGTGCCACTACTTGCGGTGATTTTTCAGCAAATTGGGCAAGCTCTTCTCCCATCAACCGGAAATAGCAAATCGCTTCCTGCACCAGTTGAGTCCAGTCCAGAACCCGCTACTAGTACTGAAGAGACTATTCAGAAAGCAGAAGCAACTGTTGCAGAACCACCTCCACAGGTCAATGAAGAGACTATTCCGAAAGCAGAAGCAACTGCTGCAGAACCACCTCCCGTGGTCAATTCCGCACCAAAACCAGAAGTTAAAGCAGAATCGGTTCCTGGTTTATCAAGGCCACTGTCACCTTATCCATCAGTAATTCTCACTCTCCCTTTCTACTCCACTTTGCTTTACTTTAACCTGGCATGGCCTTTAAACTCAACAGAATCATTTTCTTTGTGTTGCAGTATCCAGATTGGAAGCCTCCAGCATCACCTTCTCCATCAAAGCCCTGAAATGTGAACGATCTTGCGGATTTCTCCACAGAATGGGTTTCTCCTGCAGAATATGCGGAGCTAGAAGAAAGATTCCATGTCATATTGCGTGAGAGTTAAGAGCCATTAAAAATGGGATCAAACTTGTGTTGTTAGTGTATGTTATGAAGTTCCACGGGAATTCAGTAGTACTTTTCATTATTGTTGTATAAGAACTTGTACCATGCAAATCGAATTACATGGGCTGATCGTGTAAATCTGTTGGAGAGTAATAAGCAAGGAAACATGGGTTAACAGAAAGGGGATATGTAACAGGAAGCCTGAGACTCGGGCTTTCTTATCGCACCCTCACAAGTTGAGGGTTGGTGGCCTTCAATTTGGCACAGAAGTGGTGAAACCGTAGGCGGGGAAGGAGCTTGGTGAGGACTCCAACTGTTAGCTTGACACCAAAAGTTGAAGCCCTCGAACCATAACTAAAGCAATTGAATGCAAAACACAAATGACGTGATTTATCCTTGCAGAATACAAGACCTCCGTGGGAAAGAATGTGCTTTGTTCTATTGATTATTGCTTGCTGAGTTTCATCACACAAACTGAAAGCAAAGAAGCAAGTTCAGACACCACCAGGTGACAGCAGCTGATGTACAAATTTCTGGACCGGTTCAACCAATTAGTTTCGTCACTTTCATAGATTCCATGTATTCACTCAATTAATTAACACATGGCCAACAGCTACAGAGTAGAAAAGGTCAAGAAGTTCTCACCATATATGAATTTACTTATCGCAACTTCATAATAATATTAAGGAACAAGCCCTTTGTAAAGATCCAGAAAGAGAACGTGTTTCTTTGTTTCATATCTGTTCATTGCTACCGAGCAAGTAGATGCTCTGCTGTTTCTTTGACTCAAAGCATTCAAAATTCTGGTTTTGTGATCTGGGAGACACCTGGGAAGTCCATTGTTTCTCCAATGACGAAGCACATCCACCCCAAAGAAGACTTCTATTTGAATTACCAACGTTCCCTTGGCCGGCCATCAGGGAGCATGGGGGACAATGGCTTATCCTCATCTCTGCCTGAGCTGCTACGTGCTGGCCGGCTGAGTGTCTTACCTACATTGATCTTCAACATCATGGCCTCATCACCATCTTCATCGAAATCCGGTGGTATTGTCTCGTCCTCTTCATCACTCCAATCATCTTCAGAGTCGTCGTCTCCATCGTCCAGGAAACTGTCGATGTCGGACCAATCTTCACCTTCCTCGCCACTTACACCTCCTTGCATATCATCATCAGTTTTCTCTTCACCACCACCACCGTCTTCTCTAGTCTCACCCCGCCTAGCAAATCTAGGAACATTCACAAGAGACCTAAGCTTCTCCTTGATTAGCAACATTCTGTCCTTGTCTATCAAGTGAGAGTTATTGTATGCTTCCCTTAGAAACACCGAGTCTCTGTCACCTTTCAAAGACACATAGAAAAGATCAGGGTGCCTTATTATCATCCCGCGTACCTGCTGGGAGAATCTGAACTCCTCCCTAAAATGGGTGAGGTGATCCACCAAAGTCTTCTTCTCCACAGTCAGGCTCAAGAGCTCATGAACGACCCCACAAGCATGTTTCTCCTTCTCGGTTGTGCCCGACCTCAAGTGGGAGAAATCGGCATAAGGCGAGATGTAAGGGATCTCATTGAACCTGTTTATCTTTTTCAACTCGCCTCTTGAAAGCTGCAAGCCCCTGGGCAACTTAGGTCGATTGAACTTGAGCGGTCTATCGATGATTAAATCCTTCTCTTCAAGCTCTTTAGCCCGCTTCTCCTCAGCAGATAACTCCCAAGCCGATACAGCAAGCTCTGGATCCCAGTGAGTTAGTTCCAATGCAGGCCCCCGCTCGGTTGGAACAACTATGAAGTACTGTGGGTACCTACGGCAAATCGTATCACGAAATTCTAGTGGAAGTCCTAAATCAGTCTTCAGATGTGCAATTTTCTCCAGCAAGATCCTCTTTTCCAGAGACATCATCAACAATTTTCTCAACTTCACAACCAGCAGGTCCTCCATTTCGTTCCTAACCTTCAGCTCCTCAAAATACAGCCTCTCTGCCTCAGCAGTCAATCTGAACTGCAACAAATAAGCGCCTTCCTCCACAATCTCAAACACGGCAGGGAATTTCTTCAACAGGGCAATGAACCTACGCTTCTTATTCAAACCCAGCTCCTTCCTGAACCTACCCATTTCCCTCAGCGCCATAATTCTATCGGGCTGGCTCACTAGAATCTTCCTTATCTTGAGCACCAATTTCAGCTTTTTATCCCTTTGCACCACTTCATCGAAAGGACGCTCCTTTCGCCTCTTCACTGCAGCTCTCACCGGTTCAATCTGAACACGACTTCTCCTCGCAGAACCATTCGAACAAATTCCATCTTCAAGCAAACTGTTGCCCCAAAATAGGGACTTTTCTATACCGCACGTTGGAGGGGAGAGATGAGATTTGATGCGGAAATTGGGTTTTAGGTCTCGACCGAAATGGAATTTACATGAAGGGAACAAAGGCAGAGAACATGTAGAAAGGGAGGCACTCGAAGAAGAAGACAGCAACAGATTCATATCCATGAAGTGAAGAATCAAAGCTTCACTGCATATCAGTGGAGAACTTTAAATGGGAAGGGACGAATGAACTGGAGATGAAGAAGATGTTACCTGAAATCTGATCCTGTTTGAAGAAACCCAGTAGAGACTGAGAGAGGGAGTAGGGTTTTGGTTTGTATGAGCTGATTATGGGGTTTATCCGCAAATTCCCGAGCCATATATTTTCCAATTACCCTTTGCTTTATCGTTTTCCTCCATGTTATCCACTTCCTCTTTTTCACGGTTTATTTTCTATGAACTGGCTTACTACTTTGGCTTTTGGAGTTTTGATAGTTAATCTCTTCTTGTTAAAGAGGATTTCTTGCATTCTCAATGATTTGATATGAGATTTTTCAATTACAAAATCAATTGCAGCACTAATGCTCATGTGATATTTGCAAGTTTACAACAAATGTGATTATATATGAAAGTAAAAAAAGAATTTTAAAATTGGGATTCTTTATTTTATTTTTACTTATTTTGTCGTAACAAACACAATATTTAACTATATAGGCAATTAGCCTATTTATATAGGTAAATGACACTAGCTTGAGTTGGATTGCAACAATTGTTTGTGGTTTGAACCATGTATGCAAATTGATTTTGCGATTGCATGGATGTGGATGCTCTAATATCGGTAGTTCAATTCACTTCTATGTTAATGACTCGACAATTAGTGATTACATGGTTGCCACATGTACGCTACATGTCCAAGAATATATTAAGTCTCCGAAGTATGAAATAGATGTCGGGGTCCCTAAGCCCCCCATCGGCCCAATGTAGGGAAACCTCAATCCTAGGCCCTTCGCTCGATGGAGGATAGTCTTCCTCGGGTCATTCACAGAGACGAGTATCCACGAAAAGTGCTCATAATCGCGATTGACTATCTTACCAACTTGATCAAGGCAGAGGGTCTCTTTGGAAAAATAACTCAGGAATTGGAGAAGTTCCTCACAACAACATCATTCGTTAGTTTAGTCTCCCGAACACGATTGTGGTCGACCAAGGCACCCAATTCACAAGTAGGACCTCCTAACGTGCTATGCCAAAAATATGGTATCCTTCTTCAATATGTGTTAGTTTCCTAGCCCCAACCCAATGGGCAAGTGGAGTGTGTCAACAAGAACGCCATGTGAGATTACCTAACGTTGCCAAAAGAAAGTGGGTCGAGGAACTCCACCATGTTTTGTGGGCACCTCCTACTAAACTACAACCGGGGACAAGCCCTACGCCTTGATCACTTGTGGCTTGGATCTATTGAGATGGAGCTATCATCTTATAAGGTTGATGTCTTACACCCCCAATTCCAATAATGAGGAGCAATGTAGTCAAAATTGCACTTTAAAATTTTAAAGCTTACGCTTTACAGTTCTAGGCCAAAAAAAAGTTTCTACGTAGAATCACGCTTTTCACTTACAAGTTTAGTCAAAATCTACGATTTAAAGCTTAGAAGCTTATGTTCTTACACTTCTACATCACCAAAACGCTTAGAATCTCATTTTTGACTGCGTTGATGAGGAGCTTGTTGATGACACTTTATTTATAATTTTTATCACTCCCATATTTTATACATTTCCCCCTTCTATTGAAGCATCTTTAGTCATTTCAATGATATTTCTTATCAAAATCACAACTATTTGATCAATGAGGTTAAATAGACTTAGACAATGTTCTTCTACTATTTGATGCCTTCTTGGTATATTTTTTGATGGTTTTGAAGGTACAAAGCAACCTAGGAAAGATTGGATCAAACATTGAAGAATTCTTGATGACCAAATGAGCTATAAAGAGAAGTTTAACTATAAGTTGTTAGATTGTGTCAAGACACGCCCATATGAGGAAGAATAGGTCCATTCTGAAGTAAGAAAGAGCAGCAGCCTAAAACAATGGGTCCAACCGCTCCTACCCAAAGTTGGAGCCCAAATTGTCAGGAATTGAAGTTCATTGATTAAGAAGCACAAATCATGAAGAAATAGAACGACAGGTCTAATCGACAAACCACCACCGCTCTCATCTTTTCCTTAATGACGAAGCTTCGTAAGTCTGCTAGGTTTATGAGACTCTTTGCTAGTTGGTTTGAGTTGTTTTAGGACTAGTTCTCTCCTATAAATAGAGGACATGACTCCTTTATAAGAGTAAGGTTGCACAGATACACAAATCTCTGTAACCACTCTACACGAGTGCTATCCTAGTTGAAGTAAAGGGGTGTGCACTACATGATCATGATTTACAATAGTAAAATAAAGTTTTGGCCCATTTAAGTTGTGCTCGAGTTGCATTTCGGTTTCAAAATGACGATTAAGTTTGGTCTGTTAAATCATACAATTGCAATAGCACAACCATCTAAAATAATAAAAATCAATTTAGCACTTTGACAAGAATTTTTTATAACTTTTATAAGTACTTAATAAATAAAAAAGTACTTATTGAGATAGTAATAATTTTTTTAAAAATTGTAAAAAATGGTTGAAATTAGTGTAAGTTGTAACGAGTAAAGAGCAAGTAACACAATGCGTTGATCCGAACAAACCGTAAATCAATACGCTCACAATTCGACCGGACCTTAACCCGATCAACGCATAACTCGATTAACCCACAACCAGATGACTCGCAATTCGAGTGAACCATAACTCAATCAATCCGGAGCCCGACCGACCCGCAACCCTATAAACCCAAATCTAATTGACCCGTAATCCAATAACCCAAAACCCAACCAATTGAGCCCGAACCGAATCAGCACGATTGACCCCGATAATTTGAGGCGCCAACAACAACCCACAAAAAAATCTAAGTTTATAGAGGAGGCATAGAGGCTGGCAGAGAAACTGTTTTTTTATGTCCCAGGAACTTCAGCCCCTCGTGTGATTTTGTGACAGCAGGTTCTACTAAACATGGGGCCACCTGCATTCAATTTGACGCCAACGATGCTTCGCCTCCAACAACCTTGTACCTCCGGGAACACCAACGGGTCTCACTTGGATTCGAACCTGCGATCTGCACCTTCAAAGTCTTCATTGTCGCGACAGCTTTATTGTTAGACTATCTTACCTTTGGTTGGCTGGTAGAGAAAATTAGAGAGAGGATTAAGGAAAAAAATAGTTTTGTATTAACCTTTTAATAGAGTAAATTAAAGTACTGTAAAAAATGGATTTATTAGTGGGCCTCATCTTGGCCCAAGAATCACTTCAACTCCAGAGAATCCACCCACGAAGTTGGACTGATGGTCCATGGTGCAAACGGAAGACTTAAATAAAAAGGCAGGCCGTTTAAAGTTTAGATGACCACCGTTTTTGTCTCGGCCGGACAGATTCCGATCAGGTGGTCGACGGCAATGGCGAAGAGGAGAAATCTCCGAGCAGCTCCGAGCACTGGCCGCCGTCAAACCCGCGCCGAGAATCCTACTCAGGAGAACAAGTTCGATGAAGTACACGCTTCTGATCGAAGGCTTCTCCTCATTTTCTTTGCCTTCTTCGTAGTGATTCCCGCCGTCTCTGTCTGCTTGTATCGATTCAAATTCGCTCCGGAAGCGGACCGCTCGGACCCAATTGAGCACGGTCAGAAGCAAGGAGGTCGTTTCAAAGTGGATATGAACTACCAGGAAATCCTGGAAGTAAGTTCACTTTACTCACACTGCCTCCGCAGAATTTGATTCTGTTTTTCGTTTTTGATTATTTGTCGCTCTGGTCGAATTAGAAACTGGGGCTGCGTTGAAATGTTTCAGGAGAATTCAGAGGTTTCGCTGAATGCATCTCGACGCAATTATGCGTATCCTGTGTTGGCTTACGTTACACCATGGTAATTTTCGTTGCTATGTCGGTGCTTCGTGCAAATTTGCTTAGTCTGGCTGAAGCAGGATGTTAGTGGGCACAACTCTGCAGGAATTCCAAAGGCTATGACGTAGCAAAGAAGTATACCAAGAAATTTACGCACATATCGCCTGTGTGGTATGATCTGAAGAGGTAAAGGAGGGTTTTTGGAGTTTATTCAGCTTCCAATTTCAGTGAATCGCAACCCTTTAGTTCTTAACAACTTAAAGAAGTTGCTTATGCATATTAAGCCATAAATGTTGAACTGGATTCATTGGTCTTTTGTTTATAGTTTTAAGCCCTCTTTCCTTCTGTATCAGCCAAGGTTCTGGATTGGTACTGGATGGTCGCCATAATGCCGACACAGGATGGATGTCGGAGCTACGCCAGAATGGAGATGCCTTGGTACCTATCAATGCTCACTTCCTTGATTTGTTTGTGTTATGACTTTGTAACTTGATTAACTTTGTGGAAGAGTGAGATGTTACCGGCTATTTCGTTGGTTTAGATTGCACTTCTTAGTTCTTACTATGGGTTAGCTGCTTGTTTGAGATGTGTTTATTGGTGTCATGAGTTTCCAAGGATTTAGTAGTCCTATGCCGTAAGATGATAAGGTCTCGTACTCGTTAGCAGAATTGAAGTGTAAATAACAGAATGGGATTGGTAGTTAGACACGATTGCAAAGGGAGCATTAGAAACTAAGAAGATAAATGTTGGGGTTTCTTTGGAAGACCACATTTTGGTCACCACCAGAATGGGATTGGTTGATAATACTTCAATTGCCTCTAATCTTTTAGTATATTGTTTCTGTGTTTTTGCTGCTAGACTTTAGGAACATATGAAGCCTTCTTGTAGTGAAGTATTATGTTGACTGTAGGTAATACCTAGAATTGTACTGGAAGCAGTTCCTCAAGAGCTGCTGAAAAGCAAGAAACTACGGAGCAAAGCCATTGACATTATAGTAACAGAGTGCATGTAAGCTCCCTACTTACTTACATTATATCTCAGCCCAAAAAGTAATTCCACAGAATGAACCTCGTGACAAGAAGTTTTTTATTCTCAGTTTCTCACGCTTCTGCGTTCTGCCGTGCTTATTTATACATGAGATATACATGTTGCCTCCTATGGGAGAAGTCATTATGAAGTTTTCAGAGCATAGAATGCTATGCACCTGTTCTTACTGAAAGTATAAGCCCCTTGCTTTTTGCATCTTCTGCACAGGGAAATGGAATTTGACGGAATTGTGCTTGAGTCATGGTCAAGATGGGCAGCTTATGGCATTTTACATGACCCTGATATGAGAAATAAGGTACTGATGAGGTTTATATTAATCCTTCCTTGGCTTAAGTTGTTGCATATCTGAGATTTCTGGATACTAAATTGGCTAATGGAGTTTAATGGCAGCCACCAGCAATTAATATTGCTGCCTATATTTTTTGAAATTCATTGAAATATATAAAATGCTCTTAGGTTGGGTTTCTTCTTCTCTTTCAAGGCCTCATTTAACTTTGGTAATGTACACAATATTGTTATTTGCAAGCCTAGGCACTGCAGTTTGTGAAGCAACTTGGCGACACGCTTCATTCTGTGAGCTCAGCAGAGAACAATAACCGACCGTTACAGCTAGTCTATGTGATAGGTCCACCAGTTTCAGAGAAACCTCAAATGCACGACTTTGGCCCACAGGATCTTCAGAGACTGAGTGGTGCTGTGGATGGGTTTTCGTTGATGACCTATGACTTCTCAAGTCCCCAAAACCCAGGACCAAATGCTCCTTTAAAATGGATAAAGTTCGCGTTGCAGCAGCTACTTGGCCCTCCTGAGAACGCTCAAAACCTGGCACCAAAGATATATCTTGGCCTCAACTTCTACGGAAATGATTTCTCCATTTCAGGAGGTAACTTCCTTCTATCTTGTTCATCCAATGATATTGTGGGAATCTCCATGAATGAACTCGGTCTCTTTAGAATACCCTCACCAAAGATTGACAGAAGTCCGGTTCAAAATTACAGGTTCCAGCGGCGGGGCTATAATCGGACGGGACTACCTAGCATTACTGGAGAAGCACAGGCCCAAATTGCAGTGGGAGGAGAACAGTGCTGAACATTTTTTCCTGTACGTGGATGATGACGGGAAGAGGCGTGCTGTCTTCTATCCAACTCTGTCCTCAATCTCAGCAAGGCTGGAAGAAGCCCTAGCTTGGGGGACTGGTGTCTCAATCTGGGAAATTGGACAAGGTTTGGATCGTTTCTATGATCTTTTGTAGGAAGCAGTTTTCTTCCAGAACTGAAGAAAGACAAAGTTGAAAGTCCTTTCTCATCAATTTTGTGATCTCTGTCATTCAATATTTCATAAAATTCATCTTTGTCATCCTAAGAAATGGTCAACTGGTTCTTCAATCAATGTTATCGAGAGTTTTCTTGTCCCATAACGTTAATAGAGGTGTATAGGATTTGATGGTTTAGATTAGAATTTTTTTCAATTTTCATATTCTTTTAATCGATTTATATCTCTTCCGTTTGAACTTGAATATAGAAAATTTTCGACAAAAGAAATGAGTTTATAGCGGTGTACAAAATAATATTTTTTTTATATATTTGGGGAATTTTTTTTTACGGATCACTCCATTTGTTTTAAATGGATTTAACCAAATTTATGTTGATAAGGAACGATTTCATTGTGGTATACATAATTATGTTAATTATGTATATATTTTGGAAAAAAATTTGTGGGACCAATTATACCACCATATACCATGGTATATGGTAGTTGGCCGTTGGTTTATATATATATTTTTTCATTGGTTGTTGGCCGCAAGGTTTGAACGGAAGGTGTGGTGGTCGTTAGTATATTTCTATTTTAATCCATATCATAAGATTTTAGAATTTAAATTGTTACTTTGTGCACAACAAAGATGCTAACATTCACCACAAATGACATTCCAGTAAAACATACTTGTACCATTGGAGATTCTATATCAGATTTATAAAACCTTCTATAAACATGAAACAATCATTTAGTATTCCCACTTCTCCAAACATAAAAGGCAACACAATCGAAGACGAAGTTACAAGGACCTCACCAAGATTTTTAGAGAATATGGAAAAAATTCACTAAGCACTCGACAAGGGGTGAGGACGACATTTATGCAAAATATGTGCATATAAACACTCGACACTAACGTCTCTCTACAATGAAGCTAGCTCCATAAAATTTTCAATTCGTCAAGTCTAAACAAAGTGGGTCTCGTCTAACTTGTCTGTAGGTCTTTTGATTGGATTGTAATTTGGCATGCATTTAATAGTTAATTGCATGCGTTCAAACAATAATGGTATGCATTTGTTTGAATTTGGTATATGCTTACAAAAAATCACTGAAACCGATAAAAAAAATATCATTTAAGCATATCTTAAAATTGGAAATGGATATAAGTTACAGTTTAGCAATACATACGGGTAACCAGCGAATTCATAACAGAAACAATGTGGTGTACACCAATTATTAATCAATGCATTACTAATAACTAGCGAATGCATACCAATATTACTTGAATGTACACAACTAAATACCAAATACTTAGTATCGCAACAGACATATATCATCACCAATTCACCATCCTTAATAAATTGGTTATCAACACTTATGATGATTAGAAAATAAAGAGAAGATAAAAAAAATTGAGAAAGGAAATAATCAGAAATCAGAAAGAAAATTAAAACCCCTAACACAAAAATGAACAGAACTCCTCTCTCTCAACGTCAAGCAATTTCTCTCAATTGTCCATAGCCTGAGCTTCCACAATCCCTAATCCTCGCAAACAAACTCCCACCATTTTCTCTCTCTGTCTCTCGTTTAATTTCCCCCGTCTCCCCTTTCCCGGTTTCTCCTTTCTTCTTCTTCTTCTTCTTCTTCTTCTTCCTGTGTTGTTCTTCTGGATGTCAAACGACGAAAACCCAACACCTTTTTGATCGGAAACCCCCTTTTGCAGCAAAGAAACTTGGCCCTTTCCCTTCTTCGCTGCCTTCATTACCATTCCGCTCGTTTTCTCTTTGTCGGACTCCGGAGCTGCTACGGCTGTGGGAACTTGAATGATTTCATTCCCGATTCGTCGACCACGCACTTGCAGACCATTTCCTGGATTGATCGTCGTTTCCGTTTTAGGGTTTTGATAATCAGACTACCCGTAGTATATTTCCAATTTGGCAATCGCTAGGGTTGCTTCCGTATTCCTCTTGATTTTTCGTCTTTCCATCTGGGTAGATTTAAGTAGCTACTTTTTGGTATTATCAATTTTCGGGTACGAAATTTTCGATTGCCATATCACTAAGTACCCTAAGGTCACTGGAGATAGGTTGTGCTAAGTTGTTGCTTTCGTTTCTTCGCTTCAAGGAAACAACATTTGTACCCTAACACCATCAAGCAGGAAAGATTTCTCTTTTGAAGCCTTAAGTGGACGGGTCAGCCACAATCTACGAGCTCTTGTTTGGTGTCTCTCTTGATGGTTCTGCTGTTCTGAGTGTTTATTGGAGGGAGAAAGTTTGGTTTTTGGCCGATACTAGCTGAAGGTAGATAAAGTGTAACTGCATGGGCGAGCATGAAACGGCGCAGTCACAGCCACCTACTGGGCTCTTGCCAAACGGCCTACTTCCTAATGAAGCGGCCTCCGTGATGCGAGTGCTTGACTCGGCCAGATGGTCGAAAGCTGAAGAGAGAACCGCTGAACTCATAGAGTGCATTAAGCCCAATGAACCGTCTGAGAACCAACGTAATGCCGTTGCTAGTTATGTGCAGCGGCTTATTATGAAGTGCTTTCCTTGTCAGGTAATGTTAGGCTTGTGTTTGGTTTTGTGTTTGAATGTGCTTAGTGTTAGAGAAGTGAAGAACCAATGGTTAGCTCAATTTCATTGTTAATAGTGTGTGAAGGTGAAGGGCATTTGTATTATTAGGTTCTCATCAACTAGTTTCTATATACTTGATGTCTGTTGTTGTATGATAATCGCGTGTTGATCTACGGACATGGAATATGAACTTCATATTCCTGTCTTTTGTGTTTATGGGATACTGGGCTTATATTCTCCAAGATACCAACTTCTATTAGTCATTTAGTTGTACAAGTGCAATTATATCTTGGTGTCGCATATTCTTAATGACGGGTACCATAACACTTACAGGTCTTCACTTTTGGGTCTGTTCCGCTTAAGACTTATTTGCCGGATGGTGATATTGACTTGACAGCCTTCAGTAAGAATCAGGATTTGAAAGATACATGGGCTCATCAGGTTCGTGATATGCTGGAGAATGAGGAGAAGAATGAGAATGCTGAATTCCAGGTTAAGCAAGTCCAGTATATTCAGGCAGAGGTAGGCTTCTCTATTGCAGTTCTGTTTTTTGCCATTAATTTTCTTACCTTTTCTTCTCCTGTTGATTTGACTGAATTTATGGCAGAGTTCATACTGTTGTTGTTGAATATTCTTTCTATTGTTCTCTTGGGATTTTCGTTATAATCTGTTGCTGGCATTGTCTTTTATGTACTCAAAATATGGTTGAAAAGAAAATAATCAATATCTATGAATTATGACCAGGTGAAACTTATTAAGTGCCTTGTGGAGAACATTGTAGTAGATATATCATTCAACCAGCTTGGTGGGCTGTGCACACTCTGTTTCCTTGAAGAGGTTTGTTAAACATACTCTAGACTCACTATCTTGCTTATATATGAAATCTGTTGAATGTGTACTTTTGTTAATTGTTTTGTTGTGTTTGTGTAGGTTGATCATATGATAAAAGATGATCATTTATTCAAGCGAAGCATTATCCTTATAAAGGCCTGGTGTTATTATGAGAGCCGTATATTGGGTGCTCACCATGGTCTGATATCAACATATGCACTGGAAACCCTGGTTCTATACATATTCCATGTTTTCAACAAATCGTTTGCTGGACCACTTGAGGTAGCTTTTTTCCCCCCAGCCAGTCTATTCCCTTTATCGTGCATTCAGATAGCTTCCTCTTATAATTTTTTTGTCCGGTGCATAGGTCCTGTATCGTTTCCTTGAGTTCTTCAGTAAGTTTGATTGGGATAACTTCTGTGTCAGCCTTTGGGGTCCAGTACCCATTGGTTCACTTCCAAATGTGACAGGTATGTTAAATTTTTGGAAGCAATGTATTTGCCAATTCTGATGTCAACTCATATGTGCTTCATTGGCCAAAATTTCTGCAGCCGAACCACCTCGGAAGGATGATGGAAAGTTACTGCTTGCCAAATCATTTCTTGATGCCTGTGGCTCGGTATATGCAGTTTTCCCGAATGGCCAAGAAAGTAATGGCCAGCCTTTTATCTCCAAACACTTCAATGTCATTGATCCTTTGCGTGCTAACAACAACCTAGGGCGCAGTGTTAATAAAGGTACCGAGCAAGACATTTTTCCTCGTTGTATGCTTATATTTTCTCTATATTGCCAAGCCTAATATTATACATGCAAAGTAAATAAATTGATTAGTGCTTGGTATTCTAATAAGATCTCATGAAGTGAAAACAAATGCACTGGTAGAGTGGAAAAATAGAAAAAGGAAAGGCACCAGAGGGGCACTGCTCGACTTGTAATTTTGAGTTAATGTGGGAAGTGACGAAGTTGCAGTGCCAGTGTTCTGGTAAGCCACTAAAGAATGGTCCAAATTCAACAATTGAAAGGAAATAGAGAATCATTTCAAAACAAGGAAATTTTGTGTGTTGTGTAAGTTTAGCTATTTCACCAGTCCTGTTACATAGAAAGAAAGTTACTGGAATGGTTCCTACATCTATTTCCTTTTTGCATTGTAACACCAGTACATCTGCACTCCCAATAATTTGCTTGTGTACATTACCCTATCTCAGGTAACTTCTTCAGGATTCGTAGTGCATTTGCTTTTGGGGCAAAGAAGCTTGCTAGGTTACTTGAGTGTGACAGTGAGAACATACACTTCGAAGTGAATCAGTTTTTCCAAAATACCTGGGAAAGACATGGAACTGGTCATCGTCCTGATGCTCCGCTCAATGGCTTTTGGCAATTGAGACCGTCAAATCATGCTTACTTGATTGGCTCAGAGAAGAATCTCCAAAATATTGCGAGTGTCAAATCTGGAAGTCAAGAAGGTCAAAATAATGCATTGCATGGGCCCTGTATTGTTCCATTCCAGCATGGTAATCACGCCCTGGAAAGCACATCGTTGAGTAGTGATGTTGCCACAGTATCTCGAACACAAAGTCAAAAGATGAATGTAAAGCACAGTTTAAGAACTTCTGATCAGGTTCGAAGAGAAATCAGCACAAATCATTTTGTTCATGCCGAAAAGAATCTGAGCAGTTCTAAACCAGACAGCTTGGTACGCGATTTACAAGGAAGGTATCTTTTTGCAAGGACACACTCAAGTCCTGAGCTTACACATACCTGTAACAAAGTTTCTTCACAAGCAAGGAGTGGTGAAGTTCCCGAAAGTGCAAAAGGCCAGACAACAGCACTTAGTTTTGACAATATCAAGAGGCAAGACACTGAACATGAAAACTTGTCAAGGAATGACGATCTTTCATCACTTAAGTGCAGTTCACCTCACCAGAGTCCTGATGCTGCTGTATCCAATAGTTACCATGATGACTCGGTCATGGGTGGCACACGTGATGAATTTTCTTCTCTTCTAGGTATGCACGGGATGCATCAGGAAGAACAAGATCTTGTCAACATGATGGCTTCTTCCAGTAGCCTTGGTTTTAATGGACAAGTTCATCTTCCACTGAACTTAGCTTCCGGTCACGTACCCTTCCCTATACCACCTTCTGCTCTAGCTTCTATGGGATATCTGCCAAGAAATTTGGGTGGAATGTTACCCACAAATATTCCATTGATGGAGTCTCCTTGGGGTGCAAACATGCAATTTCCCCAGGGTTTGGTTTCTTCTCATTTGACCCACTATTTTCCGACAGTAGGACTGACATCAAGTCCAGAAGGTTCAGTTGAACATTCGAATGAGAATTTTGGTAATGTGGAATCGAACCCTGGGGAGGCTAACAATGAGTTTTGGCATGAACATGAAAGGGTTTCAGTTGGTGGCCATGAACTTGATAATGGAAGTTTTGAGATGGAAACATCTGATGATAAGCAGCAATCTACATCGGGTCGGTATAACTTTGGTTCATCTAGAACAGGTGGCTCTGGTAATACCTCTTCTAGAGTTCAGCCGAAGTTCACAAGGGGATCCCTGCATTCAAATCAGGGTGAACTAGCAGAAAACTTTCTGTACACGGAGAACAAAGGTGATGAAGTTCTCTTTGATGAAAGGCTCACAAGTTCAAGTTCGTTTCCTTCTATGCCAAGTAATTCTGTAAGAAGTACAGCTTCTTCTGAGAGTTCATGGGATGGATCATCTGTAAAGACGAAGTCGGCAAGGGAAAAGAGAGGGAGGAAGACCTCGACTACTGTGGCATCTGTAGTTCATGTGAAAGGTAAAAGTATAAATGAAAGCTCCTCCAGCCAGGTGGACGATGACAGCAAAGAGTGGAGCTCCCAGTTATCAACTAGTCCTGAGATTGTTGAAAGAGGCTTGGGGCCTCCAGCTACTGGTGTCTCAATGCATCAGGTTCCTGGGTTTGAGTTGGCGCAAACAAGTGGATCTGATCCAGTAGTGCCTATTCCTCCAGTGCTATTGGGTCATGGTGCACGATTTTATCCTACGGGACCTCCTGTTCCATTTGTTACAATGCTTCCCATTTATAACTTCCCAGCTGCAGAGAGGGGAACTTTTGAGGCCTCAATAAGTTCAGAGGAGGGCATGAATAACATTGATCCTTTTCAGAATGGTGATTTACTTGAGGGACATCATTATCAGTCTGAAGTTCCAAGTCCTAGTAGTACTTCGATGAGAGTTGCTGCCTCACTTGAGGCATTTGAGCACAAGTCTGACATCCTCAATAGTGATTTTGCTAGTCATTGGCAGAACTTGCAATATGGACGGTTTTGCCAGACTTCACGGCTCCCTACTCCAGTTGTCTGTCCACCTGTTGCGGTACCACCTGTACATTTACAGGGTCGTATCCCATGGGATGGTCCTGGAAGACCTGTTTCGCCAAACATGAAGCTTCTCAGTCAGCTAATGGGTTATGGACCCCGTATCCTTCCAGTCGCTCCCTTGCAAGCTGTTTCCAGTAGACCTGCTGGTGTCTATCAACATTATGTCGATGAGGTGCCAAGATATCGCGGTGGAACTGGAACCTACCTTCCAGACCCTGTATGATATATTTTGCTCCCATTTTCCACATTGTTATTTGAAAGTTGTGCGTTGCTTGGTTTAAGATGAATGTCTTTAGCTAACCTCTGTTCCAGCCAACATCCAGAAATGCTCTGTGTAGTTTATCTGTGATTTTATATAGTCTATGACCTAACATAATCCATATAAATTACCATGTACTGCAGTTAAGTATTGTTGTCCTTCATTTATATTTTTCGTTCGTGTTCACAGAATTGCTGAAGTAAATGTGTCATTACGCTGAGGTTCTACGTTGGTTTCGTTGAACAAAAGATATGAAAATAATATTGATGACTTGTTTTCATTTGCTGCCTGCAGAAAGTGTCAGTCAGGGATCGGCATACCACAAACTCTTCCAGAAAGGCGAACTATAACAACTTTGATAGAATTGAGCACCATGGTGATTATCGAGAAGGGAACTGGAATACTTCGAAGTCAAGAGCCTCTGGGCGCAGTCACAGTCGCAACCAAGCTGACAAGTCAAGTAGTTCAAGGCTCGACAGATTATCAGCCACAAGTGGGGGCAGCAGATCAGAGAGGACATGGGTCTCACACAGATACGACAACCCCACTTCTCCTGCCGAACAGATCGAGTTTGGTTCCCTTGGGCCTATGGGGTCTGCCGAGCTGTCACATTCTAATGTGGACCAAAGACTTCATAGCAGTGCAGCAGCTCAACTGTCTTCACCAGATCAGCCTTCTTCTCCTTACTATCTTCAGAGGTAGTTTACAAAATCCTAACCGTGTCATGTCTCACCGGCAGTTAATAGCTGTGCAAGATTTCTGAATTGGAAGTCTGTCGGTCGTCTGTCTGCCCGACAATGTCCTTGAGGTCTACATGCTTTGGTGACATTGTGGTCTATTGGAGAAGGATAATTTCACACATCTTGTTAGGAACGGGGACAGAGGGACGATTTCATATGATTGTGGCAGCGCCCCTACTCAGCTGCACAAGAAGCTCCTTGCCTGCTCCTACCAGAGTAATGGTTTCGTTCCTCCTCTCACCCCACTCAATATGATATGAGCCAGAGACTTCAGTTGGGGTATTCAGCGCCTTACAGCGTGTAGTTCTTTGCTGCTGTTCCTTTTGCAGCTGTCTCTGTGCATTTAGAAGCTTGGCTTTTTTCGGACTTTCCCTGTTTACGAAAGTAGTAGAAGAGGAAAAGTAACATGGTTGTGGTGAATGAGCCACCACCACCATTGCAGTAGGAGCATGGTAATTGTTGATTTCGTTACTTCGATTAGTTCTTTTATTTCGAACACGAAACTGGTAGGTCTCTGGGAAGAAACGGAATGTAACTTTCACTGATGTAGAGGACACATGAATGCAGGTTTAGAAATTAGGTTGTTGGAGTTAAATCCTCTGCTGAAGTCGAGCTTTTCCCGTCAGTAAGTTGGTGATTCTGTTCCCACATGATGGATGGTGTTGTATTAGGAGGTTTTGATACGTTAGTTGAAGTTGAGCTCGAGTATATGAGGTCTGCCTCTTTGTGATCAACAATTGTTTAGAATGTAGTTAAATAGTAAATACAATGATTACTCCTGCGAACAGAAATGAAACTACTGCTGTTTAGTTCTACCTGTTTGTTCAGCTATTATATCTGCTTTGATATCTTGAGGCCTTATGGAGTCTTCCCAGTGCTTTAACTGGAGCAAGTTCCCTGCTGTTAATTTTGATGAGATCTTGTGCTGAACTTCTGCCAAGGAAACGACTGAACTGGGTGCAGGGATGATTTAATGGGTGTGATTGACCTTCTTTACTCTTGATGGGATTCGTGGTACTGTTTGTAAGTTGGAAAGAACAGACAAAAACTGGAGAAAAGAATTATAGAGTGTCATTTTCAACTCAGGCCACGAATTCCTAACTGCAGTTGGAGGTTGCAGCTCTCTACATGAAACCGTATGACAAAAAGGAAATAAACATTATATATATAGTGGATAGCAGCGAGACTTAAATAGGTATAGGTTGGATGCTTGGCTCGCTAGAATTTCTCTTATTTCACTTAGCTAAATAAATTTCGTTATGCATTTCTATATAATTGATTGAATTCGGAGTCTAGACTTGGCTAGTGGAGATGATTTTCCCATCTGTTCTTGTTTTTTTTTTTTGTTGTTGTTTTTTCATTAGGAAATAACACAAAAGGGATCATTTGAGCAGTTTGTTAGTTTTCAGTTGGATGAGGAATTTAAAATTTCTGGTCTAAACTACGGTTTCCCATACAGTTAGTCTAGATTCCCATTTCTAATCTCGTTTGATACGAAATATTTTTGGCAAAAAAAGGCATGCATTTAGTAATTACTTGCATGCATTCAAACAATAATGATATGCATTTGTTTGATCTGGTATGAATGCATAACATAAATCCAACAAAACCAAAAAATTTAAAATGCACACAAATAATTGCGGAGCCGATACAAAAATCATTTTAGCATACCTGAACTTGGAAATGGATATCGGTTACCGTTTAGCAATATATACCAGTAAGTCAGTAACTAACAAATTTATAACAGAAACAATGTGTTGCGCACCAGTTACTCGTCAAATGCATACCAATAGGCAATAGCTAGCGAATGCCTACCAGTATTACTTGAATGCACATCACTAAATACCAAATACGTACCAGTATCATCCAATGCGTATCAACATTGCTTGAATGCATGCTAATAACTACCAAATGCAACCAGTCGGATGACATTAATTTTTTCTAAAAATATATAAAAGTGCATCTTATATAGTATATCATAATTAATTGATTTTCGATAAAAAAAATTCAAAATACGAGTTAATCGAAAGATAAATAATTTTTTAAAAAACAATAAGAGAATTAATTATCTACAAGATAATTTTTTTGTGATTAAATCTATATTAATTATTAAACATTAATGTAAAGGCCTAATATCTATCATCATTCATCACCATACCAATTACCAACACTAACAATGTTTATGACGATTAGAAAATGCAGAGAAGATAAAAAAGATTGAGAAAGAAAATCAAAACCCCCAAAATGAACAAAACTCCTTCTCTCAAGTCTCAACGTCAAGCAATTTCTCTCCATTGTCCATAGCCTCCACAATCCCTAATCCTCGCAAACAAGTACCCACCATTTTCTCTCTCTGTCTCTCGTTTAATTCCTCCCCGTCTCCCCTATACAGGTTTCTCCTTTCTTCATCATCCTCCTGTGTTGTTCTTCTGGATGTCAAACGACGGAAAGCTATCACCTTTTTGATCCGAAACCCTCTTTTGCCGCAAGGAAACTTGGCCCTTTCCCTTCTTCGCTGCCTCATTACCGTTCCGCTCGTTTCCTCTTTGTCGGACTCCGGAACTGCTACGGCTGTGGGAAGTTGAATGATTGCTTTCCTGATTCGTCGACCAAGCACTGGCAGACCATTTCCTGGATTTGATCGTCGTTTCCGTTTTAGGGTTTTGATAATCTGCCTACCCATAGTATATTTCCAATTTGGCAATCGCTAGAATTGCTTCCGTATTCCTCTTGATTTTTCTTCTTTCCATCTGGGTAGATTTTTAAGTAGCTACTTTTTGGTAATATCAATTATCGGGTACAAAATTTTGGATTGCCCCCTCCCATAAGTTTGTTGCGTTGGGGGTCCGTTTCGTTATTGATCACTAAGTACCCTAAGGTCACTGGAGATAGGCTGTGCTAAGTTGTTGCTTTCGTTTCTTCGCTTCGAGAATTTGTACCCTAACAACATCAAGTGGAAGGATTTCTCTTTTGAAGCTCTAAGTAGACGGGTCAGCCACAATCTACGAGCTCTTTTTTGGCGTATTTGCCATTTCTGTCTTGATGGTTCCGCTATTCTGAGTGTTTGTTGGAAGAAGGAAGTTTGGTTTGGTTTTTTTTGGGGGCGGATACTAGCTGCTGGTAGATAAAGTGTAACTGCATGGGCGAGCATGAGACGCCGCAGTCACAGCCACCTAGTGGGCTCTTGCCAAACGGCTTACTTCCTAATGAAGCGGCCTCCGTGATGCGAGTGCTTGACTCGGCCAGATGGTCGAAAGCTGAAGAGAGAACCGCTGAACTCATGGAGTGCATTAAGCCCAATCAACCGTCTGAGAACCAACGTAATGCTGTTGCTAGTTATGTGCAGCGGCTCATTATGAAGTGCTTTCCTTGTCAGGTAAATATATAAATTTTTGGTTCAAGTTGTCAGGTTAGTATTAGGTTTGTGTTTGGTTTTGTGTTTGAATGTGCTTAGTGTTAGAGAAGTGAAGAACCAATGGTTAGCTCAATTTCATTGTTAATAGTGTGTGAAAGTGAAGGCCATTTGTATTGTTAGGTTCTCATCAACTAGGTTCTATATACTTGATGCCCGTTGTTGTATGATAATTATGTGTTGAACTGAATGTGTCCTTGATTATGGACATGGAATGGGAACTTCATATTTTCCTGTCTTTTGTGTTTGTGGGATACTGGGTTTATATTCTCCAATATACCATCTTCTTTTAGTTGTCCTAGTGTAATTATTTATTGATGTCGCATATTCTTAATAATGGGCGCCATAACACTTACAGGTCTTCACTTTTGGGTCTGTTCCGCTTAAGACTTATTTGCCGGATGGTGATATTGACTTGACAGCCTTCAGTAAGAATCAGGATTTGAAAGATACATGGGCTCATCAGGTTTGTGATATGCTGGAGAATGAGGAGAAGAATGAGAATGCTGAATTCCAGGTTAAGCAAGTCCAGTATATTCAGGCAGAGGTAGGCTTCTCTATTGCAGCTCTGTTTTTTACATAAAATTTTCTTACCTTTACTTCTCCTGTTGATTTGACTGAATTTATGGCAGAGATCATACTGTTGCTGTTGAATTTTCTTTCTATTGTTCTCTTGGGTTTTTCGTTTTGATCTGTTGCTGGCATTTTCTTTTATGTAGCTGAAAAGAAAATAATCCTTACCTATGAATTATGTCCAGGTGAAAATTATTAAGTGCCGTGTGGAGAACATTGCGGTAGATATATCATTTAACCAGCTCGGTGGGCTGTGCACACTCTGTTTCCTTGAAGAGGTTTGTTAAACATACTCTAGAATCACTATCTTGCTTACAGATGAATATCTGTTGAATGTGCCCTTTCGTCAACTGTTTGTTGTGTTTGTGTAGGTTGATCATATGATAAAAAATGATCATTTATTTAAGCGAAGCATTATCCTTATAAAGGCCTGGTGTTATTATGAGAGCCGTATATTGGGTGCTCACCATGGTCTGATATCAACATATGCACTGGAAACCTTGGTTCTATATATATTCCATGTTTTCAACAAATCGTTTGCTGGACCACTTGAGGTAACTTTTTACCTGCTGGTCTACTCAATTTATCGTGCATACAGATAGCTTCCTCATATAATTTTTTTGTCCGGTGCGTAGGTCCTCTATCGTTTCCTTGAGTTCTTCAGTAAGTTTGATTGGGATAACTTCTGTGTCAGCCTTTGGGGTCCCGTACCCATTGGTTCACTTCCAAATGTGACAGGTATGTCAAATTGTTGGAAGCAATGTATTTGCCAATTCTGATGTCAGCTCATATGTGCTTCATTGGCCAAAATTTCTGCAGCCGAACCACCTCGGAAGGATGGTGGAAAGTTACTTCTCGCCAAATCATTTCTTGATGCCTGTGGCTCGGTATATGCAGTTTTCCCGAATGGCCAAGAAAGTAATGGCCATCCTTTTATCTCCAAACACTTCAATGTCATTGATCCTTTGCGTGCTAACAACAACCTTGGGCGCAGTGTTAATAAAGGTATTGATCAAGACATTTTTCCTCGTCATATGCTTATATTTCCTGTATATTGCCAAACCTCATGTTGTACATGCAAAGTAAAAAAAATTGGTAGTGCTTGATATTTTAATAAGGTCTCATGAAGTGAAAACATGTGCACCGGGAAAGTGAAAAAATAGGAAAAGGAAAGTGCACCAGAGGGGCACTGTTCGACTTGTAATTTTTAGGTAATGCAGGGTGTGACGAAGTAGCAGCGGCAGTGTTCTGGAATGGTTCCTACTTCCTACATGTATTTCCTTTTTGCATTTTAACATCAGTACATCTGCACTCCCAGTAATTTGCTTGTGTACATTACCCTATCTCAGGTAACTTCTTCCGGATTCGTAGTGCATTTGCTTTTGGGGCAAAGAAGCTTGCTAGGTTACTAGAGTGTGACAGTGAGAACATACATTTCGAAGTGAATCAGTTTTTCCAAAATACCTGGGAAAGACATGGAACTGGTCATCGTCCTGATGCTCCGCTCAATGGCTTTTGGCAATTGAGACCGTCAAATAATGATTACTTGCTTGGCTCAGAGAATGTGAATCTCCAAAATATTGCTAGTGTCAAATCTGGAAGTCATGAAGGTCAAAATAATGCATTGAATGGGCCCTGTATTGTTCCATCCCAACATGGTAATCACGCCCTAGAAAGCACATCATGGAGTAGTGATGTTGCCACAGTATCTCAATCAAAAAGTCAAAAGATGAATGTAAAGATAAGTTTAAGAACTTCGGATCAGGCTAGAAGAGAAATCAGCACAAATCAGTTTGTTCATGCCGAAAAGAATCTGAGCAGTTCTAAACCAGACAGCTTGGTAGGCGATTTACAAGGAAGGTATCTTTATGCAAGAACACACTCAAGCCCTGAGCTTACGGATACCTGTAACAAAGTTTCTTCACAAGCAAGGCATGCTAAAGTTCCAGAAAGTGCAAAAGGCCAGACAACAGCAGCTAGGTCTGACATTATCAAAAGGCAAGAAACTGAACCTGAAAACTATTTTCCCCATGGTTTGGTTTCTTCTCCTGTGACTCGTCATATTCCAACAGTAGGACTGACATCAAGTCCAGAAGGTTCAGTTGAACATTTGAATGAGAATTTTGGTACTGTGGGATTGAACCCTGAGGAGGCTGACAATGAGTTTTGGCGTGAACATGAAAGGGTTTCAGTTGGTGGCCTTGAACTTGATAATGGAAGTTTTGAGATGGAAACGTCTGACGATAAGCAGCAATCTACATCAGTTCGGTATAACATTGGTTCATCTGGCACAGGTGGCTCTGGTAACTCTTCTAGAGTTCAGCCGAAGTTCACAAGGGGATCCCTACATTCAAATCAGGGTGAACGAGGAGAAAATTTTCTGTACACAGAGAACAAAGGTGATGGAGTTCTCTTTGATGAAAGGCTCACAAATTCAAGCTCGTTTCCTACCATTCCAAGTAATTCTGTAAGAAGTACAGCTTCCTCTGAGAGTTCATGGGATGGATCATCTGTAAAGAGTGTGGAAGACCTGTGGAAGACCTCGACTACTGTGACATCTGTAGTTCATGTGAAAGGTAAAGGTATAAATGAAGGCTCCTCCAGCCAGGTGGACGATGACAGCAAAGAGTGGAGCTCACAGTTATCAACTAGTCCCGAGATTGTTGAAAGAGGTTTGGGGCCTCCAGCTACTGGTGTCTCAAGGCATCTGGTTCCTGGGTTTGAGTTGGCACAAACAAGTGGATCTGATCCAGTAGTGCCTATTCCTCCAGTGCTATTGGCTCATGGCGCACGATTTTATCCTACGGGACCTCCTGTTCCATTTGTTACAATGTTTCCCATTTATAACTTCCCTGCTGCAGAGACGGGAACTTCTGAGGCCTCTACAAGTCAGACCGGTTCCGAGGAGGGTATGAATAACATTGATCGTTTTCAGAATGGTGATTTACTTGAGGGACATCATGATCAGTCTGAAGTTCCAAGTCCTAGTAGTACTTCGATGAGTGTTGCTGCCTCGCTTGAGGCATTTGAGCACAAGTATGACATCCTCAATAGTGATTTTGCTAGTCATTGGCAGAACTTGCAATATGGACGGTTTTGCCAGAATTCACAACTTCCTAGTCCAGTTGTCTATCCACCTGTTGCGGTACCACCTGTACATTTACAGGGTCGTATCCCATGGGATGGTCCCGGAAGACCTGTTTCGCCAAACATGAAGCTTCTCAGTCAGCTAATGGGTTATGGACCTCGTATCCTTCCAGTTGCTCCCATGCAAGCTGTTTCCGGTAGACCTTCTGGTGTCTATCAACATTATGTCGATGAGGTGCCAAGATATCGCGGTGGAACTGGAACCTACCTTCCAGACCCTGTAAGATATTCACCTTATTCTTGTGGGTATTTTGTGTTTGTGTAATCAAGTGGCCTCATTTGCCTCGTTATTATTTGACTGTTGAGCGTTGCTTGGCTTAAGATGAATGTTTAAGTTAACCTCTCTTCCAGTTAACTTCCAGAAATGCTGTGTGTAGTTCATCTGTGATTTTATATAATCTGTGACCTAACATAATCCATATAAATTACCATGTACTACAGTTAAGTATTGTGGTCCTTTATTTCTATTTTCGTTCGTGTTCACAGAAATGAATGTGTCATTACGCTGAGGTTCTATGTTGTTAGATGTGGGGAATTTTTTTAGTTGCTTTGAACAAAATATTTGAAGATGACTTGTTTTCATTTGCTGCCTGCAGAAAGTAGCAGGCAGGGATAGGCATACCACAAACTCTTCCAGAAAGGCAAACTATAACAATTATGATAGAAGTGAGCACCATGGTGATTATCGAGAAGGGCCCTGGTATAATTCGAAGTCAAGAGCCCCCGGGCGCAGTCACAGTCGTAACCAGGCTGACAAGTCGAGTAGTTCAAGACTGGACATATTAGCAGGCACAGGTGGGAGCAGCAGATCGGAGAGGACATGGGTCTCACACAGACATGACAACCCCACTCCTGCTGACCAGATTGAGTTTGGTTCACTTGGCCCTATGGGGTTTGCCGAGCTGTCACATTTGAATGAGGACCAAAGACTTCATGGCAGTGCAGTAGCTCAACTGTCTTCACCAGATCAGCCTTCTTCTCCTCACCATCTTCAGAGGTAGTTTACAAAATTCTAACCGTGTCATGTCTCCCGGGCAGTTAATAGCTGTGCAAGATTTCTGAATTGGAAGTCTGTCCGTCGTCTGTCTGCCCGACAATGTCGTTGAGGGACTACAGTTTACAGCACATTGAATGGTATAATTATTTGGAAGATGTAGCTATCATCTTGAATTTTGGTTACTGCACATTGCTTAGGCTTGGGTGCGGAAGGGGTTTGTTTCTCTTTGATTTGTTTTGTGATTGATGCATTTGATTTTTATTATGCAGGAGCGTTTGAGTTTTCCTTCATTGCAGAATTATGGGTGGCTCCAGTGACATGGTGGTCTATTGGAGAAGGATGATTTCACGCATCTTGCAAGAAAACGGGAAAGAGGGAGGATTTCATATGATTGTTGCAGCGCCCCTACTAAGTTCAGTGCAAGAAGCTCCTCAGCCGCTCCTACCAGAGTAATGGTTTCGTTTCCTCTTCTCACCCTACTCAACAAGATATGAGCCAGAGACTTCAGTTGGGGCATTCAGGGCCTTGCAGCCTGTAGTTCTTTGCTGCTGTTTCTTTTGCAGCTGTCTCTGTGCACTTAGAAGCCTGGCTTTTTTTCCGGACTTTCCCTGTTTAGAAAGTAGTAGAAGGGGAAAAGTAACTTGGTCGTGGTGAATCAGCTACCGCCACCATTGCAGTAGGAGCATGGTAATTGGTGATTTCGTTACTTCGAATAGTTTGCTTATTTCGAAAACGAAACTGGTAGGTCTCTGGGAAGAAACAGATTGTAACTTTCACTGATGTAGAAGACATTTGAATGCAGGTTTAGAAAGTAGGTGGTTGGAGTTAAATCCTCTGCCCAACTCGAGCTTTTCCCCGTCAGTAAGTTGGTGATTCAGTTCCCACATGATGGATGGTGTTGTATTAGGAGTTTTTGATACGTTTAGTTAAAGTCGAGCTCGAGTATATGTGGTCTGCCTCTTTGTGATCAACTAGTGTTTAGAATGTAGTTAAATAGTACATACAATGATTACTGCTGCCAGCAGAAAAATGAAACTGCTGCTGTTTAGTTCTACCTGCTTGTTCAGCTACTATATTTGATTTTAAGGGAGTAACTCTCGTCTTCACTTCAGCCACCCATATCACCTCTTTTTTGGTCGTTTACTTTTCAGCCATCCAATATTACCTCTTTTTTGGTTATCTAAGTAAAGCTTAAGCTTTAGGTTTGGTTTAATCTAGTTTAATTTGGACAAAGGCTCGAAAGAAAGAACTGCCAATTCGAGGCCTACAAGCCGTCTCCTTTATTTGGTTCTAATTCCTAATCGGCCCAATAAACTCTGGCTAATCGCCAAATCCAACTGAATGGAATACCGGCAAAGTAAGATCCAATTCAATGGGAGAATATTATATTTTTGTGAATATCGCTGGATTTATTCTCCGAATCAACTGGGATACAAGAACTTCAGCTTTCAATGACCAAGCTGATACCGTTGATTAACTTGTGCTGCCGTTGACAACTATTTTCATAAAGAGGATTTCGGGAACATCTATCTTTCGAATCTCGATTCCATGTTCTGTAATTGATATGTTTTTATTATTAGTGTCTAATTTTCCAAGCCCCGATTAAGAGAATCGATGACCGCAACAGACAAATTAGAAAGACGCCTAATTAAGACAACGAAGATTGCTCTTAAGCGGCGGTGAGGTTCGGTGGGTAGTCGCGCTCGCACTACGGACGGAGATGAAGTTGGCGCGAGAGGCGACAAGAGAGAGGCGCCGACCACTAATTCCGGCGAGAAAAACAGAGGAGGAAGTAGAGAAGGCGGCGCCGGAAAACAGAGAGGAAGAAGAGAGAGGACGGCGCTGTTGGGAGGGTTTGACTTTTGACGGAAGAGAGTAAGGAGCCGTACCGTCTTTTGGTTTTGGAGGCCCATATGAAACAAAAAATTGATTTTCCTACCGTCCTTTAGAGGCCCATATATGAACCAAAGATTCGACTTGGCAATGTGACCAAAGGGCCCTTACGTTCTATGCTTGGGGGTGTATAGAAAAGCATGGTTTCAATAATTCAAGTTGTTGAGAAAAAGTGTGGAGACATGAATACAAAATTATTTGGTAAAATACATATCTTTTCACTCGTTATAATTTGTCTCTCCCTAGTTCCCAAGTATAGCGAAACTGGCTCTTTCCTATGCATGAACTAGCTAACACACAGATTGCCATAGTCAACTACGTAAATCTTTGTGTTCTTTATTTTCTCGCATTGTCAACTTTTTGATCCATTATAACACGCCAAATGCTTACAAATTCCAATTGCTCTCTTCAAGCTTTATTTCTCTCCTAGTAATGACAATAGATAGAAAGAAATACTATACAGTCTACCCATGAACCCTCCCAAAGCACCACCTCAGTGTAGTTCTTTGTTGTTGTTTCTTTTACGCGCCACTCTACGGACAATCCTGTTTGCAATTCTAGGAACCGCCCTAAACTTTATACTGACAGACACCAAGGATAAAAGATTACGACAATCACGAAGCACAGACCCTCCAAGGGAATCCGAGGTTACTCCCCGATGAAACTGATGAATAACCACTTCAAAATCTTATTCATTTGATGACCCGATGGAGAGATTTGGAGACAAAGAGCGAAATGGCATCTCTTGCTGCAAGTAACTCTGTGAGGTAGGGGTCATTAACTCTAGGATGTTAGACCTCCACTGCCAACACGACATGCCCGTCTGCCCCATGAATAACTAGGCCATACGAGCAATCAGAATCACGAACAACAGCATCGAAGTCGAGCTTGAGGAAATCACCAAGAGGAGGGGCCCAAAAGGCAGGGCAGACTTACGAGAGGCGATGAAGAGGGTCTGGAGAGGGAGGGAGCGAGGAGGACACTTCAAGACCTTGGAAAAACACTGACGAGCTAGAGACCATGCATGTGGTTGATAATGTTCTAATACCACCTTATTACGAGACTTCCAGATTCTCCACAATATGCATACGCATTGAATAACATGGGTTTGTGTGTGCTTAGAAAGAATAGCATGTTGCCACTAGAGATTAAGTTCACAGTCGGGGCCGAGTAAATGAAATCATTTAGAATACATATATAATACACTAATTTGTGAGTGAATTTATCACTAATCATAGAAAATTTCAAATTTCATTTCATTTATCGCCAAAAAGTTCTAACAAAACATTCAAACTATCTCATAGTGAACGAGATAAATTTGACAAGGAGGTTGAGAAATGAAAGAGGAAGCATAAATAAAATTAGCGATTGAGGTTGAATGGTCTTAGTTTACGTTAATATATTTTTTCTTAAGTTTTTGTGGTTAAAATAGTGAATCAATAGGTCAGTTAAACTAGGACGGTTCATTTGATTTCATGTCGAATATTTAAAAACCGTTCGGTCCATCTGTAACCGTGCAATGAAATGAACCGAGCCGCTATTGTAACTAGTTTAGTGGTTCTACTAACCCAACAACTGATCTCGGTTTGGTTCCTATAACAGTGCTTTTTATATATTTTCCCTCTCCATTCATAAAATTATCCTCGAAACCTGATTGCCAATATTATTCCCATAAAGAATTTGTCCATAAATCGCCATGCCACAGTGTTCCTTTAATTATTTTCCAAATCTTTTCCTAGTCTAATATTTATACGAAATAGGCCTAAAGAAGTAATTCTAAATGTGTTTTGTTTCTGGTTGTCAAATTTCATATTTTTCAAAATTATTACCTAAACGTATTTTTATTTTCTATTTTCATATTGTTGTGCTTGTGCATCTCTTGTCACAACTCCACTACAAGCACAACAACAAAACTGTACTAAACAAGGTGTTAGATTTCCTCTTTCCAGTTTCTTGTTGTGTTCCACTGCCCAATCTCTCACCAAAACTTCTAATTTTCCCTTTTCAATTGCATATTTTTAATTGGAAGGTTTATTAAATTGTGAAAAGACAATATAAGCCCCACAAATCTCCATAAGTTTTCACCATTAGATTAGAGGTCGTTTGGACGAGAATTATAATCGATCAATGTGACCCAATTGTTTATTTGTTTGTCAGCATAAAATTTTGATGAATCAATTCGAACTGGAAAAATTAATGAATTGATCCGTTTTGAGTCAACTCCAATTATCCGAGGAGGACGCAGGTAATTGAAATTTACTCATTTTAAATTGCCCGCTTTTTAAAAACGAGACAATTAAACAAATTATCTCATTTCTGAATTGATGCAAATATTTGGATGTATCAATTCACAAACCACTCAATTCCCTAGATAATTGGAATTGACTCAAAATGAATCAATTCGAAATTCCCAAAACCATATTAGTTCTTCCAAAATTTATGTTACCGGACGGATCAATTTAATCTATTTCTCTTTAAACGATTGAATTAAATCAAATCGTCCGATCAGAATTCCTCATTCAAACCACTTCTAAAAAAAAATGTCAACTATGGTTGAGAGGTGGTTAGTCGTTTGATAATTGATATTCCGAGAGGGAACCTTGGCCAGTGGTAGTGCCTGCCTATATATATATCAATATGCCCTGAACTGGTCTTCCACAGTACATCTTCCCAATCATCCCCTGGTTCGACCCAGCAGTCCGAGTCCGACTCAGGCCCCGCCCTCCATTAAAATTCATCCTTTTCCTATCTCCACTTGCCTATTTCTCTCAACAGGACGATTTGCGCCAAACACTTGGGCTTGGCTCTGCCGCTGCTGCAACTTCCTAATCCCCCCCCCCGCCTCAGTAAAGCTCACTCAGTAGTCAGTAACGCTCTTTCTCCCTCTTAAAAACAGTTTCTTCTTCTCTTTCTTTCCTCATCACCTCTCTCTCTGTCGTGGCTTGCTGTGACATTTTACACAGGTTCTGCTCTCCCTTTGTGTTCTTCGATTGCTGTTTCGTTTTGAAATTGGTTTCGATTGGTTCATAGTTCTCTTTTGGTATATCCCCGCCCTTTGTTTTCTTACCTTTCTGCAACCTTTTTCATTTTAGTCTTTGTTGACTGAATTGACTGATATGTCAAAAAGGGTGGAAGGAAGAACGATTAGGTTTGCCGTGAGAGCTCCGTTTTTGATAACGATAACAACAATAGTAATTAGCAAAGAGAAGATACTACTCCACTCTGCCCCTATCTCATATTCCCCACTGGGACTCTCTCGATCGGTTTTTGCTGATTCCTCACTGCTAACGGTTTTTTCCTTTTCTGCAAAATTCGTTGGCTCCTTTCCCCACTCCTTGCAATTCCGCCTCCTTGAACTGGTAATGGCCCCTCTTTTTTTTCTTCTTTTCCTTCTGGGTTTCCTATTTGCCCAGTTTTCGTCACGGTCTTTTTCTTTTTCGTTTTCGTTTGGGGGTCGCTTCACGAAATTGGAAACCACCCTTTTTTCTTGTTTGATATCTTGAGCTGGGCAGCTTCTGGCGTTTCCCTTTTGAGGGTCTACCAGAAGGTTTCGTTTGAAATCTGAATTGCAAAGAGTGTCGGTTAGTTTCATGGTTGTTATCTCTGGGAAACGTCTGTTATATGATGATGATGTCTGTAGAGAAGAACTTGCTAGTGTTTTCAGTATAAGTAATCATCTTTTTACCTGCCCCTTCCCGGGTCTTTGTTGTTTCCTTTTGCCATCTAGGTGTGTGGTGAGGATGTTAGAGTCGATGGAAATGGTCGACCCAAGTAAGGTGATCGAGGAATTTGAAGCAATGACAAAAGATGCTGAAAGGATACAGAGAGAGACCCTTAAGAAGATCTTGGAGGACAATGGGTCGGCTGAGTACTTGAGGGATCAAGGTCTAGATGGCAGAACCGACCCAGAGAGTTTTACTGCTTGTGTTCCGCTGGTGACTCATAAGGAGTTGGAGTCTTACATTCACAGAATTGCTGATGGGGACTCTGCTCCGGTTCTCACTGGAAGGCCTATAACCACCATATCTTTGAGGTACCTACCACCTTCCTTTGTTTGTAACCTTTTTTCTTTCCCCTTTCTGGGTTCGGAATATTTATGTGCCCTGTGTCCTTTCTCAATGGTTCTTCTAGTTCTGATAACTCTGCACCTTTTTGGCAGTTCTGGTACTTCTCAAGGGAAGCCCAAACTTTTACCTTTCAATGATGAATTGATGGATACAACCCTGCAGATATACAAAACTTCTTTTGCCTTTAGGAGCAGGTACAGTATTATATGTCTGGAAAAAGGTTTTCTCTTTTCATTTGTCCAATCCAGGGATGCTTTTCAACTGTCTGCTAAGATTATAGCTGCTATATACAGAGTTGATTTCCACTAACCTGTTTCAACTAGAAGGGGGAAAAAACGATGTTGGGGAACGTTTTTTTACCCTCTATCTGGCGAATATATGATTATTTTGTCTCAACTTGTTATGCAGAGAGTTCCCACTAGGCAAAGGGATGGCCTTGCAGTTCATTTACAGCAGCAAGCAGGGGAAAACAAAGGGAGGGTTGGTGTCAGGAACAGCTACAACAAACGTGTTTCGCAATGCTTTATATAAGCAGGCAATGAGGGCTCTTCAGTCCCAGTGTTGCAGCCCAGATGAAGTCATATTTGGGACTGATTTTCAGCAGTCGTTATACTGCCACCTATTGTGTGGCCTTATCTTCAGGGAAGAAATTCAGTTTGTGTGTTCTACTTTTGCCCACAGCATTGTCCTTGCTTTCCGGACCTTTGAAGAAGTCTGGCAAGAGCTATGCAGCGATATAAGGGAAGGGGTCCTTAGCAGCCGGGTCACTACCCCATCAGTCAGAGCAGCGATGCTGAAGTTACTTAAGCCCGACCCTGAATCGGCTGATCTCATCTATGAGAAATGCGTTGGATTGAGCAATTGGTATGGGCTGATACCACAGCTTTTCCCTAATGTGAAGTACGTTTATGGGATCATGACGGGGTCGATGGAGCCTTATCTGAAGAAAATGAGGCACTATGCAGGGGACATCCCTTTGTTAAGTGCTGATTATGGTTCTTCGGAAGGATGGATAGGAGCAAATGTCAACCCGAAATTACCCCCTGAGCTTGCTACTTTTGCTGTGCTCCCCAACATTGGATATTTTGAGTTCATCCCTCTTACAGAAAATCCCAACCACATCTATATGGACGCGAAACCTTTGAGTCTGACTCAAGTGAAGGAAGGTGAAGAGTACGAAGTTGTCCTCACTAGTGTGGCAGGTACTACTTACAGTTCCATTACCAATCAAGCTGTTTCTATAGTTTCTGTCTGTCATCCACGCATGTTTCCATATTGTAAAGATGCGAGCTTGACATGAATATCTGTCCTTATCCCTCCACAACCATTAGCTTATCATCCTCGTCTAAGTGGAAACTTATTTTTTATAATATCAAGACAGCATGTTCATACTAATGGCTTAGATCTGTTGACTAGACGTCATATGGCATAGGTCTTTGACTTGTCTGCTCAGAAATCCTTCTCTCTCTCCCAGTCTTGGAAAAAGTCATAGCAGAAATCCTTATCATCCACTTACATAGTATTCTTAGTCAAGAAGATAAACTCCGTAGGTGATACTTGGCTTTGTGGAATATAAGACAAAGATAGTGCCATGGAAGCACGACAAAAGAGAAACATGCCTTTAGGATGTAAGAGAAGAGGTGCGGTAGATTTACAACAATATGATATTCATGTTGATGGATTAGGTATGCATGCTTTGTAGTCATTTGTGCAAAAAGACTTTGATACAAGCATATAAGAACAGAGTGGTCCTTCTGTCATGGATTACAAGTCATTAATCCTCACCTAATTCGCCAATTACCTAATCTAGAAATCGTCTCATTATAATTGGAAGCACTTGCAAGCAACTGGAATTGTTTCTCTTAGGGCTCCTGGTCATATATCCTTTTTACATATAGTGTTTTACAGCTTATGTTGTGAGCTGTAAATCAAATTTGAAAGTCTGTGGAATGGGGTTGACTGCAGGTTTGTACAGGTACAGGCTCGGAGATGTGGTGAAGGTGGTGGGGTTCCACAACTCGACCCCGGAACTGAAGTTTGTGTGCAGGAGGAATCTATTGCTTTCCATAAACATCGACAAGAACACCGAGAAAGATCTGCAGGTGGCCGTAGAGGAAGCAGCCAAGCTGCTGGCTGAAGAGAAGCTGGAAGTCGTGGACTTCAGCAGCCTGGTGGAGAAAGATTCATCTTCAGAGCCGGGGCATTACGTCATCTTCTGGGAGATCAATGGGGAACCGAGCGAGGAAGTGTTGGCAGAGTGTTGTAGTCAGCTGGACAAGTCGTTCGTCGATCTGGGCTACGTTAGTTCGCGGAAGGTGAAAGCCATCGGACCGTTGGAACTCCGGATAGTGAGGAGGGGAACCTTCCAGAAGATTCTGGATCATTACCTGGAATTGGGAGGCGCTGTGAGCCAGTTCAAGACCCCAAGGTGCGTCGGGCCGGTGAACAAGGTTGTGTTGGAAATCTTGTGCAGCAATGTTGCTCAGACTTACTTCAGTACTGCTTATGATTGACAGCAGGATGGAAACGGTTGCTTGGGAAATAATTGTAATATGGTGATCCTTTTATATACTGTACTACAGGTTTTATGTGGGCTTCTTCAGCATCACAGCTATTCTAAAGAAACACAAAGGCCTTGAGTTGGTAGAAATGAGGGTACAAAAAAGTAGAAACTATTATACAGGCAATCATTTCACTTTAAATGGTCAAAATATGAAATCACCTTGAATATAAGAATGTTTTTTTTAAGGTTAAATAAAATATTATTAAGTTCAAGGAACAATCTTTGGATCGATACCTTCAAATCTAGTTCTGCAAGCCGTCTTGTCAAATAAGTTACAAGCATAACAATCTTTGGATCGATACCTTCAAATCTAGTTCTGCAAAGACCATCAGCTCTAGAGTATTAATGATCTTTGTACCTAAGTGTACGGCCCCCTTTTTTTTAGCAGGTTAGGGTCAAAGTGGATCGATCCGCGGGTTGACAACCTTGCTATCAATCGATAATTCTCGGTCGTAGACAAATTCATTTCATGGTTATACATTGGACTCTACTCCTACTTCAGCTGTTCTTGCCTTCCCAAAATCCTTCAATGGCTTTGACGTGATCAATGACGCAAAGGGCTAACCGAAAGTGGTAAAAACTACGGTTAAGTGGATGCATGACGAAACAGTTTGTTTGTTTGTTTGGGCAGAGAGGCACTTATTAATGGCGAAAGTGGTAGTAGAAAGATAAGGATGAGCACTTCTATTATGCTATAAAGCATTGATGCTTTAATGTACAACTTAAAGTTGTTCCATAACATAAAATGTATAAGTTTAGGTTGTACCATAAAGGAATTTGTATCATTATGTTGTGGTACAACTTCACAACTTGAAGTTGTACCATCACATAAAGGTACAAGTTCAAGTTGTACCATAAAAGAATTTGTACAAAACAATATAGGTACAATCTGGAATTGTACCACAACATTAAAGGTACAACTTGAAGTTGTACCATAAAGACAAAAACAAATAGCACCAATGCTATAGAGCATTGTAAAATTCCTCAGATAAGGATACCTAACAAAACAAAATTTATGTATTATTATTATATGTATTCCCAAGTCCCAACTCACCTTTGGACGACGAATTAAAACAAATAACACATTGAAAATGTTTGTTCTTTCTAATACGTAAAATGAAGGCCTTGGTCTCTCCACCAAATACAATAATACCATCACTTTCACGTGTGAAAAATACGACACTCTTCTCCAGCATTTCCGGCGCCGTTTTTGCATGTAATCGTCAACTTATAGCCATTTTTGCATATCATATGGGGTGGGTTTTACTGACTGCGCTGCGCGGGAGCACATTTTCACTGGATTGGATAGCGATATTTTGATATTTTTAACTAAACTTCAACAATCATTCACGAATTGATGTCTCATAATCACGAATATAACAAGTGAAACACACATTAGTATAATTAATCGGCAAGCATACTTAAGGGGTTCAGTAGGCTGTGGTCGGGTGTACCGTAAGCCTCCTGTGACCTTTTTTTCCACCGTTACCCTTTTTTCCCATTGTTTCTTCCTTTGGCCTCCCCACGTAGACTACTTGGCGGCTACGCAAGTTGTTTTCCTTCCCGGTGGAAGGGAGTGATAGTACCTCCGACGATTGGCTTGACGGTTACCCAAGTGTCGGTCTACTTCCCCCCCTTCTTCCCCTTCCAGAAACTCTCCGACGATGATTACCCGGCAGCTACCCAAGTCTCAGACCCCTTCTACCCCTTCCTAAAACCCTCGGTCGAGGGATCGATTTGCAGTCGGCGGACAAACAATCCAAATCGACAAGCATCCACGGTGGTGAGGTGCTGAATTGTTAATCAAAGCCCACCGAGAGCGGACAAAAACTCCGCCTATTCATGGAAAATAACACAAGGGAAGAACCGGGACTGCCGTCGATTTGAATCATATGACACAATTCCAGAGAGCTAACAAAGGAAACAGTGACGATGAGCCGATTTAGTGATTTTCCTCCCTGCAATAGTTCTCTGTCATCCAATTTCCTTCGATCCTTTAGTACCCATTCCACCACTCACCTTGATTGCATGCCTTGATCAAGACTTCAAGGAAATCGGAACCCAATCCCAATTTCAATTCTGCTACTTCTCTAGCTAACCAAAAGCTCCGCAAGGTCTCCTGCTCGACAATTTCATGGATTGGGAACTGGGATCTCTGCCATTGAGGTTCTAGCTTTGTGGGGGGGGTTTTTTTTTTGCGCTTTTATCGGAGCTTTGTGGATGATAAGCTAGCCAAATTATTGATTTCTATCATTTTTCCTTTTTATTATCCATATTTGCATGAGTGACAGGTGTTTACTTCAAATTGAAACAATGCCACTTGCTGACGCGTATATGACTTCATCTCATCAATATCATTATAGTAAACTTTTCTAACCTTTCCTTTTCCTTGGTAAGTTTTTCTCCACTCTTAATTTGAGGTTCTCATTCAATTGGTTGAGTCCAACACCATATATACTTTATACATTCTAATAGATCCATTTAATTTTAGTTATTTTCTTGGGTTATTTAAATTTTGTATTTATAGGCATTGATAAGAAATAATAGTATGTACAACAATTCATGAATGTAAAAGATTAAAACCGTGAAACAATATAGGAGGTCGTACTGGAAAAGTGAGTGATAGAATATGTTGTACTAAAATCATGACTTAATCAATGTCATACCAATAAAATCATCTACTGATTTAGGCTTTCATATGAAGTTTTCTCTGTTCAAAGCATCAATATGATACAATTCAAAAACAGTGTAAAAATTAGTCCAGTTAATACCCATACAATGTTAGATATCAAAAGACTTTACATTTACTTATATTCATTGTTCTTCCAATTTATAGTTCAAATTAATAAATTTAGAAGCATTATAAAAGACCATATCAATATTTGGAATCGAGGGCATTAATTATGCAAGGTGTTGATAATTAAGTTATAATTACCTAAATAATTAAGCCTTTCCAATAAGTATAGCTTTAAATAAAACTTATAAAAGTGTCTCGCGCAAAAGATTTTGTGAATATTTTTATTTCACTAAATTATTAAATAAGTGAATAAAATTTTATCACCAAAAGAAAGTATTAACTGATTACCGCCGCAACGCGCGGGCCAATTATCTAGTTTATAATAACACATTAAACAATCAATCCAAAATAGACTACATTATTAGTAAATAAAAATAAGCACTAAAATTCTAAAGTCCAAACTATCATTCATAAATTTTTTTAATAAATAAATCAATAATGGGATTAACTAACCTACTCACGACATATATATATACATATTTATCTCAGAGTTGTCTTAATTACTTGCCATATGGATAATGAATTAATGATATTAAGCTCAAACTCAAACAAATCTATGTAAAGTACAACAAGTGCGAAAGTGATTCTATCATCTAGTGGGATCAAGAACAGTAGACTCGAAGAGCCAAATCCAGTCACGTGACCAAATCTTGACGAAGGTTGTGAACTTCAATCCAGACGCCCAATTTAAACTCTAGTATGTACAGTGATCCTGCGCGCAACCAAGAGATCAAAGAAAATTTCTCAGTTTAATCAATATCAACGGGGCTTATTTCAATATCTTGTACATTTGTACAGTAGACTCTAATTATTCAAACTGAGATGTTTTTGTCATGATTAAAAGTTGGGACCAAAGTTGTCCTTCGTGCAAAGTTGGGTCAGTACTAACATGCAGGATTCGGACAAAATATCTCTCAAATCACAAAAAACTCCGATACCATGAGCCAGCTAGTCCCAATATAAAGATGAAGGGAAAACTTACAAGTTGTGAAGCGTCCTGATGGTGCAGTCGGGGCTGGCGTTCCCGCTCTGGATGTCCTTGAGCGTCATGCCCTGGCACGACGCAGCCACGTTTAGCATCCCGATCTTCAAACCCATCGTCTCAATGCCAACGGTGGTGGTCACCTCCAAATTCACCTTGAGGCTCTTGTCCTCGTACTGCTTCGGCAGCCTCTCCTCCTCGCGCTTGTCCAGCAGCTCGTCCTTCACGCTCGTCTCCACCTTGAGCGTCGTCGTCGTCAGGCCCGCTTGCTCGAACCCGGGGAGCGTGGTGGACCCCATGTCGGTGTCCTTTTCGTCGCCGACCGTGATCCCGACGTAGGTCTCCCCGTACCGATACATCATCTTCTCGTTCGGGTTGGTGAGCTGCAATGCAATTAAAAGCGCGACAATTAAAGTTTAAAAGTTTAAACTTTCGTACGTTATTACTTCTGAACTTAATACTAGCTAGCTCTTTAGAAGCTTTATAAGTGCTTAAAATCGTTAAAAAGCTAGTTCTTTTCAGGGTGCTTTTAACAACTTATAACGATCTGATTTATTGAGCAGTCAGTGGGTTCGTCAAGTGATTTTTTAGGGGGAAAAAGATAAAAAAAGAATGATCATATGGTTGGAATTAAAATTAATCTATCTTTAAAATTGCATTTTTAAGTTTAAAATTTACGATTTTACGTATCTAAATCACCGAAATGTTTCTGCACGTAGTACCCCTTAAGTTTCATAAGAACTATATATAGTTTAACTATATATATGGGTGACCTGGATGGCAGCGGAGACTGCGGCGGAGAAGTAGGTGCCTTCGGGCTTAGCGGCGACGTGGACGGCGGAGATCTTGCAGGATTGGATGCGGAAGGACGGCGGTTTGGGGTGGTAGAGGTAGATGAGGCCGCCGGCAACGGTGAGGAGGAGGAGGATGAGAAGGAAGGTGACGAGGAAGCAGCAACAGCAGATTTTGCAACAGCTGGCGCCTCTCTTGGTCGGCCGGAACGACGGAGGGAGGTGCGGTGGCGGCCGTCCCGGTATCGGGGACATACTTGTCGGCGGCGGATTCCGATGAGCCGGGGGACGGGGGACCTGCCCGCCGGAGATCGGCGACCTATCTACCATTTGATGGATTTAATTTATTAAACCTTTTTTCTTGCTATTCTTGTTGATGATGAATTGATGATGATTATGTGTATGTTTTGTTACGGGAAATTACAAATGGACAAGCTGATGAAACGTTTGGAGAAGGATTATGATGATGATGATGATGATGATGATAATTATGTGAAATTTGAGGAAGATGAAGAAGAGCAAATTGGATTTGATTTTACGATGGTGGTAGAAGTTTGATTTTCCAAATGATTTGTTTTGTTGTTGTTGGTGTTTTTTTACTAATTTTCATTTCGGGGTTATGATTTGTTTGGAGAAGGAATTTCTAAGGAAAGCTAGCGAGAGGAGAGAAGCGGCTGGAATTCAGTTAGGCTACCGAGATTTACGAGCATCACCTATACAAAATGTAGCTTGTGTTTTGGTGGATGATTGTAAAATCCTATCCAAAAAGTCGGTGATGAAGTAGTTTATATTAAAATTCCGGTTCTAACAGTTTTACATAGTTTGAAATTAGAGTGTTAATAGGTTTGGTTTTGATAACTAAATAACTAATTAGATGGTTAGTAATTAATCACTAAGCAAATAATGCATAACCAATAAGACTTATCGGTTAATCACATATTATCAGTTCGATTAGTGGTTGATTTGACAATTAACCACTAATCAATAACAACCTCCACATGTGATTCTATATTTTTTTTAAAAAATTATGATGTCCTTTTTAAATAATACAATATAGTCATACAAATAATTCAAAAAAAATTAACTACACTTCTACTTTGTGAACATAAAAAATATATATAAAAATAACATTAATATAATAGAACATTCATCATGAGTTCATAATCCAAATTCAAATTTTAACACGTAATTCATAATCCAAGTCCATAAGCTCAACGGTCCTGGTAACTCTCTTCGCCACAAGCTCACTGTTTAAATCGGGACAAGAACTGATAAGACCACCCAGAAAGGTGACACCATACGAAGGCCGAGCAATAGAGGCTGGAAAACATCCGAAAGCCGACTGCTAAGATGCTCGGTAGGCCAGAACACCTTTGTCTTAATCACGTTTAGGTGAAGGCCAAATCAAGGGCCTTCATCCATAATCATGTCTAAGACCTTCCTAACAACTCAAGTGTCCCATACAGTGGTGTCATCGTCCAAATACCAAGCATGCATACTCAGATCAAAAGATCTCTAATCTTGCACACTAAGGAATGCAATACCAAAGCAAAAAGTAAGGGCCCAAAAGGTCTCCCTGCTGAACCCTCTGGCAAGACCATAAGCTATGCTTCCCATAATACAGGGCGGGCAGGGCTAGAGTAACAGAACTCTACCCATCATAATAGAACCGAGCAATGATGGTGAACTTCTTGAAGCATGGTCCCATAATCAACTAAATTGAAAGCATGATGGAAATCAACCAGCAACATAGAAAAACCTACGTCACCATTGTGGGTCTCAACGAACCGGTTCAAGGCATGGAAAATAGCCTCTCCTCCACCATAAATTCCAACCTCAAACTGAAGACCATCAAAATAACCAGATAAAGTTGGGGCAACAAGACAAGCACCAACCTTAGAGACAAGACGTCTCCAAACAATACCAACAGCTACAGATACCACCCCCTGGTTTAACAAGCGGCGTGAGCGGAACGCTAGCAATGTACTCATCGAGGGGTTGTGGACAACCACCCTCAAGGAAAAGATTAACCACCAGAGTAATAGAGACGTGCAAATAATCCAAGATAGCAACAACAACATCACCCCAACAGTCCATAAAATTTTGAGCTTGAAAACCATCCCTCCCGCACGATGTACCACGAGGGAAGCTCCTAATCATATTCAAGAAATAGCCGAAGAGGCGCCAAGAGGATGATGATCCAAAGGTAAAGTCGGTAGAGAGAGAGAGATGGGACGAGAGCATGCTTATCTTGCAGAGCCAAAAGAGTGGCATCAGAATAAGGTGAACACCCAATGAAGAAAGCACCCGAACAACAACAGTATAATGCCCATCACAAATCTTCCTCCGACATAGCCGAAATTTGATCAAAACAAGATCCTCCTCCATAGCAAACAAAGGGGGAACCTCATCTAAAGTCTCTCGCAAAAGCAGCAAACTGTCACCTGCCTCCCAAGCAAGAATAGCATTGGTAACACTCTCCTCCTGACGAAGGCGTCTAACAGCGGACCGACACTCAAGATTACTCCGCGGAGAAAAGGTCTTAAGCACACAAAGAGGCAACACAAGTAAGCAAATCCAGCTGGAGAGGTCACCAGGAGAAATACTCACATCATCCAATGCCCCCTTTCAGAGCCCGCACAAACCCAAGACGACACTTAATAGGGATAGATTTCAATGTGTGAAGACCCATAGAGAACAAATGATCAAGCAAAGATATAGACCAACCTCCAACCCACAGGCTTCAACCCTATGCATCAAATGAGAGAATCGACAAAGTCGGAGCCGAAAGTCTGGGAATATCATAAATAATAAAAAGAACAAGGTTGTCACCACAATTAGAAGGCTCCAGCATCATCCGAGAAAACCCTATCATCCCTTCGCATCATCATCCCACCAACCAGCTACCACAAAATCTTCTTCAGCAACCAACGAAATAGTAGAAAGCTTGACCAATAATAGCCGACCCTAATCCCAATTGGCCGCACTTCTCTTTCTCAATTTCCGCTAGGAGCAAGTTCTTTCCTCACTCGGTAGAGACGGACAGAGAGCAGCCGGCAAACGGCAGTGCAGCAACACTTGGGGATAAATATGTGAATGGAGCGCCCCCCACAACGTCCCTTGTCCTTGGTGTCATGCAAGGTTGTCAAACCGATATCCAGTCGATCGAAATCGTCCACATGAACACCTCAAATACAATCAGTTCATGAGGAACCGGTGAAAATTTGATCACGCACCACAAGTTTGTTGAATCAATCTCAATCTGTCTTGTAACACAACATTCAAATACACACACTCGAAAAACAGGTGTGATTGACTTTCCTAACTCCACACACAACAACGATCTATCATCTATTTGTCTATTCCATTCCTTCAATTGATCCCTCGTAATAATGCAATACGTAGCCAACAACCAATTTATAATGCCTCGAAATAGAGTAAGTTGATTAGCCAAAGGATAACTCATCAAGTTTTTTTCTCTCTTAGGAAAAGTGGTAGAATTAAAGACATATTGTGAAGGATTTTTTAGTCGCGGTACTCTCAATAAATCTCAATATAAGTGAAGGTAAGAGTTATATAGATTTGTTTCATGTATGGATCAAATACTATCACTCTAACCGTGTTTGAAAGGTGTAAGCTAAGTAACAATGGTTTTCTTATTTTCTTGAGAGATCAAATATGCATTGATCCCACGAAATTCCACAAATGTTTTAACCTAAACAAACACACTTCATATGACAGAGAACTCCAACTCCAGCCTATTTTTCCAAAAGCACAGGCTTTACACTAGTGGAGCTTCAGTACAATCCATTTTCCTAGCTACAATGTGTTCAAGAAGAAAAACGCTCACTAGTACATCACTGGCTACCGCTGTATAGAAACAGATTTGGACAACCTTCCTGAACCACCATCTCTACTAACCAATTCAGATATCACAAAAGCTGCTCGCTGCAAAAACTGGAAGGCACAACCGAGAGCTCCATCCGGCCGGTCCATTCCTCACCAGGCTTCAGCGTGATGGGTTTCTCAATCGCAGCTCCATCTACGCACAACATCTGCTTGTACTCGTCATCTCCAAAATCGGCCATTGCCTTTGATTTCTTCTCCCATGGATTCCACACTGCTGCAGTTCGATAGGAAAAAAGGTTGGGTCAATCACAAGAGAAATGATATGCAAGAAGAACTGGAACCCCTATGTGTTCTTTACTCACCGATGTCCGGCAGCCCCTCTTTTCTCACAACATAGGTCCGCTTACGCTCATGATCAAGCACCGCAACCACATTTGGGGCACCAAGGTAGACGCGGTCCAACTGCCAATTAACAGTTTCAGACACAGACATATATAAAAGCCTCGGACTTGACACAGTATTGTTAACAGTCAAGCTCAAAGTGTTCTTGAAACGAACCTCGGATTCGAAGGTGATGGCATCTCCTTGCTCTGTGTATCGCTCTTTACGGGAGAGGTTGTCGAGGTAGTCGAGAGTTTCAAGCCCCTCTATCCTCACTTCACTGCAAAACATCATCAGGGTCAGGACACCACAATTCACAAAATTTTCCACAGCTGAGCCTGAATGGCTTTGTTACCTGATGTCCGAAACCGAGAGATGTGCGTGATATCCGAATGAGAAACTGAAGGGTTTTCCATTGACATTCCTAACTCTGGATATCAGCAACAACTCCCCGTGACTCGACAGTGCCACCCTCAGCCTGAATTCGAAACTGCCAATTCCGCAATTGTACATGTCAACCAACATATTTGGACATCATCAGAAGGGCTATATAATTGGAGCAGCCATCATACCACATAACATACCTATGAGGCCAGCATTTGAGGTCCTCGTCGGATGATTTAAGGACAAGGTCGATAAACGATTTGCCATGAGAATCATTGGGGTGCAATGCAGGAGGGCACTCGTCAATCGTCCAAACTTTGTTTCTGGCGAAACCGTGCTGTTCTAGCGATCCACAGTTGCCAAACTGGGGAAAGCAGATTGGGATCCCTCCCCTCATTGCCTTGGGGTGCTTCAATATCGCCTGCGGACCAAAATTAGACCCAACAACAAGAGGTTAGAACAATCACAAAACCAGACTTGGAGCATTCATAAGATGGTTTGAAAGGATTAAGTAAAAAAACAACGACCCACCTTGCTGCTTGTAAACAGAAGTTCTTCCCCATGTTCATTCCTCCACGAAACCACTTGTGCGCCATGTAAGCTCACCTGAAAAATTCATATCAAACAGGCATTGATATATCTGAGAATTTGAACCCAAATCTAGGAAATAGGAGGAAATGTGAAGCAGAGGATGATATCTCGAATTTCAGATTTTGCCAAATGTATAGATCTCACTCACCTTGGCAGAAGCCCCATGCGGATTACGGAGCATAACCTGGTCGATGCCATTCCAATCCTTAGTGATCTCTATGGCTGTTCTGCAATCCCAAACAGCTGCAGAATGCCCCATTTACGCCTTTTACACCTCAACCTACCCACTTCAGTTCACTACTTGTGCTCCAGAGCACAACCCCCAAGCCTAAACCGAATTCTTCAACCCCAAATGCGCATCGTCGAACAAATCTAAAATCTGGGTTTTCTCCCCCACCGCTCCTCTGAAGGGGCGATAGATCCAGGGAGAACGGAAAATGAGGCACAAAAGGACTAATTTCTCACTGGAAAAACCCTAACTAGAGCCACGCACACAGAAAAAAAAAAAAAGAACCATTTGGCAACGCCATAGACCAACACCTAACCAGCAGACGAGAGAAGCCAGATCGCCACGCTACATGACAATATTCAGCGGCAAACAAAGATAAGCCAAATGGAATCCCCACCACAACGACGAAGACAACGTAAACAGGGGCTTACGTAAGAGCTGCAAATCCGGGGCAGAGAAGAGCTCAGCACAGGAGAGAATACCGAATTCCCCAACTGGGTTTTGCGAATTAAGTGGACGTACGTAGGGAAAGAAGACGAGGGGGGAGAATTTATGGAGTTGACAAATGCGTGAGGATACGGTTTGATATCCAGGAAGTTGAGTAAATAATAATGAAAAAAGGAAAAGAATCAGAAGCAAAATACCGCCCCGGAAAACCCCATTCACTCACTCACAAGTCTTTTAACACATGGCTGTGTATGCAGGTGCGTTGTTGTGTCCCCTTAACGTCTGCAACCCATTAATGGAGGCCAAAGGCTTCTTCTTTTTTTATTAGGAACAGAGAATGGGGAGCAGAGACAAGAAGATAAGATGCGATGTATTTTTCGAACGGAAACCCGTTGAAATTGAAATTTTGGGAGAGGGGATGGAAGGGAAGGGAAGAGTGTCGGAAGCAACAAGCAAGCATTAGAGGAGTAGCGTAGCGTCTTTCTCCCTATATATATTTTTTGTTAATATTTTTGTCCGGGTTCTGGGATGATTGGTTTTCTTCTTTTATTACCACCATGTTCTTGATTGAAGCAGGGGAGATCTGGAGAACGTGGACGTAGTGCGGACAAAGTACTAGCAAGTACGCTGTACAAACGGTCAAAATTTTGAAATCTCAATCCGGTCTCCTTGTCCCATCAATCTTCATCATCACCGCAATCATGTATGCGAAACTCTTGACACGTCGACCAACAATATATTTCGTCTTTTTTGTTGTTGATCTATTAGAGCAGCTACATCGGCAGTCTCTTATTCGTTTCAAAGCGACATACATGCCAATGTCATTTGCCATTTTATGGTTGTAGCAACTTATTTCAATAATAAAATATTTCATTAGATGACAGAGCAAATGAAATTGTAAGTGGGGTAGCAAGTGGGCCCATTTTAATTGACTAGAGCGTATAAATTATTCAGTTATATTGTTTATGTGAATCGGCCCACCATCTGAAATTGAATATAGATTTCATGGATGTAGATGAAATGAATGTTAAAGAATGAAATTGCAAAAAATGTATAGGTGGCAGTAGAGGGCCACAAATGAAATAGGTAGGTTATTTCATGGTTGTTGATTGTCTTATAGCTCCAGCTTGGCCAAAATTAGTCCAGCTTCCCGAAAAACAATCATGCTCTTAAGTAGTCTATACAAAGATACCAGTACATGCACAAGGTTGTGGTCGAGTGGTCGCTTTCGTTGGTTTTCCATCTAGAGTCCCCAAGTTCTAGTATCAGAGTTCGGATGATACTCGTTTTCCTCCCATCACCCTTCTAGTAGCATCCCTGATGAACATGTCCCGATAAAAAAAATGCTAGCACTGTAGCACACACCACTTGCAGCTTGTACAGACCCCAAGCATATAACTTTTACAAGTATTAAATCTTGTAACACCACTGATACAGTATCAAAGATTTCCCAATCCTCAATTCTCACACACATAACTCGAGAAGCTCGAGCCAACAATAATCTGAGCAAACTCTCCATTACCAAGCTTGTATTTGCGAACTTCACCATTGATCTGCTTAACCACCTCCCTTGCACCTCTGTCAGTAGTAGACTGGGAAACTCTGTTGCATCTATCAAGCCTAGGTGCCTCTCTTAGAACCGTTGTGGGTCCTGGAGTGTAGCTTGTCTCACCTAGTCTTTTCCAAATCTCGTGTCATGCTAGTCTTTTGATAAGCATGTGGTGTCTCACAAAGGGGGTCGTGATACTCTTGCATGGCGGTCATGGACTTCTTACTCATGTCCATGGCCTTCTTGGGACTTAGTTACCAGTGATACAATACTCCACCACTACACCCTTCACATTGGTGTCCATGGCCCCTCTCATGAGGCAACATGGACCTCTCTCACTCATGCACATTACCCCTCTCGTGAGGCGGCATGTCCTTCTCCGACTTAGTATATTTTTTGGTCATTCGATCTTGGTCATGAGGTAGCGTGGGCTCTTCATTCGCGGCCATGGCCTTCTCAATCATGTATGTGGCCCTTCCCGTGACACGACATGACATTCTCAAACTTAGTATTTTTCATTAGTGCCTAGGGGCTAGGGCCTCTTGTCTCGCGTCCATGCCTCAATTCCCCTTCTCGTGAAGCGAGGTTGACCTCTCGGACTTAGTCATTTTTTGTCTCCTTTGAGAGATGTCTCTCACGTGGCATGGGCTCTTGACCTGTAACCACATAATGTGCTTTTCATCGCCACCATGGCTCATGTAATCACAAAAGCGGCATGTGCCTCCAAATTCTAGACGGGCATGTCCCTCCTTGTTGAATGAACACGTTCTTCCCAGACTAGAAATATTTTTGTCTACTTTGAAGTGTGTGATTCAGGAGACCTCCCAATCATGCACATGACCCCCTTCGTGAAGCGACATGGACCTCCCATACTTAGTATTATTATTATTATTATTATTTTCAACCGTACTCAGGGTCTCTTGTCTCGTGTCCATGGCATATGACCCCCTTTTTGAAGCGGCATGTACCTCTCTTACTTAATACTTTTTCAACCATACTCAGAGCATCTTATCTCGTGTCCATGGCCCTTCTCGTTGAGGTGACATGTACTTCTAGATTATAGATAGACATGGCTCTCCTCGTTGAAGCGACTCAAGTGTCTAGATTTTAGACGGACATGACCCTCTTCGTGAAGCAACATGTCCTTTTCAGACTTAGTTTTATTTTGGGTAAATGACACATTTGGTCACTGAGATTACTAAATTGTGTCATGTATAGTCACTAGAAAAAATTAATATCAATTTTGGTCACTCGAATTATCGAAACTGGTCAAATTTAGTCACTCTCCCGTCAGTTTCCGTCCAACTCCATTAATGTAGTTCGACGGAAACTTTTGGGAGAGTGACTAAATGTGACATGTTTCAGTAATCCGAGTGACTAAATGTGACATTTTTCAATAATTCGAGTGACCGGAGTTGGACAGAGGCTACAGAAGAGTGACCAAATGTGACCTGTGTCAGTAATTCGAGTGACCAAAATTGATATTAAATTTTTCTAGTGACCAAATATGACACGATTTAGTAATCTCAGTGATCAAATGTGTCATTTACCCGTTTTATTTTATACAATCTTGTGGCATGACATGACCGCCTATGAGAAGCCCATGTCTCTAATTGATTATTATAATTGACGTAGCCTTAAAAGAGCTCATCCATGTGTACAAAATAATTTATGTGTGTAAACAGATTGAAACTTCAAACAACCCATTTGGTAATTGAGTAAAACTTGGGCCGCTTTTTAAGCTAAAATTGAGTAAGAAAGCGGTCCATAATTCAGTAAAGAGTATAACTTTCGAGCTAACTACCCCTGATTCAAGAGAAGCTGGCAGAAGAGGGGCCGCTGAAGAAAACTAAGCCAGCAAGCAGAGGTCTGAACAAACTTCCGATGGTGAACGGTGACAGAGCAGTCTAGCGCTGGAGAATACAGAGAGCTACAAGAAAACGCGGAGGAAGAAAATCCCACAACCAAGTTTGTTACTTTCGGTTTCCTCGCCCGCTCCCCCCTACTTCTCCTCACTCTCACCCACCGCCAATCTTTCCCCGCTGGCGAAGTTCCCCTGCCAGCTGCCATGACCGGCTCTTAAACACTTGCCAAGGTTTTCTTCTCCCTTTCTTCAATTCGCCCGAATCTTGGCCCCATGGAGTCCAAAATCTTGGAGATCAACTTGATCTCCGCCCAAGGCCTGAAGCCGCCGTCCGCCAAGCTCCGCCAATTGCAGACCTACGCCGTCGTCTGGATCCACTCCGCCGCCAAGCTCCGCACCCAGGTCGACCGCGTCGGCGGGGCCAACCCTACCTGGAACGACAAATTCCTCTTCCGAGTCTCCCCCAATTTCCTCTCCAACGACACCTCGGGGGTCTCCGTCGAGATCTACGCCGTCGGCTGCCTCCGCGACTCCCTCGTCGGCACCGTCCGCTTCCTCATCAGCAACCTCTCCCTCTCCTCTCCCCCGGCGGACACCCCTTCCTTCACCGCCCTCCAGATCCGCCGCCCTTCGGGGAGGTGCCACGGCGTGCTCAACATCGGCGCCTCCGCCATCGACGCCGCCGATTTCACCGCCTGGAAGGGGGAATCGGCGATCGGGTACCGCGAGCTCATGGGGAACCGGGCCAAGAACCCCCGCCGCAGCCGCGGGTCCAAGGAGGCGGCGGCGGCGCGAGAGGATCGCGAGAATTCTTGCTGCGAAACCGGCGAATTTTCCGACGGGACCGAGTCGACGACCTCTTCGTCTTCCAACGCGTCGACGGCGCTCAAGGACCTGACGAAGCTTCAAGATTTGGCGAGGAACAGCCACCTGAGGGCGTCCTCCGACGGCGGCGTGCTTTGCGGGTTGCTGATGCAGCGGAGGATCCGTCTCTGCCGGTCCGACCCGAATTTGAGGGACCCGGACTACAGTGGATCCGAGAAGGAGAACTGATCGAGTACGGCGCGGCGCAGCGGAACTGGGCTGACCTCCTCGAGCTTATACTACAGCCTTCCATTCGCCTGATTTTTTGGGCCTGTTTGGCCAATATTTTCCTTTTGGGTATTTTCTTGCTCTGTGTGTGTATGAACGAGAACTCATGGACCGGGCCTGGGTTTGTGTCTGCTTGATTGGGCTTCTGGCTCGAAATATGATTGTTGCTCGGCCCACGGATTTGCATAGTATACGAGTATATAAAGTTCAGCTCTAATAATCCTCCTAATCCGGTGAATATGAGTTTTCATGTCCTTCAAGACACTGAAGTCAATCTACAATAGACCATGCGAGAAAACAATGTTTATCAAAGAAGAGATTGATGAACAAGCAATAAATTATGGAGCCCTAGATGAATTTATGAGGCAATTCATGAGAGACTGAAGACAATTGAAGAAGAAAAACGATGATGAAGGACTATCGAAGCATATGATTTGTTGTTATTGATGGATGATGCTACTAGTGGATCCCATGAAGAGGAACTGGAATACAAGCAACTTGGTATCCAAAACAATAATTTTCTTATACAAATCTTCGCCACTTTGTAATCTCGATGACTAATTTGATTGCGTGATTTCGTGTTATGCTACATTATTTTCACTTAATTAGGTTTTGTCTTGGTACGACATTGGTTTGTAATTATTTTCATATGAATCAACCATTCAAAAAGGGAATAAGAAATATGGGGTTGTAAATAAAAACTCATTTGTTTCCAATTTGAACAAAATACAAAAGCATATTACTTTTACATCGTGGCTGGACAAACACAACCTCCATCAACAAAGCACCAACTGAGATTCAGATCGAAATAAATAGACTGATAGCATCCAATTCATTCCTAAGTGGTTAAATATAATGATTTATCATATTTTGGCCATTTAAGTTGTTATTGTGCCAAGTGTAGCTTTTGGGGTGATATTCTAGGACTTAGCACAATTTCAACAATTTCTTGGCCATTTGGTTGGTTTGCTCATTTGGATTCTATTCTTATCATATTTCAGGTCCTAAAATTTCAAGGAAGGTTTGTAGCAAGTTTTGGGTCATTCGAATGGTCATTTGAGGGACGAGAATAAGGCAAACTTATAAAAGGTCACATTCATAAGGGGAAGATTATGATCAGGACGATGAAAGAATTTTGGTCTTGAACCAGGTCATGGGCAAGGTCACGATCGTGACGTGGTTGTGTCACTATTCCAATTTTGAGTTCACGATCAAAACATGGAAGATCTTAATTATGACCTTCTTTACCGTGCACTTGAGTCTCGACACAACTCACACAAGTATAAAAACCCATACATGAATTTTCACAAAGGGAGATATTCTAGAGAGACAAACATAATATGAGAGATAAAGTAGATACACAGGATGCACTTGGAATGTTTCTAAGAGATTTTCCATCAATCGAGCTTCAAAGTCATCCCAGATTCAAGAGAGATGGCTAAATAAAGGATAAAAAGGTAGATCTAGCGAAGGATTTGTGTTCTTCCTCTCATTTGTACACTTACGAAAGAGAGAGTGAGAGCGAAGACCAATTAAACTTTTAGAGGGGGCGATTTAAGAACATTTTGGAGAGAATTCCTCCTTGCATTGTAATTTAGAGGGATAAAGATTGTCACGGAGGAGATTAAAGAGTAGGAGAAGATTTCAACAAACCATGCTGAAGCAAAATATAATCTGGCCCGATTCTTGGTCCATGAATTTTATAAATACGAAAAATGATCGAATTGGCATTTAAATCGAACCAAATGGATTGTTGGTCTAATTCTTGGTACTAAGATGTCTATTACTATTGGACCGCAGTTCTTGTGAGTTTGATCTCTGAGTTTTGCACACCACTAAATTTATATAAAGTCTAGAGAATGCCAGCGTCAAAGGTGGTACACATAGAGACATGGATAAAGAGGGTTTGGTATGGTCATCTTTAGACAGATATAACAAGGGACCACTTGACAACCAAATCATTGGGAGCCAGCCAGAAGGAAAGACACAACAGTTGATCCCGCATTTATCTCAAGGCCACATGACACAGAGAATGAACACCCACCATTCCTTGTTCTTCAAACCTACCCGGCCGGCTGGTCCCTCTGAAGCAAAACCCTGATCCACCACCAGCTAGACAACTTCTACACAATTGTAGTCTAAGCATAATGCAGCAACGTGCAATACAACAACTTCAAAGGAAAGCATCACAAGTAGCCTGTGACCACTATTGACCAGTAATCTCCCATCATCATACTAGTTTTTCCCCAGTGAAAGCCGCGGCGGACCCGGAAGGAATTTAGCAGTCAGAAACTAGAAAGAAACTCTATGAAATTAAGATCAGCAAGAACCAACACAAAATCAAGCTAAAAAGGAACAATGTATGTTCTTTGCAATGCAAAAGAATAATAGTAGTCCCCCATTTTCTTCATGAACAAGCAAAGCAGCTTTTACCTGCTGATACATTCTCTGCCTAAAACCGTCAAGACATTTTTTCCCCCTTCCTGGAACTGTTTTCAAACGCTGGGGGGGAAAGGGCAGGCAAAACAAACAGGAGAAAGGTAGGAAGACAAAACAAGCTGGTATATCCAGAAGCAAATATGATTTAGGTAACGCAAAATCATATATCATGGTGCAATCTCGAGCCGAGGTTCGAAACAGAAACCAGTGAAGAGTTGAAGTGGGAACCTCTTGGTTACTGGACACTTATGGGACCACTTCCACTGTTTCTGGTTCAAGTTGAAAACAAGCAGCGACGGCCCCCCATAACTCTGGATGTATACAAGATCATCAGTGCCACTGCTCGCAAAGACATCATCGAACTCTCCAAACCCTTGGAAAAACTTGTGGGGCATACGAGCGATCTCTTGCCACTCCCTCCCATTAAGAACCCAGATCCCGATCCCCTTAATTATATCAGGCCTGTCATGCTTCCCAATACCTCCAACCATGACCAACTTATCCTTCAAGTTCATCAGTCGTCCACATGTTAGAGGACAGGGAGCTGGAATGAAACCTTTGATCAACTTGTCATCACGTGAGTACCTACCGGAAAGCCTGTAAGCAAGAAGACCATGGCGGTTTTCTGGATAGCCACCACCAGTTGAATAAATCAAGACATATAAATTGCCATTGCAGATAACACTCTCATCACCACCCCTCCACCCGGTCAAAACTTCTGTCCAGGAAGTCATCCACGTCCGCCTATCAGAGTTGTAAGTATATATTGATAGCTGCCACTGGAGAAAATCTCTGGGAACTTGGTTAGACTTCACAATTGAGACAGTATAGTTGTGTGACACTCTGTTCACCGAGACTGCAAGTGCACTGTAGTCAGAAAGTCTTGACCCAGGAGGGTCTTCAAGCTTCCTGAAGCATTTTGTAATTGGGTTGCAAGCATACAACTCGCTCCTACTGTCATTGTCCATGAAGAAAACCAACCCGCACGAGGAGGCGATGAACCAATTGGATGTCCTGATGCAAGGTAGATCAATGCCATGCCATTTCCTAAGAACTGGATCAAAGGCATAACCGACAGGTTCGTCAGAGCTCGTGAACATAAAGTACCAAGGCTTTCGTGAAGTTACATGAGACAAGTTCCATAAGAACCTCCTAGAAGTCACAATCTCGTGCCATCTTTTAGACACAGAACCTGCCCTGAAGATGCTTGCAGTGGGGAGATATGCCAAGATTCTTTCCAATAGATCATCAGGCAATATTAGATCCACAGAAACTGCATTGACGTCTTTGTTTCCATCATCATCATTGAGGTCAGAGAATGAATTGAGATGACTAGCATCTCTAACCACAACATCAGTGAAATCGTTGACCCATGATGCTTCTCCCTTCATCTTTAGTACATATTCATATAGCTGATCTGGCAAACAAACAGAGAAGAAAGCACCACAGATTCACTCATTTGTACAAGACACCACCAACTATAATATGAAATGCTTCACGGACGAATAACATCAGATCGGTAATAGAATACGAAATAACCCTCAGTTTCTAGGATGCAAAAGGAAGAATCGCCTTATCAGATTATACTGAACTGATGGATCGGGGGAAGGAATAAACTTCACATCTAGAAGCATTTTACAACCAAACAATATGGATATTCTACCAATATACATAATCTCAAATGAAAATGCCTTAAAACTCAAGACGTGCTCAAAGTTCAGTTCTGATGCGATCGGTATGCATATCACATACCCAGCTCACTGATTATGTCTACTTCAGAAAAGAACTTGCCAATAGCTTCCCGGTAACTCAAGTTAGTCTAACAACCGTTTATCCAAGAATCAAGGCTATCTATATTTGATACTATGGACAGCAAAAAGAACCAATCTTTTTCCTGACAGAACAGAAATTTTTAAGATTTGCAGCGACAGCAGAGATCAATGATAATAAGATACACACATCAAAGCAATCACAAACAAGAATCTAATGAACTGTGAATCAAACATGAGAGTCACCAGCAATAGAAAGCAACCTTTTCATCCGAAACCTTGAGGCAATTTGAAATCAACAAGATAAATCGCACCAAATAGCCACACCAGAGCTGAAGGGGGCTCGCATTTCGGACCAAGATTGAAAGTAGAAATGAAACTACAAAAGGGAGATAGAGAAATCCTTTTCTAATGATCCAAGAACAATTTAGTGTCCTCACTGCTCACACAACAACCCCATCTCGTAGCTTTTAAAGCATCCCCAAACCCTAAAAAAGGGGTGCTTTCCGTCAGTCAGATCAGCAAATAATAAACGTTAGGTAAAGGGAAGAGCGGCAGATTTGGCCAAACTCAGCCATCAATCAAACATCAGGAACCCCACTCGGCTGGGAACCATAACATCAATAACTTAACCCTGAAATTGCCTCAACAGATCACCCATATCGCAACTCCCAATCAAAATTTCCCAAACAGGACAGAGGGCCAATAAGGAAGGCGAAAAACAACAAGGCTGAAAACTTTCCGAGAAAAAGA